TATGGATTAGGACTGAAGTAACCACAATATGGTACCACATGCCATCTTTAATACATATTTACAACTAAAAACTTCTTATAGGTCCATTAAGTGCTGCCATCTTTTTTCATATTGTAACATAATTACTCAGATGCAAGTAGGTAGTTACCATTTTCACCACCAGGTGGCTAATTTGGGGTAAATAACATGGCAGGGTATAAGAAAATTCCCTTAAACTTGAATATTCATCAGTTGTAGTAGGTCAATTTTCATATTACCCTTTTGTATCCGATAGTTATACAAATTAAAATATGTCCAGTAAAGAAAATATTATCTGCCAAAAAAGATATTTCTTGTTTTGTGATTTAAAAACACAGAGTCTATAACGAACCTCAAGACCTAAGTCATATTTTCAAAGTTCACTGGTATAAGATTTTTTACGGAAATGGCAAACATTTTGAAATTAAGCCGCCATGTGAAAAATCTTTTTCACATAACTACTGTGTCCCTAGGCATCAGCATATAAAATTTTAACCAAATCCATTTACTACTATTTGAGTTAAAAATCTTAAAAATTCTCTCTCCAACAGAGCTACAGTGTCCCTTGGCTTCAACATATGAAATTTGAACTAAATACATTCGCTGGTTTTTGAATTATCAAATATTACGTTTTTTAGTGAAAAAAAGGTGGCCATTTTGAAATTCAGTCAATTCTTTCTCAAACAGCAACTGTGTCCCTAGGCATCAGCATATAAAAGGACGATTCTCGGTTTGGAGAACAGTCTCCTGGGCTAATAATTTTTTCATGAAAAATATAGAAATATTACCCAAATTAAACTATGAATATTCAAAAGAGGACATTTAAATCTACAAGATGTAAAAATAACAAATTGGTCTGAAGCAGGGATAACGCTCAATTTGACCGATTCAATAAAATACAAGTCTCGATTTGGGGAAAAAAGTTCATCAGTGTACTGCGCTAATATTTTTTTGCGAAAAATCTAGAAATATTACCCAAATTAAATTATTACTATTCAAAACAAGACATTCAAATCTATATTATGTAAAAAAAATCAAATTTGTCCAAAGCAGGGATAATGTTCATTTAGATTGATGAACTTCGTTCTCCAAACCGAGAATCGTCCTTTGCATGAAATCCATTCACTAGTATTAGAGTTATCAAAGATTATGTTTCCTTGTGAAAAATTGTGGCCATTTTGAAAATCAGCAGCCATCTTGAAAATCTCTTCTTGAATCAAAGTTCCTTTGTCCCTAGGCATCAGCATATAAAATTGGAACCAAATCTATCCACTAGTAAAATGGCAGCCATTTTAAATTGAGTGGCCATACTGAAAATTCCTTCCCGAGCAGAGGTCCTACACCCATAAGGCATAAGCCTATAAAATTTAGATCGAATCCATCAATCGTAATTTGAGTTATTGCCCGGACAGATGGACGGATGGATGGACAGACGACTTTCCTATATCCTCCTTGAACTTCGTTGGGTGGGATAAAAAACTTAAGAATATTTTTTACTATATACGAAAATGATTACTTCAAAAATGGCTCACATTTTCTCCCGATTTAAAACCAATATGAGATGAGAGTACCATAATCCAACACAAATTTTGAAAATTCTGAGCTCAATCTCGTTATAACAAAAGATATTTTATTATATATAAGAAGTTTATATTTTATATAAAAAATTATGATTATTTTTTATGATACACGAAAATGATTATTTCAAAAATAGTTCACATTTTCTCCCAATTTAAAACCAACATGAGGTGGGACTGGGAGTACCGAAATCCAACACAAATTTTGAAAATTCTGAGCAATGCTTTTCATGTGTGGTATTCTTGACCAACTCGGAAACGTTTGGCTCCATTGTGTTTTACAGAAAATATACTTGTTCATATAGTGGTTTAATTAATCTACGTAAAATTATCACATTTAGTCACGGCTATTTCACACTATTGTGGGCAAATGTGTTGCACAGAGAGCATAGAGGGTAAAAATTATAATAGAACGAAAATAAAACACTTTTTTAGAAAGCATAACAAATGTGTCATTACTCGTTCGTTGGAATATGTTAACACATAAGTCTGTTTTGAAAATTTTCCTGATGAAAAGTGTCTGTCAATGGGGGCTACGGATACTACATTAGTGCAATTAAATATTATGCACAGAGTGGGAGAGGCAATCATCCCTTGTAATTTAGTATTTGACTCAAGTCTGAGTCAATATTCCATTTAGAAGTTTGATTTACAAAAATAAGAAAATGATACGATATTAATCAGGCCCGTGGCCAGGATTTGCCAAGGGGGGTTCAGTTTTCAAAAATTTCCAGGGGGGGGTTCACATATGACAATTCTGGCCCAAATATGGCTAAAATTACTTGAAAAGTGCTCAAAATGGTGAAAAACTGCATGATTTTGAAAGAATTTTTGGCCAGGGGGGGTTAGTCCGAAGCTGTGAACCCCCCTGGCTACGGGCCTGTTAACCATGCATCTACTTACCAGTATGTTCTATGTCCTCTGGCAACCATAGGTTACATTATGAAATCAGACAAACATGACAGAGAAGGCAGTATGCTCAGGAAGAAAAATTGAATTGAAAAAATATTTCCCCTTTGTCGAAATCACCCTGCAATTCGTTCAGAGCAATCGTGCCTCATTTCATTCATTGCATACATTACTGCCGATTTTTATGTTCCCGGGACCTAAATAGTCACGTAGAAGAGGTTAGGAGAAAATGTTGATTCCTTTTTTCTACTTATTTCTGGCAGTTTCTTACACATAAGCTTGAATATGTTTGTAACAAAAGATATCTATTATATTAGAAATATAAATTTCATAAGCAATCTAGATTATTATGTACGATACACAAAAATGGTTATTTTTAAAAGTAGGTTACATTTTCTCCTAATTTAATATTAACATGAGATGTGAGTTCTATAATCCAACTCTAATTTCGAAAATTTCAAACAATGATTTTCATACATGGCATTCGTAAAACGCTTGCTCCCATTGTGCTATATATCAAAATGTACTACTTCATCTGGTAGTTACCCTGTGCGCAGAGTCTAGTTAAAAACTACACTCTGCCTAGTATAGACTATATTACAGCTTAGCAGCCCCGCCCCTATGACCGATGGCCGTGACAGCTCGGGTCGTAAATCATTTCACACCTACGGCGCTGACCTATTCTTAACCAATCAGTGAGCTGGAAGGAACAACTGCTAAATGTGTGCACAATAATTATGCGATTACATCAGAGAAAATGACCATATAGAAAGTTGTCCTTATTTCGACTACAAACTCTGATTAGCGCAGTGAGTTCAGAGATTTATTGAAAACTGAAAGACTGTGAAGATGAAGCTCTCTTTTGAGAAGCAAAGTCGAACGAATGCAAAGGGTATCTAGTAGTTCGATTAATCTATGTAAAATTATATTAAGTCAGGTCACTTTTTGAGATATCAGCAACCATTTATTGTAAGTCGTATTTGCTACCATTCTGAGTGACGGCCAATGCGTAATAAACTTGCTCACATGGGAACTATTTTTGACATACATCGCTAATTTCATAATAAATATGTAGCTCTTTCATTTTACACAAAATTGTGGCGAAATAAGTACCATAGACACCAACAGAGGTGTATTTTGGAACAGAATCACAAGTTTTTACACAGACTAAACAGCTGTCTTCCTTTCGGCGGATGGATATGAAAACTTGTGAAGTAATGAGGCAAGATGATTTCGACGACAAATGGAATATTTTTTCAATTCAATTTTTCTTCCTGACCATACTGCCTTCACATGTCATGTTTGACCGATTTCACCATGTAACCTAGGGCGTCGGAAGGTATATAACATACTCGTAAGTAGATACATGGTTAATATCATATCAATTTTTATTTTTGTAAATCAAACTGCTAAATGGAATATTGACTCAGACTTTATATGATGTAATTTATTGTACCAATTCCAATTTGCAAGATCTCAATCCTTGCCAGAAGGAAAACATGGCTTCCACCTAGATCAGAAATTGGAGCAAATGAATGACAAGCTGTCTAAGTTATTCCATACATCGAAGTTACGCCAAATTCAAACAAAATAGTGTCAATGGGAAGGTGCAATTGCATGACCCAACCAGGGTGCATCATAAGCGTCAGCCCGAGCGCCCGGGACCAGTTACTTTTGATACGGACCAGTTCACTTTCAAAAGTCACTAGCCCGGTTGACCAGTCCACCTCTTGGTCATCATAGAGTACATATTGTAACAAACCAGTGCTTAATGGCTTAGATGACATAATTTACATGTGACCTTCTTGAATTATCTAACCTCTAGGTTTATGAATCTTAGTTACCTTGAACCGAAGGCTTCGTTATGCATTAAAAAGTTCACAAGTAGATTACATTCTTGATCATGAGCGGCTCCCTGATTCTCGATGCGCAGAAGCAATGCGCAGTAGGTTTATCCATGGCTGACGATCTATCTGAGTTCTCACTAAGTATTTCCAATCACTCCCTCGAGTTGAGAAGTTAGATACCAAATACATGAAAATCCAGTCGATCTAACATTTTAAAGGGGTTACGATGATAAACTATGTATGAAAAATAATTCACTTTTGAATTTAATTGATCAGCATTTTATTAAACTACAATATGCACTGTAAACAACGACCAATGTCGGAGTTTGTCTTATTTTGAAAAATAAGTTATTACATATACGGGCCAGTATATATTGTACCGGACCAGTTTGAAAAAGTACTGGTCAAGCCTGACCAGTAAGATTTGAAGCGGACCAGCTGTTATAAGGTACATACTGGCCCGCTTGACCAGTGAGTAATTCCAGGCTCTTATGACGCACCCTGGACCAAACACCAGAATGTTGAGATGGTCTTTGGAAAAGATGAATTCACACAATTTGGACTGCAGCACAATTTCAGCAGAATGTAGATCTAGATACATACAATTCTATAAAACTGCATCAGACATAAAATATTCAAAATAACTCACCGTCAATTTCTTCCGTTCCCTCAGTCAGGACTTCTTTAGTAAAATTCGAGATTTGACCGGTGATATTGGACAGGCTACCTCCTATCCAAGACATCTTTAACAAGAATGAAAGTTTATGTATATGTTCAAAGGATAATTGTGTGGTTTGGGGTTAAAATATAGTCACATTCATTCAAAATTAAAAAATATTTTGCCAACTCGACGATCGCCATTTTTCTCCACATCGATTTGAAGGTAAGAGTAATCGATCACTGTTTTGTTTACATTTTTAAAAGTTAAGGTCAGCCATTAGAAAATAGCAAGAAGCTCTCTTACAACTTTTATTTAATTTTTGATATATTCAGTTATTCTTTTAAATTATATATGATCAAATAATCAACCCATTTACATAATTCGAAGGGCTTCAAACTTTGATATTAGTTGATCGAGCAACACAAACTTCAGATATTTCGTCACGTGACAGATTGCAGCGCCATCTAAAGACCAATTGCAGCCATGATGGTGGGTGTATTTTACTTCCTTACTGTTAATAAGTGTTAATTATTTCAATTGTATTGATGAAAATTGCTTAGATTCTAGATCATCAACAAGCTTTGATATTTAGTTTCACACTGGGGTAATTGTTGATTCAGTTTACTCACACCATATGTGTTAAAATACATGATCTCATTGCAATAATTTTAAAAACAGAAAAGGGGAGGGTCATTTTGTAAATAAAAAATGATAACCTTTATTTAGGTATCACCCAGTCAACAATTTTACTGCAATACGTTCTGTAAATTGTGAAGGCATGTGCTTTGTAATTTCAATGTGAACGATTGACGTCCCATCCCTAATACTGTCAGCACAACTTTGTGAACTTTCATTTTCAAACCATCACAATCACGAGTCTATCCGTATTAGCTTATCCAATAATCTAAGATCATTTGCATACAAATATCAAATTGGATAAAACTGTCTTTTAAAATTCTACAATGTCTCAAGGAAACCATATTTTTCTTTGAGTACAAAGGGGGGCAAATAATTTTGAGGCTCATTTTAGGGTCAATTCTTATCTCGTTCCAAGACTACTACTTTTTTCAAGGCCTGACTGCGTCGCTAACATGCTAAATATAAGAGTTAGCTGACGTTTGGGAGTCTGACTTACCTTCTAAAGGTTAGAACCCGAATCTTAATGAAACCATATCACCTTTGTTGCGTCGATGATGATGCATAAACATAGCATTTGATAGAAATTAGCGTAAATGCTTTTCCGACTTTTTCATTTTTCATCAATGTTGACTTCCGGGAAGGCGTTGTAGTTATCACGAAATAACACATTGACCCTTGAACTTTACTTTGTTGACGTGTCAACCAAGCATGTCTGGTGTGAAAATTAAAAGAATATTAAGCAATGTTCTACATCCGCCAAGCTAAGTGAAGTAGTCAATATTTAAAATTACCAATTTCAAGTGAAGTACGCAACGAACGAAACTGCGTGATCTACACTCCCACTATTGGTCTGAATGAAATGCTACGTAGAAATATGAGCCGTCTGCTGTATTAGTCGATTAATAGAGTAAGACCTGTTGGTGATGCTTTATAATTTAGACCAAAACATTGAAGAACAAACGAACCTGTAAATCGTGAAAACAACGAACAAATATTCGGTTTTCACATATGTTCGGTAATTTTTCGTATTGAAACTTCCGGAACTTACAAGGAAATCATTCATTTTCTCGATCCATGATTTACCTCTTGGATGTTGTGGCAAATGCTCCATGGTTGACGGAACAAAGGTGATATGGTTTCATTAAGATTCGGGTTCTAACCTTTAGAAGGTAAGTCAGACTCCCAAACGTCAGCTAACTCTTATATTTAGCATGTTAGCGACGCAGTCAGGCCTTGAAAAAAGTAGTACATGTATCTCTACGTTCTAGTCTTGAGGGGGATGTATTGAAGCGCATATTCAAAAGTAAAAATTTTACGGCTCTGCCTATGCATATATTGCTTACCTCTATCGATTCTCAACACCACAAGAAACGTTCTTTTAAAGGCAGGAAAGACACGGCTGCCTCAAATCGCAGTAATATGCACTTCAAATTCTAAATCGACTCAGTAATCCAAAATGTCCTCCACATCTTTGGAAACTATTCCCGAACGTGTTACGAACATTACCGAAGTGAAAGTACATCCAGAAATTGAATTTCGACAATCAACTGCTGGTTGCTTTTAATGATAATTTTGGGACCCAGAACGAGTGGAATCAACTGTAATTGATGATAAGATCAACGAAATTTGAAAAATCAAACTTACCGGATATGCCGCCATTGTGTACCAAAGAAACCAGCTTAGTTTGGTAATTTCCGTAATACACTTGGAAATGATTTCCGAAGTTATGGAGGAGATTTTGAAAATACTTATACATATCCACTAGAGTTACCTTACTCTTCGGCCACAGTGTGGCCTTGCGCTATCATCAAGCTCTGTTTGTTTTATCCCACTATCCTGTGTGGACTGTTGCTATATATTAACTCAAATGTAATAAACATACCTTCATTGAACTTAGTATGTAGTCTTAGTTCATATGACCATCTTCATCGGCTTTTCTTTAGTCTTTTCCAAGAACAATCTTTTGAAAAAGATCCTACGGTAAAAACGGCCATTTTGTTTTCGCTAAAGGAGATAAAGATCAACCTGAACAGATGTTTTTATAAATGGCAGGCCAAATGATTTTAAGTTTAGATGAAAGCATGCAATATCTCACAAAGGTCCGACAGTGTCCATTTGAATTCTAATTGATGAAATATTCTCATTACAATTTTTAGAATAACATCTAAAACTTTTTTTACTCCAGAATAAACGTTTTCACTAGTGCACGGTAGTCCACATGCCATGTCTTCTAGCCAAGTAATTTGCCTAGAGACTCGAGTAAGTCTAGAGGACATGGGAGGCATTAACACTCAGCTCATGCAGCCATATGTCTGAGGGGCAGTGAGGGGTGACCCACATTTTTTTCCCCTTTTCTTCGAAATAAAGCATAGTGGGCCTTTAAATAGAGGTTTCAATTTCCAGAGATGTTCCATTTTAGAGGTTTTACTCTACCATAATAGCTTAAGTTTAAATTATAATACGTTTGATTTAATGCAACCATGAATCAAATAAAAGCATGAGTCATAATACAAAAAAATTATAATATTATAAAAAGGTATTAATGTCTTATTGATTTGAAAATTGATCAGTCCCTTTTTATGAGTGTATTATATTGTTCTCATCAAATCAAAAACGATCTATTATCATGTTTGTGCTTTATAATTATCATATGAAGAACAATACTAGGTTATTAAAGAGTTCTAGTACACTATGTTAAAAAGACCTTTCAGGCTGGGGTAGTTAAATGATATTTTCAGGTTTATGTTGTCAAAAGCTAGTATTTTTACTCATATCAAATGTTGACAAATCATTTACTATATACAGTAGTATGTTTAACATAAATAAAAAATATTTAGAGGTATGGTTGTATTTAATTATCCTAAATAGACCTTTATTACAGTTGAAAAATATAATAAGATCCCAATGTTACTTGTATACTCCAGCCTCGATATTTGACAACTTTAAAATCTCTAAGTTTCATCGTGGACAATATCTAAATACATGTATGTTTTAAAATTGTGTCATTTTTGCCTGGGAGATATGTTATGTTAACAATCCAAGTTTTTACTAAATAAGAAAATCAGATGATGAAGGGTATTATATCGAATTATACATAATTTATTTAATTTCATTTATTTAGCAATATTCCTTGAAAATAACCACTATATATGAAGCATGGTTGTGTAGAATTGGACAAACACCTTTTTCTGAAGAAGTTAATTCTGTTAAAATGTTCATTACCATAAAAACCCAGATCACAAATTTCTGATATGTAAATATTATACATGTATATTGATACAGTTAAACCTGTATATCCAAACACATATCTGTTCTAAAAATCTTTAAATTTGAACAAACACAAATGTCTAAGTCCCAAATTTGTTATCTCCCATTCATTGACTCACAAACTTTGAAATATGAACACCTGCTAATCTGAACACTTTTTTGGCTTGTCCTAGTAGTGTTCAGATTATATGGGTTATACTGCACCATGACAACCAATTTACGATTCATCGTATTTTCAGGACGGAGTCGATGACAGCCCTGACCTCTTAGCCGAGGATCAGAATCAAAAAGAACGAACCAATTCAGAAAATGTCGACCTATCGACAGATACATCCCTCGTTGTTGACATTTCAGACGCCCTGAGTGAGAGAGATAAAGTGAAATTCACAGTTCATACAAAGGTAAGATTTGGTAAATCCTCTCTTGTGGTCCACCCCCAGCGTTGAAATTAGGGCTGTGCCGGAACCGGTTCGGACGGTTCGGAATCGGAACCGGAACTTGGTCTCACGGAATCGGAACTTTCGGAACCCCTTTTGGTTCACAAATGAAAATAATTATGTATGAGTGAGTTCGACGGCGATCATGACGATATCGTCGTCCAAGTTTGTCAGGTTAACACTTACCTTTCCTGTCAAGCAAGTTTGAATGTTTTTACGAAAGAAATAGACTCTAAAATCTGTAAAAAGAGAGAAAATTCGATCTTTTTTCTACTTGTTTTCACTTCCGGCTGCTCTGACCATAATGCGCATGCGTAATTGAAAAAGTTTTGAAACGAAATCAACGAAATTGAAAAACTGTGAAACCCAAGGAGGATTGGGTCCCAGAATGCAACATCGATGCTCTCTCTGATATTGTAAGAGTTAAAATGTAATTAATTAACGCTGTTAGATTGTAAGACGTCATGGAAAAGTAAATTTATTCATTTATCTATGAGTATTTTCGCCCCGTCGATTCCTACTTCCAATGAAATCCGAAGGTCAAAGTTCGTAAAACAAAACTTGATTTCTGTTGATTTCTCCGCTATTTATTTTGTTTATGCGAGTAATACACATGCAAATTGGATGTAGTTTGAAGGAAAACATCACTGGAGGAACAATGGTCACGGATATTAACGATTCAAAGCAAGTACTAAGGTAAGGGTCCGATATTGTTCCGAAACCCTTCGGAACATGATATTAAAATTCCGAATTCCGGTATTTTAACAAAAGTCCGCGGTTCGGACCGATTCCGGTCGAATGGCACGGCCCTAGTTGAAATAGATGGGAGATGCACACATTTGACAGTTTAAAAGTCCTTTGCACCTAAGTGGAAGATATATTTTCACCAAATGGAAAAGTTTGAGAGTCCTACAGATTTGGTATTTAGACCGATTGGTATAAATTACGATTTATGCCCTGTTGACATTATCATACCTTATCATGGACCTTCATCATATCTGCAACTAAATTTCCCCTCCCACACTTAGATGAATACTATTTATGAAAGGAGACAATCATATCCTTTATGAAGTATGGCTTTTTTAGTAGCCCATACGGGTTGGGAGTAGATATTACGTAGCTTAAGTTAAGAATATGCTATTATCACCATCAACTTTCTGTTGAGTTCTTTGCATATAGATGTAGTCAGTATAGCCTGGTTAATTTCCATGTATATAAATATGTCTTTGTTTATGTTCAAGATTATGTAAAGTTTGATCTAAATTGCTAGACCTGTCACAGCCCTTATATTCAATTGCATTGGAGTAGGGTTGGGTGGATGTTTTTTTTTTGCGAAAAGTGAACGGTAACCGAATGAAAAACACATTTTTTCAACTTTCCCTTTCACACAGTTTTGAAACCAAGGCTTTTTCTCAAAATTTTACCAAAACAAGTAAAATTTCACACATTGTTTTATTTTTTATCCTCTTTTTAATTGCAGATTTCTACTAGGCACCATATTGAGTTTTAACCATTTCTCATTATTAAATCTTTCTCAGACATTTTTATATTTTTAAAACATGGACTTTTTTTGAAACATTGACTTTTTTTGAAACATTGACTTATTTTTGAAACATTGACTTATTTTTTTATTATTGCTTGATTACAGACCAGATTACCAGGCATACATGACCTTTATGTAAGTTTAGTGATTTAACAAGTTTGAGCTAATCTTAAGTGTTTTTTCTTAATCTTATGTTTAAATGTTCTATATTTTGATTTTTCAGCTATGCATATATATCTAAACTAATTTTTTAGCCTCTTTGTCTGTCCTGTCTTGTTAATGCTCAAATAAGAACAAAAGAGACGCAGATGATCTTTGAGATGATCATTAAGATGATTCTTCAGATCATTATTGTGGATCATTCAGATTTGCTGTAAATAGTTTATATTGGTGTATTTGTTGTAAAAAATAACTCTCCCCTCTTCCATCTCCTTGCTAACATTTCATTGTAGTTATCACATATGCTGAATCTTGAGAATTTTCTTAAGTTTTTCTGTACAAAGTTTAGAACTATATGTATATTATAATCTGAGTTATCTTGTTTCATTTTTGTTTGTGGGATGTTTTATTGCTATTAAAGTGTAAAGTAACTAATAATTTGACATTTTGGTTGCTGTTATCAAGCAGATTCACGTTTTTATTGTTTAACTTTTATAACTTGTTTAAAAAAGCAAAAAGCACTACTTAAACTAAGTCAGTTATCGTTATCGCCCCTGCATTAAAGCAATGTATCTCCCATGGAAAGAGTCGCCTGTGGGAGAGGCCTCCTTTGGAATCTTATGTATGTGTCTTCGTTATCAACATTATGTTAACTTGTTGAAGAAGAACCAAGTATCTATATCTTGTTATTGACATGCATTATTTTTAAACTAAACTTCATATTAAGAAATTTGTCTGTTAATCGACAAATACAATAGTATTAAAGTAGGTATGAAATTACTTTTTCGGAAGACTTCCTCCTTGAAGTACTCCTGTATTTTTACTTGGCAAGATATTTTTCAGAGAATTAAAACTGAAATGTCTAAAGTTAATGAAATCAAAATTATTTTTCAGACTACATTGCCAGATTTCCGGGATGCCGAATTCTCAGTTGTTCGACAACATGAAGAATTTGTGTGGCTCCATGATCGCTATGAAGAGAATGAGGATTATGGGGGCATTGTCATACCTCCCTCACCCCCTAAACCAGACTTTGATGCGTCGCGAGAGAAGCTACAAAAACTAGGAGAGGGAGAGGGAACCATGACGAAAGAAGAATTCACAAAAATGAAACAAGAACTAGAGGCGTAAGAACTGATCATATATTTGGTAGTCTCAGACTTTCATGATCAATATTTTAAATTGCTTTAACTCTTGAAATACCATAAGTGTAAAATATTCTGTTGTCTCTTTGATGGACAAATTAACTGATAAAATTAAAATATAAAAAACATGGTGTTACTGTTAAAAACCATGTTTGATAACTTCAATGCTTATTTCACCTTTCATTTTGTAGCGAGTACCTAGCGACATTCAAGAAGACGGTTGCCATGCATGAGGTGTTTCTCCAAAGATGTGCCGCACATCCAACTCTTAGAACTGACGTAAACTTTAAGGTTTTCCTGGAATATGAACAAGATGTGAGTAGTCTCATCTGTTCATGTTTTGAAATGAAAATGAGAGTGGAAAGTGTGGAATCAGCAAGGAATAAGATAAATAAGCATGCTGTTAACAACCTAAATTATATAGATATACAAGAACAGGGGATATTTCCTTAAATTTAAAAAGAAATTATAAGTAGGGCCATTGTGTCAATCGGTCAATTTTGTACCTCTAGAAAATTATTTTAGATTTGATTTTGATGGAGCCGTAGACCATAGACATACAGACCATCAACATGTTCCAATTTGTATTTGGTATTTTCTTTTCTCATTCACATTCATTTGTGATTGAGTACAAAATCATTAATTACCATCATTTGTATAATTCGATGCGTAGAAATGGCCTCTTTGGTGTACCAAATCATTGTTCAACAATGATTTCAACAACAAAAACTTGTCACAACTTTTTTGCTAAATTGCTATCAACTTGAATGAAAATATAGCAAATAAGCAAAAAGGTTTTGTCAAGTTTTTTTGTAGATATAGATTCCAACTGGATATATATTTTGACATAATACATTTCAATTTAATTTCAGTTAAGTGTACGAGGCAAGAACAAAAAAGAGAAGCTGGGTGGATTTTTTAAATTTGTAACAAAATCAGCAGATGAGCTACTTCTTTCACAAACACAAAAGGTAAATTGAAGTAATAATGAATACTTTTTGGCCAGTTTCCTTCTTGATGGATTTTTAGATTTTAATCCCTATTTTACTTATTGTACGAATTGATATCTCAAACTCACCCATTTTGTTTTTTTAGGAAGTAAAGATTTTAATCTCATTTTCTGCAGCACATTCCAATAATTGCACTAATTATGGTAAAAAATGATTGTAACATATTTTCATAAACATAAAAAACATTCTCATTCTGCATTTAATAATTGTTTCTTTTTTTCCAGGACAGTGATGACTTTTTTGAACATCAGAAAACCTTCCTAGTGGAATACCATGAAAAGATAAAAGATGCTACTACTAAATCGGACAAGATGACAAAGGTCCATAAAAGTAAGTTTTTGAGATCTTCTATGCGACAAAATAGATTTAAAATCATGTTCTTCTTTAAGAACAGAAGGAGCATGGAATAGTATCTTATGCTTGTTTTTTGGGCCTTTCATACTTATGTATGACATTTATATTTCTTTTATGGCCTTTAATGCTTGTATGAACTGGTTAAATTTTGGAGACTCTGGGTAAATGTTAAGATGGTCATTTTGAATTTTTTGTCTTAAAATCTTGTCTGTAAAGTCTTGTGTAGTGTATATGTTTCATGGCCCAAAAATATGCTTCTGGGCATTTAAACCTTATGTTTTCAGGCTTATCACCTTATTTTGGGCCATTCAAACTTTTTTTACAGTAGTCTTTCACTAAGTTGTCCTAAACACTATTTTTGGAATAAGAGTTGTCAATTTTAATTCATTTCAGATGTAGCAGACACTTACATCCAGATTTCTAGTGCATTATCCCAAATAGCTACTATAGAAAACACTGAACTAGACAAGATGCTTGTTAAACTAGGAGATGGCATGGAGAAGGCAAGGGTAAGTAGAATTTCAAATATCCAAAACTGACATTTTGCCTTCAACATTTGAATTAAGAAAGATGGTAAGAAATCTACTCATATTTCACATTATTCAAGTTGCTGTCCATTTCAACTCATATTTCACATCATTCAAGTTGCTGTCCATTTTTCAACTCATATTCCACATTCTTCAAGTTGTTGTCCATTTTTCAACTCATATTCCACATTATTCAAGTTGTTGTCCATTTTCAACTCCTGTTCCACATTATTCAAGTTGTTATCCATTTTTCAACTGTTATTCCACATTCTTCAAGTTGCTGTCCATTTTTCAACTCATATTCCACATTACTCAAGTTGTTGTCCATTTCAACTCATATTCCACATTACTCAAGTTGCTGTCCATTTCAACTCATATTTCACATTATTCAAGTTGTTGTCCATTTCAACTCATATTTCACATTATTCAAGTTGTTGTCCATTTTTCAATTCATACTTCACATTATTCACGTGGTTGTCCATTTCAACTCATATTTCACATTATTCAAGTTGTTGTCCATTTTTCAACTTATATTTCACATTACTCAAGTTGTTGTCCATTTTACAACTCATATTTCACATTATTCAAGTTCTTGTCCATTTTTCAACTCATATTTCACATTATACAAGTTGTTGTTCATTTTTCAACTTATATTTCACATTACTCAAGTTGTTGTCCATTTTCAACTCATATTCCACATTATTCAAGTTGTTGTCCATTTTTCAACTCATACTTCACATTATTCAAGTTGTTGTCCATTTTCAACTCATATTCCACATTATTCAAGTTGTTGTCCATTTTTCAACTCATATTCACATTATTCAAGGTATTTCTCATCTTCTGCATTACAGAAGCTAGAGGGAAGAGCAGCTTCGGACGAGGATCTAAAACTTTCCGACACCTTAAGATATTACCTACGTGACTCCGAGGCAGCAAAGAGTTTACTGTATCGACGAATGCGCTCGTTAGCTAACTATGAAAATGCTAATAAAGCACTAGACAAAGCCCGGGCCAAGAATAAAGATGTTCAAGCTGTAAGTTCCTAGATCACACATCAAGGATTTTAGTGATATCTATTCAATGCTTTTTATCCTACTTTTTCAAAGAGCTATATTATTGTCTTGTGCTTCTGAGCATGCATGGTTTGCATTGTAAAAATTATATTGAACTTTATGTTTTAGGCTGAGAATACGCAACAGACTTGCTGTGAGAAGTTTGAAAAGATCTCTGAACAAGCTAAAGGAGGTTGGTCATAAAACTAATCTTATTCCCATATGTTGAATTTAAAGGAGTCCTATACAGGGAGATGGCATCTTAGCAATAACTGAGTACTCATATCAGTAAATATTAGTATTAAATGAGCACTTACGACGTGAGTACTGATTTATTGCATGTTTTAGTATAAATGAGTACTCGTATTATGAGTGATAAAATAGTACTAATAAAATTGATTTTTCAGCGCTAAATGAGTATCATATGATGAATTAGTACTAAATTTGCACTTGTGGCATGAGTGCGCTTTTGCCAGAGTGCTAATTTGGTACTAATTTTGTACTTATTGAGTAATCGGCATATCTCCCTGTGTAATCTAACTAAGTGGACTTTTAAATGAGACATAGAGTGCATTACCAGGAAAATAAAAAAATGATACCTAACAAACATATGAATTTTCAATTGATCAAATAATACAGATTTTATAGTTCCAGGATGATAAACCTCTATAGTTAGCTTGGCATCAGCTAAATGGCATTGCATTCTCAATTGTGCATTGTATTTATTCTTAATTGTACATTGTATAAATTCTCAAGACAAGACAAGTTGTATTTATAGGAAATACATGAAGAAAGTTGTATTTATGATTTCAGAATTAGGTGACTTTAAAGAAAGACGAATTCAACATTTCCGTAAAAATTTTGTGGATTTAGCAGAGTTAGAAATTAAACATGCAAAGGTGCGTGCGATTGATTAATAGAGAAGCATTATTAAGAATTCTACTCCAAGTAAGATCTATGAATGTTATAATTAATGTTTGACCCCTGAAACTGATTTGATTAATTAGAAAAAATAAGTTCGAATTATTCACAGTATGAGGAATTTACTTTCTTCCCAAAACCTTCTACATTATTCAAAAGCAATGTGTATAAATTATAAGTTGCCCCCATATACCCATTCACAGTCCAATACTACTTGTAACATAAAACAAAAGTGGGGACCAGTTGTCTTGACGACAAGTTGTTGTGGAAACAAGTTGTCCTGGGAATAAGTTGATAAGGATGCCAAGGCTTTACATGGCATAAGTCGAGCTAAGCTAATTAGCTTCTTTAACTTCTGCCACCATACTTTTTTCCCTTTTCAAAAGTTGCGTTTATTTCACTTCTCCCTTAAAGAAATTATTTTCACATAAAGGGACCCATCCGGTCATCTCCTAAAATTCATAAATGTTTTTTCTAATTGCAGGCACAAGTTCAACTCTTCAAAGGCCTAATTACCCAAATAAAAGAAAACTCCTAAAAACCATAGAAATATAGATCAGTATTTGGATTTGTACATATATTCCCGCCACTAGATCGAGTAATGGATTTATACATAGATGCTATAATTTTGTATGTGCAAATAGACGCAGTTTGAAACGTCATAGATAATTTTACACAGAAATATATATGTGTTTTTGAAAACTACGATATATAATACAGGTAGAGGAGAAAGATTTTGAAAGTTGAAGGTATATAATGATACGATGACAAAGACTTGTGAATACACGGATAGGCAGGATACAAAGATAAGGAAAAATGCTTGGACACAAGTCACCGAACGATTGAATTTTCAGGTGAATCATACAGGCAAATATGTCATATGTAAAAAGATTATGGTATATTCATTTAAAAAGAGTATGGCTTCACTTTATTCTATGGCAATTTCTCTGTAAGCGTACTTTGCAATCTGAAATATCACATTGGAGATTTGAGTGGCATTGGGCTCGTATAATAGATGCAGTAGAAAGAGTCTCCAATAATAATGTAGAAAAAGTGATCTCCCCAGCTTAAGCTCAACTGGGTGCTACTGCACCCTATTGAAATTGCATGTCACCTTGTTGAAATCAGTGCACCATGCCTAATGGGTGAAATATTGAGATATTTGAACCAAATCTTATCTAAATTAGGATTTAGCACCTAGTTGACAAAGAATCCTGGGGACAATCTCTGAGGTTGGGAAAATGTGTGTTTTTGTACAAGCAACTGTATTTTGAAAACTTCAGCTTCCAATGATTGTAGAAAATGTATGACGACTGTTTTCAGTTTTCCAATATTTTTGTGGTGACATCTTGTTATAGTCTCCAACTTTTGTGGACAGCAATTGGCTTTCGGCAGTCCGTGTATGTTACAAATGGCAGGTGGTGACATTTTGCATTTTAATGCCTTGGTTAAAAGCACAATTTGAAAAACCTGGAGTCCATTCCTCAAGACTGTAATGTAAATTCCAAATCTATGTTTTTAGATGCAATATTTCAGGTCTGTTAAAACTACACTACACTACACTGTAGTTTGTTTTAGTTCACTCTCTCATAGATATGTAGATGTTTCACATTTCCAACAATTGGGAAAAAATGATGTCTTTCTGAGTGAATTATAGTTACATAGATAAGTACATATGCATATATTTGTATTTATACTAATTTCATAATTTAGCATTATAAGATGTATAACTACATTCCACATTTATCTATCACAAACTGTTAACACGATTTCTAATTATAAGTGAGCTTTGGAGCTCTCAAATAATGTTACCAGTTTAGTAGGTGTGTCTATGATCACATGTTATATGATATACTCAAACAAACAGGGCAGAACTCTAGATCCATTTTAACTAGTTTGATCTAGTTAGGCCATTACAAGTGATTTGTCTGTTTAGCAATGATTGCTGGTTATATGTGAAGATGCAATTTTTGAATAAAAAGTCCTGCTAAACAGATAATCGACCTGTAGGGGCCTAACTAGTATGGTTATGGTTATGTTCTTTTTAAAGGTAAAATGTGCTTGACTTCAATGTATGTTCATTGTACTTTACTTTACCATTTTTGGTTTAATTTTGATGACATTTTGTGTTATCAGATTGGTGAATACTCAAAGTTGAACACACGATGTGATTCTTAACATTTATGTGATTTTTGCCAATGTAGTCATGTCCGTAGGATTGGTATGTCATGTCAATATAGTCATGTCAATGTGCTGATGTCAGGTTGACCATGTCTGTATGTTCCAGTCAATAATGTCAAGTCAATATTGTAGGATGTTAATGTTGTCATGTCAATATGGTCAAGTCAATATTGCCATGTCAATTGTCATCATAGCCACATCAGTATAAATGTCAGGTCAATAATAAAGTCAAGTCATGTCAATATGAAAATGTCATGTCAATCTGGTCATGTCAACCAGTTGATTTATGAATGTGTTAACTGGTTCTAGGGTAGTACATCCTTGAGAATTAATATTGAAATTAATAAATAAATTAACAGTGATGTTCTGATATTTCAATATCAGTGTTGAAGTCAGAATAAATGATTGCCAAATATGAAATGAAAATGAGAATAAGCTTTATTTATCACTTGTACAGAAAATAATGAATGTTTGTGTAATATGTAGTAATAAATGAATGAATAAATTGATATAAAAATAATAGCTCTAGTTGTATCTAAATAAAAAGGGATGTTGGTTCTGTTACATATGCTTCGTAATGTATGGAGCTAACAAAGACATGACGGGACTGGATACTTTATCAAAATTATGTATAACTTCCTGAATAGAGCGATTCAATAACCATGATGTAAAAGTACCTTTTGTAGAGTCTCATTCTTCAACCCCCCGCCCCCCCCCCCCCCCCCCCAAAAAAAAAGGTCATTACCATCACAATAAAGATAGTCACAATGTTACAGCACTTTGAACAAAATGCTCCAGGTGTGGCCATCATTGCACTGTAGGCAAACCTGCGCAAGTTGTCAAAGACTGGACTGCAGGTATGGCCTGAATGACACGAATGATCTCCCTTTTGAGGTCTGCAGTTGTCCTGAAGTCATTCTTGTACACTCTATCTTTGGTGTGTCTCCAGAGGTAGAAGTCATTTTGGACAAAACGTGCAGGTTTGCCCACTGTAACAGTGCAATGATGGCCACACCTGGAGCATGTTCATTAAAGTGCTGTAACATTGTGACTATCAGTTTGATGGTCATGACATTTTGATAGTAAATTGAATGATTTAAAAAGTGTCAAATATTAAGGCATAATTTCTTAAAATAAAGATGCATTAATAGCATACTTTAACATGTTAAAATTGCTCTAAAAATCTCCCAAGATAAATTTTATTAAAAATGTCCAAAACCTTATGATTTTGAATCTTAAAACATGTTTGTAAATAATAATGAAAGAAAATTTGATATTTATTTGATAAATGTAGTGAATTTGAAGTTTTCAAACAGCAATATTTACACACAAACCAATGTGCCAGATAACAACCTAGTAGTTAACTGCCATCTATAGGAGTCCTTGCTCCCCTTGTATGAAATGATGTGAATCGGTTCAAGCCTCATTCACACTTGAATACTGATTGAGTTATTTCTATTGAATGGAACATGGTTGATCATGAGTAATTTTAGATAAAGCTTTATTCTTAAAATGTCATCTTAGAAATTACATATATATACAATAAATATTGAAAATAATGTATCTGACTTAGAAAAATAGTTTTAATGAGCATATAATGCTATAGATCTACTAATTATTCTAGGGCAGTGTAATTAAGTGAATTCATCATTTTTAAATTTTTTCATACAATAGCCCTTTCCGACAGATAATAATGTTTGCAAATTGTATTACATTTTTTGTAAGTTAGCAATAAATTAATCCTTATCTGCCCTGGAATTGTATGAATGCCATCATAACCAATTAGATTGGTCTATTGTCCGATTGCCATCAATCATCACGATCAGAGTCTCGAAAAGTCTTTTCTGATTCCCAGCTTTTTTGCCATTTTTATTATCATTAAAAAAATTGAGCACCTCTTTTATACAGATTATCACTATTTCATCATTTTAAAATTGTGCACCATTTTTTAATGGATTTTCACCATGGAAGATTGTCAATGTCGACATTTCCGCCACAAAGTATAACTCCAATATTTTTAAGTGAAGGGTCTAACTGTCGCATTTCTTCTGACATAACGGCGTGAACTCCTGCGGCAGAACTCGCCTCTATTACTGTCTGAAAAATAAAATGTCCCTTGCTTGGATATTTATGTAACGTTGCATATAGTGAGTGAGAATGCTTTTGAATCAGAAAAATGTCATTTTAAGAAAATTATTAGTCTATGAAATATTTAGGGTAGCGTATGGTCAACAGTTCAAATTGTTCACCCCTATTTCACAAATGAGACTTAAGATTTCAAATCAAGTACATGTACAATATTAACAAAATTTACCTTCATCCTCTGCCAAACGAACTTCATAGCTTCTACCATCTCTTTGTTACTCTAAAAACAGAAAGATATGCAATCAATGTAAGATATGCAACCAATGTAAGATATGCAACCAATAAAAGATATACAACCAATATAAGATATGCAACAAAAGTAAGATATGCAATCAATGTAAGATATGCAACCAAGGTAAGATATGCAATCAATGTAAGATATGCAATCAAGGTAAGATAAGCAACCAATGTAAGATACACAACCAGTGTAAGATATGCAACCAATGTAAGATATGCAACCAATGTAAGATATGCAACCAGTGTAAGATATGCAACCAAGGTAAGATATGCAATCAATAAAAGATATGCAACCAATGTAAGATATGCAACCAGTGTAAGAGATGCAACCAATATAAGATATGCAACCAATCTAAGATATGCAATCAATGTAAGATATACAACCAATGTAAGATATGCAACCAATGTAAGATATGCAATCAAGGTAAGATATGCAATCAATGTAAGATATGCAACCAATAAAAGATATGCAACCAATATAAGATATGCAACCAATCTAAGATATGCAATCAATGTAAGATATACAACCAATGTAAGGTATGCAACCAATATTAGATATGCAACCAATGTAAGATATGCAACCAGTGTAAGAGATGCAACCAATATAAGATATTCAACAAAAGTAAGATATGCAATCAATGTAAGATATGCAATCAAGGTAAGATATGCAATCAATGTAAGATATGCAATCAAGGTAAGATAAGCAACCAATGTAAGATACACAACCAGTGTAAGATATGCAACCAATGTAAGATATGCAACCAATGTAAGATATGCAACCAGTGTAAGATATGCAACCAAGGTAAGATATGCAATCAATAAAAGATATGCAACCAAGGTAAGATATGCAATCAATGTAAGATATGCAATCAAGGTAAGATATGCAATCTATGTAAGATATGCAATCAATGTAAGGTATGCAACCAATGTAAGATATACAACCAATGTAAGATATGCAACCAAGGTAAGATATGCAATCTATGTAAGATATGCAATCAATGTAAGGTATGCAACCAATATAAGATATACAACCAATGTAAGATATGCAACCAATGTAAGATATGCAATCAATGTAAGATATGCAATCAAGGTAAGATAAGCAACCAATGTACGTAAGATATGCAATCAATGTAAGATATGCAATCTATGTAAGATATGCAATCAATGTAAGGTATGCAACCAATGTAAGATATGCAATCAATGTAAGGTATGCAACCAATGTAAGATATGCAACTAATGTAAGACATGCAAACAATCTAAGATAAGCAACCAATGTAAGGTATGCAATCAATGTAAGGTATGCAACTAATGTAAGATATGCAACCAATGTAAGGCATGCAACCAATCTAAGATAAGCAACCAATGTAAGATATGCAACCAATGTAAGACATGCAACCAATCTAAGATTACATTGGAACTGAATACAAAAATGTATTCAATTAAATATAAAAAGTTTTTTTAGAAGATTCTTAGTTTTATCTTGTGAGCAAAATTTCCAAACCAAAAGTTCATTCAAAGTTCTTTCTGAATGAAAAGTCCTTGCCTGATTGAGATTTCTTGTAGATTACAAAATGGATTGGCACAATTGTGGGAACCATCAGTTTAAAAAACTTTGAGATTGTGCTTACCACAGTAAAAACTTGTTTCTCAACCAATTCACACACGATAGGGAATGTTAAATGTCCAAGTTGTTGGGTCCGGATTCCCTCTGCAATTGTGTCAACAAATTGGGGGGGATTCTTCCATAACCTTGCCTTTTCCTTGAGACAAGGTCCTAGTTCTTTACCCAGGGGTTCCACTGGAAATACTGTGAAAAAAGAAAAAAAATAAGTGTAAGAATGTAAATTCCACTAAAAATGTAAATTGTGTAGCAAATACTGTAAAATTCTATTTTACTGCAAATACAGTGCTATTATTTCCACTGTTGTAACTCAAGTAAAAAATGCAAATTCTACTATTAAAATGTAAACTTTACTGCAAATACTGTGAAAATGGAAATCCAATGCAAATACACTAATAGCCTTGCCCAAGTCGGTTTCTTTTACTTGTCTTAATTTCTATTATGGTAATAATTCAAGATCAAATAAGTAAAAATGGGCAAGGCTAACACTACAGTCGACAGCAAATATTGCAAAAAGAAAATTTTACTGACTTTTAATGCTTGGTTTGATTGCTTTGGCTGCTATAGCAATACCAGATGTCATCCCTCCCCCGCTTATTGGCACCAGAATAGCGTCTAACTCGGGCACTTCCTCTAGGAACTCAACTGCCATTGTGCCCTGCAAATCAAGCAAGCAAGGAGGGTTGAAATTACTTAGCTTTGCCATTTATATTGAAAACCAATACACTGTCTTTAAACTCTAGTGATTACTGAATCAACAAATTAAAAAAATTGACATTTTCATTTAACATTTTAATTGTGACCTTATTAGTCCCATTGTACAATCATTCCGAGGGTACAAAAAGCTGTATACCTGGTCAGATGTAAATGTGTCATGTGGAGGAATGATACTAAATCAAAATAAAATTCATTTTTACATTAACTTTATCATTTCAATGTTTATCATACACTTTGAGAGATAGAGAGTGGGTTCTGATCCTCATGACATTCGTGTATGATTTGCAAAATATGACATTTTGATCCAGCAACCTTGCATTATGTTAATGATTGGTATTTTGAAATGGGATTCAATCATTGTACTCACCTGACCAGCTATAGTGTTGTATTGATCATAGGGATGAACAATGAAATAGCCCTTATCCTTCGCTATCTTGTCACATGTTTCCACTCTGAAATTATATATACATACATTATAAAAACTGCACCGAGCACATGAAAGAAAATTGTGTCTAAAATTCTTGGTATGTTTTCCCTCATTGTAAAGGCCCATGGGGACTGTTTTGAATTGGTATTGAAGGCAATTATAATGCCGCCTTGGGATTTTAAACAGTCTTGAAACAGTCGTCAATGAAACCTAGCAGTCGTATTTATGAAAAGCTGGTTAATTGGACATTAATTGATATTTCTCAAATAAATGCCCATGGGCATTATACTGAAAATACATAAATTAGCCAATGGATCATATAAAGATATGGCCTCCTTTTGTGAAAATTCTAAATATAATACAATATAATCAAAATTGCACCTCGATGTAGGACTGGGATCACAGTATACCAAGTCTGCCCCATAACCTTTAATTGCCTGTGCTTTGACCTCTGGAGTTCCTTGTGGTACCACAACACAGCAGGGAAGGTCGGCCAATCTGGCAGCCCATGCTACAGCTTGTCCATGGTTCCCACTGCTATGCGTCACCTGAAGAAATATAACATACTTATAAGATTTGATGTTTCATATTATTGGCTATAGTCAGGCTTTGAAAAAATATACAGTAAAACCTGTCTTGTCTGAATACCATTAGAGATGGTCAAAAGTGTTCAGGTTAGTTGGTGTTCATATTTCTAGTTTTCTTAATATGTGAATTAATGGGAGAAATGAGAATTAAATGGACCATGTAAAAGTGTTTCCATTGAGAGATGCTAGGATAAGAGAGGCGCTTAGATATACTGTTCGTGATCACCCAAACAAAATTTAGCCTAGATTGGTTAAATATCAAATGCTTTTAAATTTTAAGATAAAAATATTAAAAATAACATTCTTTATAGATATTTATGAGAAATTGTATACACCCTCTTTTCTAGATTTGTTATAACCTCTTTGGAGAGATCTAAAAATGTCTATCATGTGATTGCACATTTGGCCTATTGACTCTGAGAAGAAATGAAAATGCACCGTGCGATAAGTTAAGTAAGTTTCTTTTTATTATATCTTTATGTGAGAAATTCACTTACAATTCCAGCTACTTTGGAATGTTCTTCTTTCAACTTCAAGATCTGAAATAAACATCATAATGTGTATTCATTTGTGATCAATGAGACATACTATTGTGTGTACATATACAGGAGATTCAACATGAACAAACTATACATAGAGATCATCATATGGAATATGTAGCGCCATATACTAGACAATCTGGAATAGACTGTATAATACATATCATTATGTCCTTTCCTTTATAAGACACAATTTCTCCATAAGAAGGTGCTTAAGTTCCTATGATATCATAATGCTTCATCAAGTATCGTGACAGGCTCTCAAATCATCAGAATTACCGTAGAATATAATGATTGAGCATCCACCCAGATGCACAAATCCTGCTAACTACATGTAGATGAAGATCTCTTTTAAAGAGGTGAAATTATAGGACAAGGGACTGATTGAACTTATTCTATAGGTTCAGGACATTAAATGACATTGCGATACAATAAAGTGACTAAAGACAAAAATCTGTTAGAGCCAGCAGCATCCAGCCCTTGAAAGAGGTACATCCTTGCCAATGGTATCCTTGTACTTTTACTATATCAAGTAATACAACATTGCAAGTTTGCAGGACGACCGCGCATTACTCGAGTCTCTAGCCAATACAGTGGCCTTAGAAGAAGGTAAACCCCGCACTCTTATTAGGCAGGGAGGCTCTACCTCTGATAGAGCCCATGGGAGCACCTAGTCTATATCAAATAGACTGAATTTCCTGAAAATTCAGTCTGAATATTTTCATTCCAAATTTCCAAAAATTTCAGACTAGAGGATATAGTCTAAGGGACACAGATGGCAGAATTTTTCTTCTTTAGGATGTATTTTCTAAGAAAAATTCTGCCATTTGTGTTGTGTGAGCAAAGCTGAACGTCCTAAACTTACAGAATTCAGAGCACCCCTCGGTTTGAATGATCCTGTTTTCTGCAAGTTTTCAGCTTTGAAGAATACCTTCCTGTTGACTAGATTATCAATTGTAGTACACGTGAGCACTGGGGTCCTGTGTATATGTTTGGCAATCCGTTGATGAGCCTTGATAATGTCTTGAAGTGACACTGGAAATGACATATTTGTTTTGATTTTGGGGATTCCCTTAGTACTACGTACTTCCGGGTTTCCCCATTCGTTATTCCATGGGCTTTCAACAGAACTTTATTAGTTTTCTGTTAGTCGAGTAATACTAGATTAGTTCCACTCTTGATTAGTTCGAACATTTAGATATGTAATCAATTCATTTGTTATCGGACGACGTAGCGTTCAGTGTCAGGTGCAAGTTTATGTTCGGACGAATATAACCACATAGTCTGCTAGTTATTCGAGATTTACACGGGGTATTTGTTACCCGTTACTCTAGATCTTCTGCAGGTTTCATCTCAAAATGTACAGAGGGAATAGGATATCATATTTTTCGAAAAAGTTAATATTAAACGATAGCAAGGGTTTTTAATCCTGAAACCATACTGAAATAAAGCCTTTTTAACCGTTTGAATTGTAGAGCCCATGATGGCATGGAGTGTGGAATGATGCTGACAAATGCATGTACACTCCCCTCCATAAGTTTGGCAACCTTTTCCCCCCATAGAACTACGTGTTAAAGCCTCTTTACCTTTGAATTTTTATTTACTTAACCTGCGATGAAAATACTTATACTATTGATGGAAACGTAATTTGACTTTAATTCCAATACCTCCAAATTTTCTCAATTTTTTTCCTCAATTACAATAGGTCGAAAATTGATGATAAATTTGATGAATTTTTCAAAATCGACATTCCCATGTTAACCAATGGGAAATGGTAGGTTTGCCACAAGTCATATGACAGAATATCCATCCATCACAGTCCTTGCACAAAATACGAGTTAGGCAGGAAATTGAATTTGCTAGCTTTATTTAACAAAAAATTGATATGTTTCTTCAGGTTCAACAAAGTTATAGGGCTTTAAAGTCAAAATTGTTTTTCAAAAAACCTCTCCCATTGAAATAACACAGGAGGCGAAAAATTATTTTCAAAAATGACTTTGAAGCGCTGTAACTTTAATATTCATCAAATAAACTAAACACTTAGTGTTCAAAAAAGTTAGACAATTCAATTTTCTATATAAAAATATTTTTGCTGAATCCTTTACTGAAAAGATATCCTGATTTCTGATTGGCCTCGAACCCTTCATTTCCCATTAGATTACGTGGGAATGACGATTTTCAAAATTTCCTAAAATTAATCATCAATTTTCGACCTATTGTAATTGAGAAAAAAAATTGAGAAAATTTGAAGGTATTGGAAATAAAGTCAAGTTACGTTTCCATCAATATTATAAGTTATTTTATCGCCGGTTAAGTAAATAAAAATTCAAAGGTAAAGAGGCTTTAACACGTAGTTCAATGGAGGAAAAAGGTTGCCAAACTTATGGAGGGGAGTGTATATCATAAATTCTGATATTTCTGACTTTCTTTCAACTCGTTTCTTTAACTTATATTTTTCCAAACCAGAAATAATTTAACTGTGATTGGATATAGATATAGGTATCAGATAGGTATCAGAGTTTGTTCCCTATACACACACTTGCCATTACTTTACATAACCATGGGTATCATTTGTTTAAAACACTTGAAACAATTAATGTCTCCATGTGCATTCATTTTAAAGAGAGCCAATATCGTTTTCCTGTTTTGGTTGCTGTTGATGAAGAGGGGCATATTCATGTACATAATCCCAGAAAGAAATTATGTCTATCTAAAAGCCAATATTCCCCAAGAAATGTTGTCCTCGTTTCACCGATCTAGATGTCTACCTGTAAGCTTAGACTTACTAAATAAATAGTGACCATAAATACATACCGGCGTGTATAGACTTATTAGCTGAAAATTGGCATCAATTTCGAAAAAGATCCCACTTTTTCATAAAGTGGGTCCAAATTTCCAAAAAGGACCAATATTTTTTCCCTGGTGTGAATTTTCAGATCTAATAACAATAAGTGATCTTAGATTTTTATAACACTTGGGCTGTCAGAATAGTTGGGCCTCCACAATGCACATTTTGATGTACCCATCTTTCTTTTTTAAAAACGCACATGGGTTTACGACCAGCATATGTTTTATTGATTTAATATGACACATAATGTAGATTCAATATGTTTATATTTTATTTAAACTTGATATTAGGTTACATAAAAATACAAAATGTAAAATATCAAAAGTATATATAGTATTCATAAATCTTTAAAACGTATATTCACAAATGTAAATAATTCATATATGGTACATGTAGTGTATAGTTCTGAGGTTAAAACCCTGTATATGCATCACCTTGAGCCTTATGTGCTATATTTTCCCTAGTGTCAAATAAGTTTCAATGATTTACAGCTCTCGGAGGTCCACGAAGTCCTCAAGAAGGTTTGCGGTATTCACCAAGGGAGGTTATTAACGTCTACGTTTCCGCCACAAAGTATCACTCCGATATTTTTTAGTGAAGGGTCTAACTGTCGCATTTGTTCTGACATAACTGCGTGAACTCCTGCGGCAGAACTCGCTTCTATCATCAACTGGAAATAGATGACACAAAGGCATTGCAAAACCCAGAAAATTGGTTCGTGCAGTGCATGTCAGACATGTGCGTGTGTTCACGCTTAACCCAAACCCATTAATACACTATATGTATATTTCTTTATTGCGACCAATTCTGATCATATACATGTATTATTTTATACAAGTTAAAACACTGTTATAAGATATCCAAACGTGGAACAAAAATATGATCAAAACTGAGAACAAAATTATCTACTTCTTTTGATGTTATAAATTTGAACATTTTTTAATCTTGGCAACCTTAAGAAAATAAAAAATAGGACAACATATACTCTCAAAGGATTTTTCTTACTTTTTTCCTTCTTTTACCCTCATTGAAGTGATGACTCCAGCCGACAATAGACCATCGTTTAACTCATTTCAAAAAGAGATTACCAAAGGCCCAAGAACATGTATACTATTAGTGTAGATTCAAAGTCTGTACTATCTGACAGTCTGCCTTAACTTCGATTTTACATTTATACATGTCATTTAGCCTCTAAAGTTTACCTTCATTCTCTGCCAGGTGAATTTCATGGCTTCAACCATCTCGTCATCAGTCTAGAAATAATCAATGAGAATATGGCATATCAAAACATTCATATATCATGAAGAATATTATCTTAAAACCCTCAGGATTAACATACTTAACATACTTAAATGGGTACCATTCCCTACTAGGCTACAGAGTGAGATTTTTCGAGAAAATGCACGTTATCTAGGCGTTTGTGTTTTGTTCAATCACATCTCGAGACTTCGCCGTTTAACTAATCAGATTCTTAAGACTGACTGAGGTGAAATTAATATACAAATAGTGACTGCCATTGAGGGAAATAGTGCAAATTATTTTTCCTCCAGGTTATTCCCGAGGGAAAACATTTTACACTATTTCCCGAAAATGTGGCAGTCACTATATTTGTTTTACGATATACCCCATATGTACTCTGTAAACGAAAACAAAATGAGAAGTCTTTTCATTTCAACATTTAATGTTGACAGGTGACAGGTCACCTAACTTGTGATTAGTACATTTCATCTTCCCTGATAGCAGGGATTTAGAACTTTCCAGGGAATAAGTTCATCTATTTCATATCATGTGACCATGAATAAGCCAATGAGCATCTAGAATATGGGGTATATAATAATAATCTAGAAAATTCTTTTGAAATATACAGTAGATATCCGAATCGTGCTTAGCTTACCACAGTGAAAACTTGTTTCTCAACTAGCTCACACACGATGGGGAATGTTTTGTGTCCGACCTGTTGGATACGAATCCCCTCGGCAATTGTGTCTATAAATTGCGGAGGATTCCTCCATAACCTTGTATTGGCTTTGAGACATGGTTCCAATTCTTTACCATAGGCTTCAACTGCAAATACTGGAAAGAGGGGAAAATTACGAGTATATCTTTCGTTCTTAAGGTTGGGTCAGTAAGCAGTTAAGTGACGTGAGAATAGTTGACTTTTATGACCATTTGAATAACATACAACCACTCCCTAATCCAATTTCTTATTACACGGAAACCCGTATTTCCACGAACCTGACAATAATCAACATTCCAACTAACGTTTTCGGAAACATAAGTTAGAAAGTGTTAGTCTATACCTTTTTACCTTTAGTGTCGATTTATTAGGGTGACCTGAATAAATATTGTCCAAAACAGAGTGTACTTGTCTTGCCTTTAACTGTAAGCGACCTACTTTTTATGTTTGGCTTGATTGCTTTAGCTGCAACTGCTACACCAGCTGTCATCCCTCCGCCACTTATTGCCACGAGTATAGCATCTAACTCAGGTACTTCCTCCAAGAACTCAACCGCCATTGTGCCCTGTAAAGCAAAACAGAAAAGATTACCCGAAGTGCGCCGTTCAAATTACAATGAAGAAATTATTTGAGATGTGACTAGAGAAGAGTGATTACCCCAGGACACGGGAGCGAAGGATATCATAATATTAATACCATGTTGTGTCAAAAATCATTATATTATCATAGTGCATCAAAAATCTCGAATAGTGGAAAGGAAAACTCACTTAACCAGTTATTATATTGTATGAATCATATGAATGAACTATGAAAACTCACTTGGCCAGCTATTGTATTGTATGAATTATATGAATGAACTATGAAAACTCACTTGCCCAGCTATTGTGTTGTATGAATCATATCAATGAACTATGAAAACTCACTTAGCCAGCTATTGTGTTGTTTGAATCATATAAATGAACTATGAAAACTCACTTGGCCAGCTATAGTGTTGTATGAATCATATGAATGAACTATGAAATACCCCTTCTCCTTTGCTATTAGGTCACATGTCTCCACCCTGGAATAACAAACAATTCTTGTTAAATTACATATGAAAAGAGCTATAAGAGGAGTTTTATTTTAAAGAAAAATTGCAGAAAAGAGAATCAGAAACACCAAATTCATATAAAGATATACAGGGTGGGTCAAAACAACATTACCCAAGTTTAGGATGAATATCATATGATATTACGTTAAACCATGCTATGTATTGTACATCATTTTAAAGATAAATCATTTCCTAACAATATGACGCCATTTAATTGAAAACCCTTGTTTTTGTGGAGTTAGAGGCTAAAATTTACTCCAGGGTTGTCATGAGCGACCAAAAAATTATTCACTGCGGATATCCAAATTGTGGAAAATGGAGGGAAATTTGGACTTTGAAACCTTCAAAAGAGGGCGTTTATACAAATAAAGTGCAAAATTCAGCAATAATACTTATATATTTTAAATTAATTATTAATTGTGTATAACTCTTAAATAAATTTATGATAATTAAGTCAAGCATATTGAGTGCAGCTGTGACTGCAATATTGAGGGACATTTGGAAGTTTTCATTTTTGATTTGTAGTCGCTCACGACACCCCTGGTGTCAATTTTAGTCTTACACTCCACGAGAAAACTAAGGTTTTCCAATTGGAAGTGTCATTTTGTTAGGAAATGATTTATCTTTAGAATGATATACAATACGTGGTATGGTTTAACATATATCAAATGAATCATTCATCTTTAAACTTTGGCGTTGTTTTTTGCCCACCCTGTATATTTAAATCTACCTTACTACCTTATTGCCTCATTTACCTAATTTTCATGCACCTTTTTGATATAAGTATATTATAAAACGATGTTAAGGAAACTTTTTAAACACATGGAATGTTGATTGCATTTGCCCTTTATACGACAACCTTTCTGATGAAGGAGATGCTCAAACAAATCAGAAAAATGCAGTGCCCCAACATTATATCTGTACCTTGACGTAGGACTAGGCTCACAAATGACCAGATCTGCCCCGTAACCTTTGATAGCTTGAATTTTGACCTCTGGGGTTCCCCGAGCTACCACAACAGTACATGGAATTCCCGCCTTTCTGGCTGCCCAGGCTACGGCCATCCCATGGTTTCCGCTGCTGTGTGTCACCTAGGGGAATAAATTGAGAACTTGCAAGGTTTGCCCAACGATAATAAAGGCTACCTGACAAGATAATTTTGACAAAGTCATTGAACTGTGATATATTGGCACGGGTTTATCCACAGCTCAACGTGGGTAAAATTCACCTAGACTTAACATTTTGTTGGCCGAAGAGAGCCAAGAGAGGCATAATATATGTTTTTGAGGAAACTTGAACGTGAACGTGTAGAATTATGGTACGTCCTTTAGGGATTAATGTCCCATTCTCAATTACCTGTCTAGTAACCTAATTACAACCTTGCTCCTTATACGTTGAACGTGAACGTATAGAATTATGGTACGTCTTTTAGGTAGCACTGTCCCATTCTCAATTAGCTGTCTATGAACCTAATTACAACCTTGTTCCTTATACATTGAACGTGAACGTATAGAATTATGGTACGTCTTTTAGGTAGCACTGTCCCATTCTCGAGTAGTTGTCTAGGAACCTAATTACAACCTTGTTCCTTATACATTGAACGTGAACGTATAGAATTATGGTACGTCTTTTAGGTAGCACTGTCCCATTCTCAATTAGCTGTCTAGGAACCTAATTACAACCTTGTTCCTTATACGTTGAAAGTGAACGTATAGAATTATGGTACGTCTTTTAGGTAGCACTGTCCCATTCTCAATTAGCTGTCTATGAACCTAATTACAACCTTGTTCCTTATACATTAAACATGAACGTATAGAATGATGGCACGTATTCTAGGTAGCACTGTCCCATTCTCAATTAGCTGTCTAGGAACCTAATTACAACCTTGTTCCTTATACATTGAACGTGAACGTATAGAATTATGGTACGTCTTTTAGGTAGCACTGTCCCATTCTCGAGTAGTTGTCTAGGAACCTAATTACAACCTTGTTCCTTATACATTTAACGTGAACGCATAGAATTATGGCACGTATTCTAGGTAGCAATGTGCCATTCTCGATTAGCTGTCTAGGAACCTAATTACAACCTTGTTCCTTATACATTTAACGTGAACGCATAGAATTATGGCACGTTTTCTAGGTAGCACTGTGCCATTCTGGATTAGTTGTCTAGGAACCTAATTACAACCTTGTTCCTTATACATTGAACGTGAACGTATAGAATTATGGCACGTATTCTAGGTAGCACTGTCCCATTCTCAATTAGTTGTCTAGGAACCTAATTATAACCTTGTTCCTTATACATTGAACGTGAACGTATAGAATTATGGCACGTATTCTAGGTAGCACTGTCCCATTCTCAATTAGTTGTCTAGGAACCTAATTACAACCTTGTTCCTTATACATTGAACGTGAACGTATAGAATTATGGCACGTATTCTAGGTAGCACTGTGCCATTCTCGATTAGCTGTCTAGGAACCTAATTACAACCTTGTTCCTTATACATTGAATGTGAACGTATAGAATTATGGTACGTCTTTTAGGTAGCACTGTCCCATTCTCAATTAGTTGTCTAGGAACCTAATTACAACCTTGTTCCTTATACATTGAACGTGAACGTATAGAATTATGGCACGTATTCCAGGTAGCACTGTCCCATTCTCAATTACCTGTCTAGGAACCTAATTACAACCTTGTTCGTTATACATTGAATGTGAACGTATAGAATTATGGTACGTCTTTTAGGTAGCACTGTCCCATTCTCAATTAGCTGTCTATGAACCTAATTACAACCTTGTTCCTTATACATTGAATGTGAACGTATAGAATTATGGTACGTCTTTTAGGTAGCACTGTCCCATTCTCGATTAGTTGTCTAGGAACCTAATTACAACCTTGTTCCTTATACATTGAACGTGAACGTATAGAATTATGGTACGTCTTTTAGGTAGCACTGTCCCATTCTCGATTAGTTGTCTAGAAACCTAATTACAACCTTGTTCCTTATACATTGAACGTGAACGTATAGAATTATGGCACGTATTCTAGGTAGCACTGTCCCATTCTCAATTAGCTGTCTAGGAACCTAATTACAACCTTGTTCCTTATACATTGAACGTGAACATATAGAATTATGGCACGTATTCTAGGTAGCACTGTCCCATTCTCAATTAGTTGTCTAGGAACCTAATTACAACCTTGTTCCTTATACATTTAACGTGAACGCATAGAATTATGGTACGTCTTTTAGGTAGCACTGTCCCATTCTCGATTAGCTGTCTAGGAACGTAATTACAACCTTGTACCTAATACATTGAGCGTGAACATATAGAATTATGGTATGTCTTTAAGGTAGCACTGTCCCATTCTCAATTAGTTGTCTAGGAACCTAATTACAGCCTTGTTCCTTATACATTTAACGTGAACGCATAGAATTATGGTACGTCTTTTAGGTAGCACTGTCCCATTCTCAATTAGCTGTCTAGAAACCTAGTTACAACCTTGTTCCTTATACGTTGAACGTGAACGTATAGAATTATGGCACGTATTCTAGGTAGCACTGTCCCATTCTCAATTACCTGTCTAGGAACCTAATTACAACCTTGTTCCTTATACGTTGAACGTGAACGTATAGAATTATGGTACGTCATTTAGGTAGCACTGTCCCATTCTCAATTAGCTGTCTAGAAACCTAATTACTACCTTGTTCCTTATACATTGAACGTGAACGTAGAGAATTATGGCACGTATTCTAGGTAGCACTGTCCCATTCTCAATTAGCTGTCTAGGAACCTAATTACAACCTTGTTCCTTAAACGTTGAACGTGGACGTATAGAATTATGGCACGTATTCTAGGTAGCACTGTCCCATTCTCAATTAGCTGTCTAGGAACCTAAATACAACCTTGTTCCTTATACATTGAACGTGAACGTATAGAATTATGGCACGTATTCTAGGTAGCACTGTCCCATTCTCAATTAGCTGTCTAGGAACCTAATTACAACCTTGTTCCTTATACATTGAACGTGAACGTATAGAATTATGGCACGTATTCTAGGTAGCACTGTCCCATTCTCAATTAGCTGTCTAGGAACCTAATTACAACCTTGTTCCTCTACCTTTTACTCAATCGGGCAAATTAAAACTAGGTGAAAACTACAAATGGAAGAACTAATCAATGACGTCCATAATTCTAAACGTTCACGTACAAGTTCTTGTAAGAACCTAACCTCCCTATTGTTTTCATGGACTTGTGTTTATAGATTTCACAATTAAGGTCATGACATTTGGGAGAAATCTGCACTTTACAACAACCAATGCATAATAATGAGTGTCCCCTTTTCGATCACTTTGGCAGTTTATTTAATAGGTTTATGGGTTTACTTACAACACCAGCCACATTAGAATTTTCTTCTTTTAGCTTCAGAATCTGAAATTAAAAAGCATTATCCTAAAAGTACAAATCTATTAGCTATACACAAACGAACCATTCTGCATTTTCACTTTGCAATGTAAATGTGATCTTCGCCGTTTTTGATTTATTTTACCTATATCGCCATTTCTAATTATGTGATAATACCATCAAACAAAACTTTGTATTTTTATCTAGTTATTAGGTTCTGAGATATATATACACAGTATATCCAAAAACTGTTAGCTAAATATATCTGAATGTAGATATTCGGCAGATTCACAAATTATGAATTACCAAGGTGCCAAGCATCAGGTGGCTGATTCGGATCAAATAACATGCCAGATGTAAGACAAAGTTCATTTGCTAGTTGCTTTGACATGTGTGAAATACATAAACATTTCACTTTTGCTTTGAAATGAACTGAGGGGAGGGGAGTTGAGGTGAATAAATGACATAAAACAGTCAAGTTTATAAACACTGATAAATGTCAATTAATTGGTGATTTTTCTTGGAAATGTAAGATTTATTACTATTAATTCAGACATTCTCGAGGGACCCGGTTCGGGGGCTTTGGGAAATACAGATACACCTTGCTAGAATGAAAATGAACAGGCGTCAAAGCCATGCGCTTTGGCCTTTTAATGTCGAAGTCAACATTATTGTTGAAACAGTTTAAATCAACATTTCGATGTCATCGACTTATTGAAGTGTGTCTGAATGATTTCTCATAAATAGTAAAAAAGTAATATAGCATCGTTAAATTAGTAATTATTTACTATGGCGCTAATGTTATTAATCTAACAATGGCATATATTTGCACATGTATTTAGGAACTCCGGAACTTTATATAAAATGAAATGAAATTTAAAAATACATTATATTTACAGAGTGTGTTCCGGTCTCGTTATCATTTCATCAAGCCTGCAGTTTCATGATTTTCAAAGCAGGTTACATTTCATTGAAATGAGGCCATGGACTCTACTGGCCATGCTTATCAACTAAGACAACCTTGAAGAAGTAGGGGTCCGATACCCACTTGGGGGGACTGACAATTTACATCGGCCCTGAGCGCAGGTTTTCATTCAGTATTTTCATTAACCAGAACTCACTGTTCCCGGGATTTATCAGAAGTAATTCATTTCGTTTAGTGTAGATCAAGATTACTATATACAGGTATAAATGCATAAACATATGACTGAATAATATTGATGATGGTAAGCTTGGCGGTAATATAATAAATGTATTCTCTTTCACCCTTTTAACAGTGATGTTAGGTCAAAGCGACCTTGAACTAGGCAACTATTCATTTCATTTGGATATGAAAAAATCCAATAAGCAAAACATACATGTACCAGTATACGCTGAAAAGTTCAATCGATGTCCTCAAATGCTTCTTGTATTATTTGTATTCCAAGGCCTTTTAGTATAAAAAAGAGTTGGTATTGATATTTTCAGAGCAAATGAAATATTTATAAAGGATTTATACAAGTAGGTAATCAATGAAAGAAAATGAAATAAAAAATCTATATTCTAAATAGCCTATGCTTATACATGTTATTATGAAGTAAATGCCATTATAGATTATAGTAAAACATCTGGACCCACTACTTTTTTCTTCTATAATCCTATCATTATTCCACAAACATATTCTGATCTCTCATTTGTTTCCCGACTTTTTGTATTCAATAAACGTAGTGGTATCCTTCCCTCCAGACGCTATTGCGAATTCATAAAATGTTTTTGAGTTCGACCAGACATTTTGTTTTTTGGTTATCACCGTCATACATTTAAATATTTGATTTAGATTTTAAGAAGTTATTTTAAATGTTGAGCTTAGCTTTTTGTACATGTTATTTTATGACCCATCTGATATCATCTTCAACTGACATCATTTTCATCTGACATCATCTTCATTCTGTTACTCACAACCCCTTTCTATCTTGCTAGGGGCGAGATTTTAAGATCCTTGGTCCATTAAAACTAAGTCCTCATATCTCAAGGCTTGGCAACGGTTGTAATTTCACCCAAAACTTCCAATGATACTATACGACAACTTAACATATTGTGTTTAAATTACTTACAGAATTCAACGCTCCTCTCGGTTTGAAAGATCCTGTTTTCTGCAAGTTTTCAGCTTTAAAAAACACGTTCCTTTGGACTATATTATCAATTGTTTCACACGTAAATACAGGAGTCCTATGTATGTGTTTGGCAATCCGTTCATGAGCCTCATTGACGTCTTCAAGTGTGACGGGAAATGACATTATTTCTTATTTCCAGATTTCCTGGCCAAAGCAGTGTATCTGATTAACAATTAACGTAGCCAATGCGAAGATCGAAAGTATCGAGTTTTTGCTTAGGCGTTGTTTGTACTGGGGCTCCCAAATGAGGGACGCTGGTCTCACTTTTGGTACATTTTGATTATGTCAGTGTAAACATGTGTCGCTTTTATTCGTGTATTATGTCAAATTTTAGAGAAAAAAACGCATTCTGTCGCATTATTATTGGCTATGACATCATCAGATTTAATAATGAATACGATTTATGTAAGTTAGGGTTACCAAAAATTCAACTCACTTTCCATCTACAACAGGGACGTTAAACTAATTACACGTATTTTAGGGAACTTGTATGGGAACGTGTAGCCTTATGGTTCTTCATGTACTTGCACGATTGGGTATAAAGGTACAGGCTGAAGGAAAATTGTTGTAAATAGGTCACTGGAAAAACAAGTTTGAGAGAGCAGTCGTCCCCAAGTCGTACAAGTTCTCTCAAAACACGTTGACCTCTGTAATACTTCGAATTACATGCATTAGATTTGAGGTATTGTTAGTTTTTTTTAACATATTATTTATTTCCTTCATAAACAAAAAATACACAAAATATCTACTACCAATCCTACTACTAAAACCAATATATCTGCTTTAATAAACCATTTAGATTCATGCGATTAATTATTTGTAACAGAATAAACAGAAAGAATGGACAATAGAACTATTTTTAAATTCTGAATTCCATTCTTATTTTGTATTCGCAAATGCAACTAACGCCTGTCGGGTACTGGATTAACCTACTATTTCATGACCCGATGAATGGAATAGTGGCAGGTACTATTCATATGTAAATGAGTTGCCCTTAAAACAGCAGGTAAATCCGGTAGCCAAATAGGCATAACACCCCAGTCACATTTCCCACGGCCGCCGTGCGGTCTATCATTTCATCAGCTATTGCCCCGAACCGGTCCATCTTCTCGTTGCAAGCAGATTGCCCCGAACCGGTCCGTCTTCTCGCTGCAAGCAGGATGAAATTCTTTGTCACAAAGTTTGGCATTTTTTATAAAATCAAACGCGCGTCATTGAAAGTCACAAGATGTAAATAGCATGTCATTTACATCATACCTTGATGGGGAAAAATAGATCTTATATGTTAGAAGTACTAAATAAAAGCATCGGGGGGCATTATATATTTCAAATTAGACACGAGGAAGTCAATATTGAGCAAGTTATGGTTGTTTTAAATTCAAATAAAACCGTTAACCCGTACCGGTCCAGCTTTTGACCCGTACCGGTCAATTTTCGTTAGCTGCGTATACCAAGGGTGATTGTAATAATATGGTTAACGGTGGTCACGAGCATTACAATGATCATCATCATGAAATATGAAAAATATGACTGCAGTTGAAAATAATGATTTTATAATTAACATTCATCATTGATCGTGATATCAACGTTTATAATCGAAATATATCTAACAGTGATGCCCCTGGCATATGTGTAAGCCTTGAGTTATGATTGAATGGGTCCAGTTAGGACAGTAATTAAGGAGTACACATCACCTCGAAATAACACATTGCATGGTGTAGGATGATTTTTTACAATCGACTCGATCAGCTTTTAATAAAACCTGGGAAGAAGAAATGAAAAACATGCCAGCTACTGTTACAAATCAAATTACACACTAGCAGACTAACTATTAGACCCGGACCCGTTAACGATTTTTCATTTGGTTTTAGGGGATGATGGTGATGGTTGCTCAGATTGTTCTCAGTTTTTGGGGGGAATGATGAAATCTGATAAACAATTTTACTGACCAAGTCCATCGTCTGATCGTCGTAAGCAACGCCCTCTCTATCTCTGTCCTTCTGCGATGCAACAGAGAGAGATGCTGAGTAAGCAACGCCCTCTCTATCTCTGTCCTGCTGCGATGCAACTGTAACAGAGAGAGATGCTGAGTATCAGAATCCACCAAGTCTCAAAATCACATGTTTATCAAGTTATATACAGGGTGTCCTGAAAGTATGGGACCCCTTAGGCAGACATATACCAATGTCTCAATAGTGTGTGTTATATTTCATTTTAAAGGTTATCCAAAGTTACATTGGTTTGCCTTTATGGATTAATTCACAAATGGGAAAAAGTTACAGGCATTTCAAAACTTAGTGTTTAATCCAATATCCTGCATGGAAACACCTCTGACTACCCTGCGTGCAGAGTCTAGTTAAACTACAGAAGACGAAGCTCTCTTTTAAGAAGTGAAGTCAAACGAATGCAAAGGGTAACCTCTGACCTGAATGTGATCGAAAATATGATGCTATTATCAAAGATAGGATGGATAGTAAGTTGGAAAAACTGAGGCGTTTTTTCCGTAACGACGTCACACCCATCTTTCAAACGATGTAGTGAAATATTTTGATGGCGTACATTCAATGTTTTTTACATTAAATGAAAGCATATATGAAACCCTTCCGAAAAAAAGAAACATAAACAGTGCGTTCAGGGTACCCCCAAATCGGCTAGATTAGAGATGAGTCCCCTTAACAACATTGTTATCAGACTGACGCTTTCGTTGCTTGGTTTGGCCTTTTTCTTCTGCCCAATGTTTTTGTAATTTTTTAAAGATCTATACGCGTTGTAGAGTTCATTTGTATATCCAGGCAAAAGTGCATCCAATGCCAGAAGTGAATCAGAAAAGTATTCAGTTAGCCCTATAAACACAGGCTGGTATCGAAAGATTTGTCCGCTGTGACGGAGCATGCTATTTTTCATAAAAACACTAAGAATGCTTCACGATTTATTTTTTAACTCATATGTTTCGTTAAATCAAAGATAATTACTTAATCCATGCAATGGATATATCATTTGCGTGTAACCTTCACTTCTGTTTGAAGTCCAATAACGCTAGGAGTAAATCTATTGAAAACGGCGCCAGAGTATCAAACTCTAAAATGTACCATTTCTTTTTTAATTTTTTAATGGCATGATATAGTGACACGATAATATTAACGTATGTTTTCAGCATAAATCTGAATGTATTAATGAGATATTAATGCATTGGGTCTTTTTAATTTTTTTATAAAACGTAATATTAATATTTTTTGTCTGCTGTGACGGAGCATTTTCACAGTTCACATTTGCAACTGCTCCGTCACAGCGGACAAAAAAATTTAACATTATTTTTTATAAAATAATTTAAAAGACCAAATACATCAACATCTCATTTATACCTTCATAGTTATGCTGAAACCATGTGTAAATATTATCGTGTCACTATATCGTGCCATTAGAAAGTTAAACAAGAAATGGTACATTTTGAAGTATGATACTCCGGCGCCATTTTCAAAAGCTTTTCTTCCCAGCGTAATTGGACTTCAAACAGAAGTGAAAGTTACCCGCAAATGATATATCCATTGCATGGAGTAAGTAATTTTGTATGGTATAACGAAACATATGAGTTAAAAAATAAATCGTGAAGTATTCTTAGTGTTATTATGAAAAATAGCATGCTCCGTCACAGCGGACAAATATTTCGATACCAGCCTGTGATAAAGGTATAATACTTTTCAATGTCGGTTTTAGCTCTTTCCAGTGACACCAAAGAAGAATTTATGTGCCGTCCAGAAAACCATACAGCATATTTGTATTCGACAGGTGCTACTTTACATCCCTGGGGCATGGTGTAGTCGCGACTTTAAACATTTCGCCGTTTCCTTTATACTCTTACCCAAGCAGCGGGTCTCGTTTATCCAAATTTGGATGCATTCTTCAATAGTTTTATTCATATCACTATGCGTAAGATTATAACGTTTTACATGAACGGAATCCTTGGCAGCTTGGATGACGACCCGGTGTCGGCGATTGTGTCACCTCTGGAACGTCAAGTGCAGAACAACTGGCAAACAAGACTCTGGGACGATACAAAGCGGCAACAAGGTCAAGGAAACAAAATCAGAACTTTTAGAACCTATAAACATGACATAAAACAGAAAGATATGTTACATCAATGCTTTCTATTTCTCAAAGAAAGTCATTTGCTTCTATAAGGTGGTGTAGCACCAATCAGAATAGAAACTGGTCGTTATGAAAGGCTGCCAGTTGATGAAAGGGTGTGTCCTTTATGTTATAATGCAATTGAAAATGAAAGACATGTAATTTTGAACTGTTCTCGTTATGAAGACATCCGTTTAGACTTGTATGCAAACGTTTCTACTATTGTAACTGGTTTCATGAATTTAGATGAAAAATTTCAGTGTTTAATGTCTAATGACAAAATTTGTCTCTTCACTGCAAAAGCCTGTGACCGGATGCTTAAACGACGGGAACATTTTATTTACAAAACATGATTTATATGTTTTTACAAAAGTGTCTTATAGGCCCATAGGGGGCCTGGGGTGATTTTAACAGTGTACTATTGTTTTATATATGTAATTGTATTTTAACTCATGACACTATAATAAAATTAAAATATAAAATAAATAACAAAATTCTAGGCTATAATAGATAAAGAGATCGATCTTTCCATTGGTTCTCGCACCATATCCATCGATCGGTTGCTTAAATCCGAGTACCACAAAATCAAGAAAAGATAAATGTTCCATATAGATGTACGGCCTTCGCGGAAGAATTCTAGTTTTTTTGTTTTGTTTTTATATTGTATTTCTTTATTTCAATTCTAGTTGTAATATATTTCTTCTTATAATCATCACTTGATAACTCTCCAGCACGAGGGTGTGGGTTTACTACTTCAATAGTGTAATCTTTTATGATTTGATGCGTTTTTCGGAACACACGGACCAGCGTTGAACTGCCACACATTTAGCCATTTTACTATAAATTATTAGAGAATTGTCACGGTTCTTTTCTTCATAACCAATCAGTTTCTTTGATGATTTGTTGCACTGGGGAACAGTTAATTTATTCCAAATTTTCTGTTTCTTTAGAATGCTGTAATTTTGGATTTGCTTAAATCCATAGGTTCTTGGCCGATATAAAAATGGCAGCACCAACAGAGAACATTTATAAATAAACACAGATCGATTACCATGTCATCTTTATTTAAAAAAATCCTTGTTGATACTTTACTTTTCCACTGACCTTTCTCCATGGCGCATGCATACAATTGTCACAATGCACCCATAACACGCTCATTACTAAAATCACGACGAAGATCTATCAACTTTTACTCCCCAAATTCAATGCTGGAGTTTATCTATTGGTAGTTATAGTGGCAAGTCACATAGTCATACCATACCACAAAAACATTTGTGTTAAAGGGACCCAACACCATGGTCACATGATCAGTCGTGTGGAGGTAAGCTCCCAGTTGAAATAAAAGCACTGTCCTCCTTTGGTTTCTGTGAAAAGTAGCTAATACCCTCATGTATTGGTCAGTTTGTGTGTCACACGACTAATCCATACCATATGCTTCATTCAACATATTTTATGCTATTGAGCTGCATATATAAACAGTACTTTGCAACTAAGGTCATACAGTATACTTACCCCTTGCAAATTGTAATTTATTGAATTCACAGTAAACCCATCAATTTTTAAGAAAAAAAAGTATTGTTCTCATGGATCTATTATTTATGTTAGACTAACTATGAAAATATAAATATGAAATAATATGTTAGCTTGAAGTCATATATAAGATGAAAATATATGTTCATGCATTTGCATTTTTCCAAAGGGAATATTCCCATGTAAGTAAATACAGGTGCAGTATATAATTTATATGTATATCTGTCAATACATGCGCGTATAGCCTAGTGTTACATGTGAACAAGATGGTTCTGGAAAGAAATGAGCGTGGCAGATTTGCTAAAAAGCCACATACACCACAAAAGCAAGACCAATTTGAAAGTAAGTTCATTATTCTCAAGGGTACACTTCAAGTGAAAGCTACATTGCTACAGGGTGGCCTATCATTCTGAGACAAATGTATTATCCAACGATTGTGATTTTCGAAGCTAAAATATGATATCTTGAGCAGATGGAAATACATTCCCATGAGATATGTATATATAGTCAAAAGTGATAACTATTTATTGAGTGTATTGAAATGTATACTTCGCTAACTGCTTTTGTTTGAGATAATTATCATGAAATATTTTCAAATTAATTTTTATGTGTGTCATTGATCCTAATCCACCCTGTAGTCTGGTGTTTGTAGAGCATTGCGACTCGTACAACTTATTCTCACAAATATCAAATCTCATTTACTAATTAATTTTTTGTGTGAATATGAAGAGTCCAAGCATTGCTTTTTTATGTTTATTGTATAGCTATATTTAGCCTTGATATCCATGATTTTTTAAAACAAAATCTCACCGTTAGATTTCGAGCTATTCATGTTTACTCATTTGTCTAATTGGAAAACAATGCAAATCTCATTTTTTCAAAAGAAAAAAATTGAAAAATACACAGATTCAGAATCCGGCGAGCATTTTCCCTTATTCCTCTCCGTTAAGAAGTTTTGTAAGGTGTTGGATCTCTTTAAACCCAGCCCACCTTGCACCTACATATCAACCCCTTCTATTCACGTTTACTTAATTCCAAAATATAAATTATAACATATCTTTATATAACTTATATACTCATGTAAAGTTAGATTCGTACTAAATATTTGTAGGCTGATTCTTTGATTTATTTCTAATTATTTCTTTACGAAAATGTAAAAAAATGTTTTGAAAAAATGGATCAAACAAGGAATAATCAGAGTACCCCTGCAAAAAATTGTTTCAATTTTAGAATATTTAGGAGTCTTAGCATTCCGGTGTCATTGATCTATTTTCTACAAATCCCCAAAGGTGTGAATAGTGAATGGGAGCCAGGACTCCTATAGATGTCAGTTCACTTATCTTCAGTGGCTGTTAATTCTAAGTTCTTCACACTGTCACGCCCGGTGATCGTGAATATGGGCCGGAGGGGGGGGGGGGTAGCAGGCAATTTCTGCTAGGAAATTCAACACATTGTTCCCATTGGTCTGTGTTATATTGCTGTGTTAAAACTTCAAAGCAACAGATATCACATTTTCTCATCATTAAGTTATTTACTAACATGTTAAAGTTCAATATCATGATATGAGGTTTTAGATATTTTCATTAGTTTAGTTATTAATTAATTAATTAATTTAGTAATTTAGGCCTTGGACGGGCTTTTGAAGCAATTTTACATACAGTAATTAAGCCCACTGGCCATTTAATGATTATAACAGTCCTAGGGTGCGTTGCCTTTTTCAAAATGAATGCAGGAAATTATTAATTTATTAATATCCCTAGCTTTATTTCCACTTTAAAATATGCTGTGATACATGTAGCATTTAATTGTACTCCTTACTACTACCAGGGGCGGATCTGGGAATCAACAAGGGGGGGGGCCAAATTTCAAGTCAGAGAAAAATACGTCCGCCCCTAAAACCCAAAAGTCGGCCCAAATTTTGAAATTTTGAGGCCCATTTTCTTCAAAATTTGGCCTGAAATTAAAAAATAAGGCCTTAAAAGGCCCAGTAATGACCTAAAAGGCCCACTTTTTGGGGCCTGAAGGCCTTTTTTGGCCCAACATTTTTTTTGGCCCCCCCCCCCCCTAATCCGCCAGTGACTACGTCATGATGTTTATTTTCAAGTTTAAAGTACAATGTCCCCGGGAATGTTTCTGAGCTTAAATTGATAAATCTATAGAATTTCACTACAATTTCCAAAGGGCAAGTTCATATGGTTGATATACACTATAAATATCACTGCTTTCTATTTGTTCCTTTCAATGAGCATCATTTCTTTGATGAGTAGCTATCGGAATGGGTTAGCCTTCTCATGGTGAGGCGTGATATCATGCTGAGTATCTGCAGAATGTTTTTGAATGCCAGCAGTTTGCAATTTGGTGCAACATTGTTTTCAATAATGTTTGTTTTATCACCTGCAGTAGTTAATAATATTGTATCTGTTGTAACCATGGCAAATGATAATAGGTGAAAACTGAAATTAAAACCACCTGCCGTCGTGAAATTAGCTTTGTTATCCGAAATTTACACCATGTTTGTGTATTTCCGGAAAGTTTTTAAAAAGTAGAAAAGTACACATATCATCGTATAACATGTTCCAGAAAGTCATTTGGAACTTCATTTTATGACAGGAAATTCGGATAGATGTATGGATGTGTACAGAGTTTGAAATTGCAATCAAATAGACTATAAGCTAAAGAATTTTGAAATTCAAGATGAAAGGCACCTGTACCTCAACTGCGAGTGCGGCGACAACGGATACCAACACAGATTCTCAAAAGGCTATATTACAAATGAAGATGAAGATTAAAAGACAGAATAAAGTAGTTCAAAAATTAGACTGGCAATGGATGATTCTCTTCCTGATAGTTGTGACACTCAGTTTCAGTACGAGATATTATAAGATTTCTGAACCAGAACATGTTTGGTAAGTATTCATTGAGGTTATAGTCTGTACAGAAGTACAAGGGGCATTGTAGGGCTGCATCACAAGTCATCTTGACTAAGAGCGAGACCCTATCTGTTGCAAGACTTACACCTGGCATAACCGTCACCATGTTATTCAGTGTTTTTAAGTAGCGCAAGGATCCTGCCATGACTGTGGTAGTGTTATCGTAAAAGCCTGGTATAACCGCGACAATGCTGTATTATATTGCAATGCCTGCCATGACCGTGACAATGAAATCGTGTAAGCCTGGCGCGACCGTAGCCACTTTATATGACATTTATGACTTATTTCATGTTTCTCCCGTTGCTGTTCTTAGTTTTATTTATGGATTAACCTTATTAATTGATTAATTGAAATTAATATACATTTTTATGTATCAATGAACTTGAGTACCATATACATGTATAGACATAGTATTCTTGATTTACATATTTAAGGTAGTTAAACACGAGGAAAATTGTCATTACGGTGTTCTCTTGCTACTTTAAATGTTATTTAATACAACCACGGTCATGAGAGGCCTTGCAACTATTGTCCATTTCAGGCTTTAACCTTACCACGGTCATGACAGGCTTTACATTGTCATGACAGGCTTTGCAATCATTATGACGGGCATATCAGGCTTTAATATTATCACGGTCATGACAGGCCTTGCGAGCATTGTCACGGTTATAAGAGGCTTTAACATTATCATGGTCATATCAGGCCTTGCAACCATTGTCACGGTCATATCAGGCTTTAACATTACCACGATCATGAGGCCTTGCAATATAATGCAGCGTTTTCACGGTTATACCAGGCTTACACGATAACACTACCACGGTCATGGCAGGATCCTTGCGCTACTTAAAAACACTGGATAACATGGTGACGGTTATGCCAGGTGTAAGTCTTGCAATAGATAGCATGTGCTAAGAGCTCTTGTGAAATTTCTAGTGAATTTTCACCACTATTTTCAAGATGTCTGACAAAATAACGAAAATTTCTTCGTTCTGCCGATAAACCCAGACAATTGTGGATTCAACTACACGAAAAGAATGCTAAAATACCAAGGAATCTATTGAAGTAGGTATCTTAAGTGTAAGGGGCGTAGATAATTCTCCCAAGTTGTAATCGTACAGGCAAACGATTGGGCTCTCTCCAGGACTATTGTACGGAACGGGATAACTTGCAGCCACTTGGTTCCAACTTGATATTTTTAATCTCTAACTTAAGCAATGTGTACAGTGCTAATCGCGTATACATTTTATTTCAACTTCAAGGAGAATGGCTGATATTCTAGCAGTCCCAACAACCTTTACCTTGATGGATGACAACATTGAGTATGTCATTTTTTAGACAGTCAAATTTATAATCAGCGTTCCAAAAGATTTTAGACTTCAAGATGTCCCTCCATCCTAGTCCTACTATCATGGCCATTGGGAAAGGCTAAAGATTTAAAACAATATCTTGATCACTTCTTACAGTGAGTTTTAGAATTTTTTGTTGGGAAATAAGACCAAAACTCGCGATTCAAATTCTGAAGTGAAAAAATGGTGGCTGTATGATCACAACATAAACGTATACATGGTAGAATATCAAGAAGGAACCATGGGAGTCAATCCATCTTATAAGTGTTGCGTGTTCATTTGTTTTCAAGACATCTCGGAGGTCTGTAGGTCTCTATGAAAAAACTAAAAACCATCAGTTCAGCACTGGCTAATCAACAATATTATCCCATTCCCACTTTTCTTTTTCTTAAAAAAAACCGAACATCTTCTTCAACGAAATACATGTAGATTAGAAAAAGCTATCGCATCTAAGAAAAATAAAATAAAAAGAACACTGGGGCTAAGGAGCATTTCTCTTGTCTTTTAAGGCATGTCACACAGCAAGTTAAATATGTGAAGCTCAATACTAAAACTGAGCTAAGACGTCTTGTTGGTTAAAACCAATAGATTTACATTTGCTTTGTAGGATGTCTCGTTATGGAGTTCTTAGCAAAGACATCATAAGAAACTGGGGGTTACAATCTTAAGAATTCTTACTGTAAAACCTACCTTTAGCATTCGTTCAACTTCACTTCTTAAAAGAGAGCTTCGTCTTTTCTCTTTCAATTTACAATAAATCTCTGATCCCATCGAGCCAATCAGAGTTCGTCGTCAGAAAGGGACGACTTTCTATATGGTCATTTCCTCTGACACCACTGCATAGTTAATAAGCACGTATTTAGCACATGTTGAAAACGGGTGAGCGTCGTAGATTTGAAATGATTTATTACCCGGTCTGTCACAGGCACCAAACTATGGTGCAGGGCTGCTAAACTGTAATATAGTTTACACTAGGCAGAGAGTAAGTTTATAACTAGACTCTGCGTGCAGAGTATGTAAAAACATTTTCATGAAAGAGCTCTTTGGAGTTAAGTTTTAATTTAGCTAATGTTAAAGTCATTGAGATAATCCCAATTTTGGTTTTTAATCACTGAAAAGTGTATTTCCATTCTCATATTTATAAAACTATATATTCATCTTGGTATAACATACCAAAATAATGATTACATATACATGTACATGTATACCTAATTTTCTTTATATTAATGCTTGGATTGTAAACTGCTCATAAAGCTGACATTACATGTATACATATTCTTATCTTATATTTATGGAATCTTGAAACATCTGCCTTAACTCCTATATTGATTTTTAATAACTTCATAACACTTTTCACAGATCTGTTTCTAATAGATAGAAGATGAAGCACATACGATAGGTTACAATATTAATTTTCTGTACAGTGTAATTTGAAACTGAACATATTTCTGTATTGGTCATTCCGTGACTGTACAGTTTTAAAGAGTTTCTGACAACAGACAAATAAACTAAAACAAATGGCAAGATGATGAAAAACACCAGACTAAAAAAATATAATTTTCAACTCAGAAAGTAGTGAAAAAATTTCATGAAAATAACATGTAGTTTTGGTAAAGTAGAAATGTTTTTGTCATGTTACCAGCTGCTAATGAATTTGCAGCTGTAAGTTAGATTATGATATTCAAGATTGCATCAAGTTCCCGTTGACTCCCACCCCCCTTCTTTCCTATGTTTCCTAACCCAGAGCATGTAGTGTTCCCTGCATAGGCATCTCTAAACATTTCAGGCTTATCACATACATGTACTAAGTCATGTTCTCCCCCTCTGTATAGCACCCCCATCAAATACATTATCTCCCGTTTTCACCCACTTGCATTCTCTCCTAGCACCCACAAAACACCCACATTTCACCCACATTTCTCCCACATTTCTCCTTCTTATATTTCAGTTTTAGTGACAGAGTCCTTGTTATTTTCAATTTCAGTTGGGATGAGACTCACTTTGGGAAGATGGGTAGCTGGTACATCAATAATACATTTTTCTTTGATGTGCATCCACCTTTAGGCAAAGTGAGTATAATTGGATTTAAAGGGAAAATGTATGATAGAGTACATCATCTTTAAAGGGACGATGTATGATAGAGTACATCCTCTTTAAAAGGACAATGTATGATAGAGTACATCATCTTTAAAGGGACGATGTATGATAGAGTACATCATCTTTAAAAGGACAATGTATGATAGAGTACATCATCTTTAAAGGGACAATGTATGATAGAGTACATCCTCTTTAAAAGGACAATGTATGATAGAGTACATCATCTTTAAAAGGACAATGTATGATAGAGTACATCATCTTTAAAGGGACAATGTATGATAGAGTACATCATATGATAGAGTATATCATCTTTAAAGGGACAATGTATGATAGAGTACATCATCTTTAAAAGGATAATATATGATAGAGTACATCATCTTTAAAAGGACAATGTATGATAGAGTACATCCTCTTTAAAAGGACAATGTATGATAGAGTACATCATCTTTAAAAGGACAATGTATGATAGAGTACATCATCTTTAAAAGGACAATGTATGATAGAGTACATCATCTTTAAAAGGACAATGTATGATAGAGTACATCATCTTTAAAAGGACAATGTATGATAGAGTACATCATATGATAGAGTATATCATCTTTAAAGGGACAATGTATGATAGAGTACATCCTCTTTAAAAGGACAATGTATGATAGAGTACATCCTCTTTAAAAGGACAATGTATGATAGAGTACATCATCTTTAAAAGGACAATGTATGATAGAGTACATCATCTTTAAAGGGACGATGTATGATAGAGTACATCATCTTTAAAAGGACAATGTATGATAGAGTACATCATCTTTAAAAGGACAATGTATGATAGAGTACATCCTCTTTAAAAGGACAATGTATGATAGAGTACATCATCTTTAAAGGGACGATGTATGATAGTACATCATCTTTAAAAGGACAATGTATGATAGAGTACATCATATGATAGAGTACATCATCTTTAAAGGGACAATGTATGATAGTACATCATCTTTAAAAGGACAATGTATGATAGAGTACATCATTTTTAAAGGGACAATGTATGATAGAGTACATCATTTTTAAAGGGACAATGTATGATAGAGTACATCATCTTTAAAAGGACAATGTATGATAGAGTACATCATCTTTTAAGGGACAATGTATGATAGAGTACATCATTTTTAAAAGGACAATGTATGATAGAGTACATCATCTTTAAAGGGACGATGTATGATAGTACATCATCTTTAAAAGGACAATGTATGATAGAGTACATCATCTTTAAAGGGACAATGTATGATAGAGTACATCATCTTTAAAGGGACAATGTATGATAGAGTACATCATCTTTGAAAGGACAATGTATGATAGAGTACATCATCTTTAAAGGGACAATGTATGATAGTACATCATCTTTAAAAGGACAATTTATGATAGAGTACATCATCTTTGAAATTACATTGATTTTTGATTTAAATGATAATGTGCCACAAAGCCATATTATTGAAATGTAAAGAGGACATCTATGTCATTACACAAAGAATTGTAGTGTTCAGTATACAATGTTTTAAGGTATGATCCATAGTGTATGATGTCATACTATTCTAGATGCTGATTGGTTTATCAGGGGTTCTCTCCGGGTATGATGGAAGCTTTCCCTTCAATAAACCATCTGATCCATACACATCAAATGCACAGTATCTCGGAATGAGGCTGGTAGGTATACATAATGCAAAGTCTCTACAACCACATTACAAAGTTTGCATAAAGTGTACATTGACTTTAAGGACACCCTGTATATTGATTTCAATGCTTGATGACTTCTAGGCGTAGAATAACTTTTATGCAATTAAAATATAATTGTTGAAAATTAAATAAATATTGCCAGAAATCAAAATTTTTCTGTGTAAAAAGATAATTCTCAAGTCATTACCAAACTAAATTGAATATTGAATCACTTTACTAATCTTGCTGGTGTAAATGTCATGTTTTAATATTTTAAATGTCATGTTTTAATATTCAACTTAAAATGTAATGTGAATTGTGTAAGGGGACTTGTTGTCTCCAAAATCATCAGGCCCTTAGTCAGGGGGGGGGGGGGTCGGGGGGTTTGGCCAAATCTACCAAAGTGAACCCCCCCCTAGAATTTTGGGGAAAAGTGAATCCCCCTTGGAAAATTATGGCTACGGGCCTGATCATCCTACTTATTGAAAACTAACTAACAAAATGTTTCATTTTCCAGTGCTGTGCTACATTGGGGGCTTTCCTCCCCATCTTCTGTTTTGGTACAGTTTGGAAACTCACTGAATCTCTGAATGCCAGTTTCTTAGCAGCCATGCTTGTCATATTTGGTAAGTTCGCTTCAAGTACTTTTATACTGTAAATATTTAAAAACTGATGTAAGGGGTTTCAGAGATACCGATTGTGAAAGTACGGCCCATTTTCATGCCCACCTGATATAAAGTTGTTTACTATGCCTTTAATGGTACAACTGGAGATGAGATAGGCATTGCATTATTGCATACCTAATGGATAAAATATGAGTTATATCTTTTTAAACATACTGTACTAATATTAATCTTGAAAAATTAAAAAACTGATTTTCAATATATTTTGCGAAATTTTATGAATAAACCCTCGTATGTGACACATACAAATTGTAGATTAGATCTCATCTTTCATAACGAATTTTAAAAATCAAACTACATTGTATCAGTTTTGTTATTCTATTTTTAACAATGTAAAACCTCCATTTATTGTCTGTATATTATTTTCAGATACTGGAACTTTGACATTGTCACAGTATATACTCTTAGACCCGTATCTTATGTTCTTTATAATGGCCTCTACTTTCTCCATAGTGGCCTTCAGGTCTGTTTGCCATAGGTGAGTAAGACGCTGGTGCCATCTAATTATTCACACAAAGTTCGATTACTTGATTAAGAATAATAGTGTCCAGATTCAAGTCTTGTATGTTAATTGTTCAAGCTTCAACCAAAGTGCTATCATATTTAAAATCTGCATAAAAGTTTCTTTTTGTACCTGGTGATAAAAATGGTAACTATGTACTGTTACCTTGGTAATTGATGTGTATAGTGGAATTGTGGATTTGTAGTTAATCACATTTCAGTAGCTAAATACCAAAAAAAGTTTTTTAGGAATTCTAATTTATTCACGTTTTACACATGCCTGGTATTTTATTTTAACAAGGGTGTGAGATCTGGCTGTAGATGGATTGTGTGTAGAATGTTAACCAAAATATGTATCTTAGGAGTTTACATTGAATGATACCTTTTTTCAGTCCATTTACAATAGTGTGGTGGCTCTGGCTGATTTCAACAGGGACCTTCTTGGCATGTGCAATAAGGTAACATTAGTATGAAAGATGTTGAATATGGTAATGTAACTACTGAAGATGTTGAATGTGGTAATATAACTGTTCAAGATGATGAATGTGGTAACGTAATTATCGAAGATGTTGAATGTGGTAATTTAATTATTGAAGATGTTGAATGTGGTAACATTGCTATAGAATATATTGAATGTGGTAACATTGCTATTGAAGGTGTTGAATGTGGTCACATTTCAATTGAAGATGTTGAATGTGGTAACATTACTATTGAAGATGTTGAATGTAGTAACATTACTATCGAAGATGTTGAATGTGGTAACATTACTATTGAAGATGTTGAATGTGGTAACATTACTATCGAAGATGTTGAATGTGGTAACATTACTTTTAAAGATGTGCAAAGTAGTAATAAAAGGTCTGCAAAAGGTCTGACAATGAAAATAAAATTGGGATTGTAAGGAAAATATAGGCACACTTTTTGTATAAGATTGTTTCCAATGTTTTAACCTTTTTCACTCTATATCCTTTCTAATTCTTTTATGTCAAATAAAATATATGGCATTACATATTAAAAAGCTGAAATATATATGTACATGTTTTTTTTAAATTTCAGTGTGAAATTCGTTGGATTATTTGTTGTGTTACTGGTGGGTCTCTTTACAATATCTGATCTATGGACACTACTCGCTGACCTCTCCATTTCCATGGTAACTTGTTTTCTTACTTCTTCACTACAGTACAAAATCAAAAAAAAGGAGAGAATTTCAAACGTCTTGTTTCAAGATTTAACATTTTAAATGTTTTAAGATTTTACATGAGTCCATTGTCAATCACAGCATTTGGCAGCAGGCCTTTGTGACAAATTGTCACTCTTGTAACAACCTTAATAATTTATAATGGGTGGTGACATTTAATGTATGTCATTTAAGAAGAGGGAAAACCCCAGAGCTTTAGAGATGACAGACATAATTACGTTGCTTGCTTTACCACCTTCATTTGTCAGCATTTTCGCCGGCAAGTTTACCAACACAACACATCGCTATGATGTTTTAATGAATGTAATCATATATTCCTTACATCTTTCTTTATCTTGATGTATAATAACCAGCTATGATATTAATTAACATGCCAGAAATTGACATAATATTATTTGAACCATGTTTAGAAAATGTTGAAACCACGATTGAATGACATCATTTTGTCTGTCGATTTGACCTATCAACGATGATGTTTTCTCAGTTTAGATTTACATTAAAGGCGTATGTCTTCTTTGAACCCTAATGTCATGTTAACCTTGTGTTAAATTGACATTGTTGTCTATTGATGCTGCATTCTCTTAAAATTTCAAATAAAATGTTATTGTTTCGTTTAACTCCCTTTCAAGTTCGAAAAGAACATATTCATCGCCCTTGGCTTGAGCTGAGACATTTGATTTTTTCCTTTGATCTTGTATTTTTGTTGATGTGTTGTTTTAATTTTGTTTTTGTTTCAGAGGTGTCTTTTGAAACACTTCCTCAGCAGGGCTCTGGCATTGATTGTGCTTCCTTTGTGTCTTTATCTTGTCTTCTTTGCAATCCATTTCAAGGTGCTGTACAAAAGGTATATATTATACTAAAGCGATTTTTAGTCAAGTTAGATACTGATATTAAAGTTAGATTTTGTGACATTTAATCGCATTTTATTATTTTTCTGATGTATGTTTAACTGCATAAAGTCTACAATATTACTGCACTACAATTTTACTTTGTATGTGCCTCTGTTCTGGAAGTGTTTTAGCGAATAAATGAAAAATACATATACTTAGGCAACATTGAGACAGAAAGCAAAAATTATTTAAATCAATGAAATTTGCGAGATCTCTACAGATTTCATACCTGTATAACACACAACACAATCAGTGGTTGTGCCAGTTGTGCTGGTTGTGCTAATCACAATCTCTGGTTGTGCTAATCACAATCACAATAGATCGCTGTTTTCTTTGTAGTGGGAGTGGAGATGGCAGCTTTAGTTCAGCATTCCAGTCTCAACTAGAAGGAAACAAATTATACAATGCATATATGCCTGAGAGTAAGTTCCATATTTTTGTGGAAAAAACAGATTTTCCATGTGATTTTTCACTTGCCACAGAAATGTTGTTTCCAGAAATTATACCTCAAATTTCAACAATGAAAAGTCATCTCTCTTTGAGAGGTGGATATTTATGTAAAATTGTCAAATATTTTTGAGAATTTGGAATAAGCGTAATCACATATATTCATTTTTTATTCATAACCACAGAGCTACAAAAACCAGTCCTCATTTTGGTATCTTTTAATTAATGGATCTAAATGTGAGATACAATTTGCTTGAACAGGTGTTGCATATGGATCTCAAGTGACCTTAAAGAATGCAAGGATTGCAGGAGCGTACCTTCATTCACACTCTCATCTCTACCCAGAAGGCATGGTAAAACAGCAACAGGTAAGTGTCGTCTGACAAATCTATTGCATTATGGGATATGTTCTTTTTTTCTCCTGAATGTCTACTAATGACAATTGGCAGGATGACACCTGCATGCAAATAGCAAATACATCTGTGGTATAGAATAAACATTATCACATGCTCTGTAAAATTCCAGTAATCTGATTGGTTGATTACCGTGTGAGTTTTCCCGTCTCACACGGCCGTCTCACACGTTACTAGAGACGATGACGATGTGACGTCACTGATTATATCACTTCTAGCTAAGGAAAACAATATGACGTCATACTATTTCACAAAAAGAACGAATACAACGGTATGACGTCATATTGTTTCAAAGCGAAATCAAAAATTATAATAGTTACCAGGAGTACAGAGTACTGAAAACAATCATAACTGAGCAAATCAAAATGCCTCAAAATTCCTAGACATGTGATAAAATCGTCATCACACGTTTCAGCTTATGTGATACATGAAATATTCCACTCGGGTAACAATGTATCACCACTCAAGCTTCGCTTTCGTGGATGATACAGTATTACCTTTCGTGGAATATTTCCTGTATCACATGCTGAAACGTGTGATAACTGATAGTTTACCATATAGTCATTTCAAGATATTGGAATTAGCCTTTGACCAGTTTATGAAAACTTGATGGAGGCCCAATTTTTAAAAATGGCCAACTTTTTAAAAAACAAGCCTTAATTTTGAGCACCTATCTCCTCCATTAGTTTGCTATGACAAGAGGGATCATAATAAAAATATTTTGCAGGTGACAACTTATGGGCACAAAGATGACAACAATCTCTGGTTGCTAAAGCGATTTGACATTAATCCAACTGACAATGATACTTTAGAATATGTTAAGCATGGAGACTTTGTCAGATTGGAACATGTTACGTAAGTACAATGACCTATGTATACTCCCAGTTCATGTATAAACAAATAAGGACAATAGTTAGAAACAGAATTGAACCAAAACTGGGTTGTTTTAACTCAACAAAACTCCAGTACAATGTACAACCAAATTAAAAACAATTGAACAATTAAAAACATAAAGGGACAGTTCTTAAGTGTTAAGAATCCTTAACTTAATGCACAATAAAACATAGCTCATATAAGCCTATATCTTCCTAGTACAATGTACAGGGTGTTCAAAAAATGGAAACCCTGCATTTTCCTGATATCGTTGTCAAATCTTTAAGAAATTACTCCCTGATATTTCACACATTTGTACATCATTCAATTTCCTACCACCCTACCATATTTCATGTCCATCAGACTGATTGTCACAATGTTACAGCACTTTGAAAAACATACTTCAGCTTTTGCGGTCACCGCATTGTAGGCAAACCTGCACAGTTGTCAATGACCTGAATGCGTTCCTCAGCAGGTATGGCCTCAATAATACGGATGATCTCACTTTTGAGGTCTGCAATTGTCCTGAAGTCATTTTCATACACTCTTTCTTTGTTGCATTCCCACAGGTAGGGAAAGGATGAGTCTCGGAATGAGTTTGGGTATCGACTTTGAAAATATTGAAAATTGTAATGTCTGAAAAACCAACTCAATCACACATATTATTAAACTTCAATATCTTATCCTTCTTCTGAGATTACAAAAATATCAATTTGTATCACAATTGATGAAGGATATTGGCATCAAAGACAGTGCGTATCACTTTGTCAGAATTGAAAAAAAATCAATGGCAAATATTAAATGAATTATTTATGCAAAAAGTTTGAAACATATCTTCCAAAATATTGGTTACTTTCTTTGTATAGACATTGAATGGTATTTCTGGATAAGTGAATTGGTGTTTATCTGGGTAATCAATGGATTATAGTCACTCAAAGTTACTGAGCATCCAGTTTTGAGACTTCAATTGTGTTGGTGATGTTACACATATTTCAGTCAAATTCATGCTGAGCACAACATTTTGGTTTCAATTTTATAATCTCTATACATGACCCTGGTGATGAAGAGTCAGAATCAGTCAAAAAACTTAAACCGGAAAACTGTGCTCATTGTGAAAACTAAAAGTGAAGCAACTTTTTTTTCTGATATTTCTTACATAAAATGGCAACCATCTTGTTTTTCTCCCTTCAAATTAAACTGGCGGGAAATTCAAAAATTTGAAAAAAAGTTTAATTCTTAAATATATTTCAAAAACATGATTTTCTTTTTAATTCTTCATGGGTCTTAAGCTATTTCTTCTTTGTATGTCATACATGTTGCCATTGGTGTTTTTTTCTATGATAATGACTATTTTTTATTTTTATGATACTTATTCTGGATCTCAGCAGGGGGTTAATTATGCATCAAAACTCGTGAAAAAGTAAATATACTTATCAAATATAACTAGGACAGTAATAAAAACCATATTTCACATACATTTGACTGAGGGACCAAAAGGGCATATATCCAGACACATCCTTTTGGACGATGTGTGCAGGTACAGTGCAATAGTGGCCACTGGGGCATGTTCTTTAATGTGCTGTAACATTGTTACTTTCAATCTGATGGTCATGAAAAAGAGAAGGCTGATAGGAAATTGAATGATGTACAAATGTGTAAAATGTCAGGGAAAATTATCCTAAAATGACAAAGATACGAGGAAAATGGCATAAGTGTTTCCATTTTTTTACCACCCTGTACATCAAATAAAAACAATAACACAGCAAAACTTGAACAAAAGAATTTTTCCTTGTAGGTAAATTTGCTAAATGGACACTAGGTTATTTCAACACAAAGGAGCTCTCCGAAGCCTATTTTACTTATAATTAGAGACTTTCGTGTCTCTACTAAAAGAATCACCTGAGGTCACATCGAAACTCTCACAATCACATGTTATCTTTTTAATATTACAGAACAGGGCGAAATCTCCATAGCCACCGAGAGCCTGCACCAATAACTAGAAGACACCAACAAGTCTCATGTTATGGATTTGTAAGTCATTTTTCAGTCTTTTCATTAATGCAACATTTTGTATAATATATGTATGCAGCGGTGGCGGTAGGCATATATTTTTGTGAGTCATCATGACTCAGGTAGTTTCAAAAAAGTGAGTCACAAGAAAAAAAGTTGAGTCAAAGCTATAAAAGTGTTTTTCTTGAGTAAAAATGCATACAAAATGTAGAAACCACATACAAAATCTATTTTTTGATTTTGTGCATACCTTTTATTGTACTCTTATAGCACATTAACAACTAACAATTAATTAATTAGGCATTTGCAAGAAAAATGTCACTATTAATCATCTGATTATCTGGTCCAGCGAGTCATGGGTGTGAATGGAGTGGGAGAGGAGTTTCTCCCTGTGTGGAGTTACACAAATTGGGGTCAAAGCGTTTCATGTTGAAATTCAACATGTTTGCAATCATTCCAAAGTCTAAAACGGCAATATAAGTCCGACCACAATACTGGGCATCATTTAAATTGAATACGGTAGAATCTTGTAATTATAGCTGATCAAATGAAACCGAAAGTAGATTTGTTTTCATACCTAATTTATCATCATTACCCCCCTTAATGTGCGATCGACTGGATTTTCATGTGCCCATTATCTATCTTCATAGGATCAGCTTCAGATCTAGTGAATCGAAGATCTTAACTTGAGGGAGTTAATTGAAAATACTTGGTGAAAACTTACGATAGATCGGTCACTGTGAGCACCATTGATAAACCTACTGCGCATTACATCTGCGCATGCTGATGAAGGGGACGGCTCAAGGAAACTTGCTAACTTAGCGAAGGAATTTTGCGAACTTGCGAAGGAAACTAAAGGTTCGTAAATCTAGCGTGTGAACATTCAAGGGAAGATTTTATGCGGTAATTTAGATAAATATACGATCACTAAAATCCTTAGAAGGGAGTATGAAATTAATAAATCATTGTTCAATGTTATGTTCGTTTTATTGCATTTTTGATACGCCCCCTAGCAACGTGCTTCACGAGATAAACAAATCGAGGGATCGATCAATGTTTTCAAGTTTATCATTGAATCTGAATCACAGGGCTTTAAAAATTATATGAAATACCGAAATGAGAAAATGATCGGTAGGAAGGAGGCTCGATTGCGCTGAACGAAATGTTAGATTTCCGGAATTAGCAAAATTATAAATTTGATCAATCACGTATTTTCACGTATAGGGATCAATTTAACCAAGTACCAAGCGGGGATTTTGCATGTGAAACAAACGTGCGTCAGAAAGACTCGGTAGACAATGAATATTTGCGTCAGAGTTGCAAAAATGTGAGTAAAAAACGTAAAAAATTGCGTTAACGCCACCTCTGTACTATGTATGTCAAGAGCATATTTATTGTTTATTGTTATTTATTGGTTCCAATCACATCAGTTTCCTGACAAATGGTTCTCTGAGTACAAGTACATGTGTTTTTTACAGTGTATAAAGGTAATTAAACATATCAAAGTATACATATAATGTCAAGAATTACTAGTATCTCTCAAAGGAGTTATTTACATTATTTACATAAAAAATATAGATGAACTTTATATACATCTAAAACTGAAACAAACTTTTAATCAAACCCTGGTCTATTTTGGTTTCTAAAGACATTTTGTTTCTCCTTGATAATGGATGACTCGGTTGCAAGGGTAGATCAGTCGTATGGGCAAATTGCTTCATCCATTTTGGTTTCAGGGGTCATGTCACATAATTCAGTCCATGTATTATGGATATCATTTGTACTTTGTGATTTGGTGTTGCCAGTGTAATATTTGTCTTCTAGCTTTCCAACTTGATACGTATTTCTTTTATTTATTCTTGTATAGATAACAACAGATATTACAATGATTATCAAAAGCACCATCAATATCCCACATGCTAAAACAATTATGACAAAGTTGTTATGTTGCCTCTTTTGGGGACTTGATTTAACAGATGATTCAGTTGTTATTATAGATGGCTGAGTTGTTTGGGTATATGGTTGTGTTGTTTGGTTAGATTGCTTAGTTGTTGTTGTTTGGTTAGATTGCTTGGCAGTTTGGGTAGATGGTTGTGTTGTTTGGTTAGGTGGCATGATTGTTTGGGTAGTTTGTTGTGTTGTTTGGTTGGATCGTTTGGTTGTTTGGGTGGATGGTTGTGTTGTTTGGTTGGATTGCTTGGTTGATTGTGTATATGGTTGTGTTGTTTGGTTGGATGGCTGAGTTGTTTGGGTAGATGGTTGGGTTGTTTGAATAGATGACTGGGTTGTTTGGAAAGATGTTTGGGTAGATGGCTTAGTTGTTTGGGTTGATGGCTTAGTTGTTTGGGTTGATGGCTTAGTTGTTTGGGTTGATGGCTTAGTTGTTTGCGTTGATGGCTTAGTTGTTTGTGGTGATGGTTTGGTTGTTTGAATAGATGACTGGATGGTTCGGAGAGATGTTTGGGTAGATGGCTTAGTTGTTTGCGTTGATGGCTTAGTTGTTTGTGGTGATGGTTTGGTTGTTTGAATAGATGACTGGATGGTTCGGAGAGATGTTTGGGTAGATGGCTTAGTTGTTTGGGTTGATGGCTTAGTTGTTTGGGTTGATGGTTTGGTTGTTTGAATAGATGACTGGATGGTTCGGAGAGATGTTTGGGTAGATGGCTTAGTTGTTTGGGTTGATGGCTTAGTTGTTTGGGTTGATGGTTTGGTTGTTTGAATAGATGACTGGATGGTTCGGAGAGATGTTTGGGTAGATGGCTTAGTTGTTTGGGTTGATGGCTTAGTTGTTTGTGTTGATGGCTTAGTTGTTTGCGTTGATGGCTTAGTTGTTTGGGTTGATGGCTTAGTTGTTTGTGGTGATGGTTTGGTTGTTTGAATAGATGATTGGGTGGTTTGGATAGCTGTTTGGGTTGATGGCTTAGTTGTTTGGGTTGATGGCTTAGTTGTTTGGGTCGATGGCTTAGTTGTTTGGGTTGATGGTTTGGTTGTTTGAATAGATGACTGGATGGTTCGGAGAGATGTTTGGGTAGATGGCTTAGTTGTTTGGGTTGATGGCTTAGTTGTTTGGGTTGATGGCTTAGTTGTTTGTGTTGATGGCTTAGTTGTTTGCGTTGATGGCTTAGTTGTTTGCGTTGATGGCTTAGTTGTTTGCGTTGATGGCTTAGTTGTTTGGGTTGATGGTTTGGTTGTTTGAATAGATGACTGGGTGGTTCGGAGAGATGTTTGGGTAGATGGCTTAGTTGTTTGGGTTGATAGTTGGGTTGTTCGAGTTGATGGTTGGGTTGTTTGCATAATTGTCAAGCAAAGTTCCCTTATTGCATCAAGGTTAGTAGGTTGTGAAGGATTTAAATTATTTCCTGCCAATTGTAAAAATGTCAGTCTTTCCAGCCTGCAGAACAATCCTCTGTCTAATATTGCAAGCTTATTGTGCTCTAAGTTTAACAGTGTCAGTGACTGCAAACTAGAAAATGCACCAGGCTCTATCTGTGAAAGTACATTTCTTTGAAGTAGAAGATATTTTAGGGATATCAAGTCAGAGAATATCCCACTAGTTAATATTGTGAGTTTATTGTTACTCAAGTATAGCTTTTCCAATGACTGCAAACCGGAAAATGCATTGGTTTCTATATATGATATTTCATTATTGTTGAGCGTAAGATCTTTGAGGGATGTTAGGTTACAGAAATAATTCCCTCTCAGTATTGTTAGCCTATTGTTATTCAAATATAGCCCTTTCAATAAACCATGGAAATCAGAAAAATCACTACATGATATTTCTGATAGTCTATTGTTGTCCATGTTTAACCATTCCAAAGATACCAAACCAGCGAATGTACCAACTTCTATCTCTGATAGTTCATTGTTACTCAAGTATAACGTTTCTAAAGATTGAAAACCAGAAAATTCACCAGCTTCTATGGTTGAAATTCTTTTGTTGTTCAGGTAAAGCCGTTGCAATCTTGAGTCCTTTCTTGGTAATCTCAGAGTCCCCTCCCTTATGATAAACTGTGTGGACTGTGTGGCATCAGATGATGGAGTCAGACTTCCGTTGAGGATGAACAATAGCGATGTCATCATTGATATATTCTGAAGAAAATAAATTCAGATATTTCAGATATTCAGATATATATTTCAAATACTAGTACACTGTACCCTTCTAGGACATACTTCTAGCATACCATTTTAGCACACCCTTTAAGCACATACTTCTACCACACCATTCTAGGGCATACTTCTAGCATACCATTTTTGCACACCCTTTAAGCACATACTTCTAGCACACCATTATAGGACATTCTTCTAGCATACCATTTTTGCACACCCTTTAAGCATATTCTTCTAGCACACCATTCTAGGACATACTTCAGTATACCATTTTAGCACACCCTTTAAGCACATACTTCTTGCACACCATTCTAGGACATACTTTAGCATACCATTTTAGCACACCCTTTAAGCACATACTTCTAGCACACCATTCTAGGACATACTTCAGCATACCATTTTAGCACACCCTTTAAAGCAGATATGAAATGGTATTTCTGACCTAAAGGAATCAATATAATGTTATATATGGACATGTTTTTTCATCAGTATTGTGAAAATTATTTCACTCTAACGATCATTATAGTTGCTTAATAAGCAATATTCAAATTGTTTGTGACATTATTGGCCCCCACGTGATCTCTTATCGGTCCCCACGTGGCCCATTTTGGTCCATTAAATCATGACGTCATAATGCCAAGATATTTTGTTATTTGTTTATTCAACAATCCTATGGTTGCCGTGACATCGTGATTACCGAGGAACCAATAAAAGCTATATATTATGTTTGACATTACTAATCACGTGGGGGCCAATCTAATTGATCAATTAATTTTATTAAGTTATTTACATGACCATTAACAGTCATCTAACATTTCTTTTATAATGGCTATCATAAGAACTCGACATTGGGCTCACAATGAAGAAAACTGCATTTTTGTAGCTGCAAGTTGAGAAAACCTATTTCACTTGTCCTTTAAGCATATTCTTCTAGCACACCATTCTAGGACATACTTCTGGCATACCATTTTTGCATACCCTTTAAGCACATACTTCAAGCACACCATTAAAGGACATACTTCTAGCATACCATTTTTGCACACCCTTTAAGCATATTGTTCTAGCACACCATTCTAGGACATGCTTCTAGCATACCATTTTAGCATACCCTTTAAGCACATACTTGTAGCACACCATTCTAGGACATGCTTCTAGCATACCATTTTTGCACACCCTTTAAGCACATACTTGTAGCACACCATTCTAGGACATGCTTCTAGCATACCATTTTTGCACACCCTTTAAGCACATACTTCTAGCACACCATTATAGGACATTCTTCTAGCATACCATTTTTGCACACCCTTTAAGCATATTCTTCTAGCACACCATTCTAGGACATACTTCAGTCTACCATTTTAGCACACCCTTTATGCATATACTTCTTGCACACCATTCTAGGACATACTTTAGCATACCATTTTAGCACACCCTTTAAGCACATACTTCTAGCACACCATTCTAGGACATACTTCAGCATACCATTTTAGCACACCCTTTTAGCATATCAGACACACTCTTTCAGATATCTGTTAAAGAACTTTGGTCTGATCTTTTAAAATTGTAAAGATATTTAATTTAATATACATACCTTTAGGACGTTGAGTGTCATAATGTCAGTTGTTCTTTTTCAGCTGTTCCTTTTCTGAAACTTGCAGTAAATAAAAGAACATTCAAAATCACTTTGATAGGTTGAGATAATATTTAATACACCCAAATGTTGTATTTGCTATTTCAGATGTTTCTCAAATATTGTATTTTCAGTATCAAAATTTTCAGTATTTTATCCAGCAGAAAAATTTAAAATGCAAAAACTGAACGAGAGCAGAAGATATAAAGATTTAACTCGATATTCAAAATAAGACATTATAGATAAAGTCCTTAGCAATATCCTAAGAAGGTGGTATAGTTCAAATCACTTGCCTATGAATGGTTTAATGTAAACTGGAAACCCACAATTACATTTAGTATGAGACTGGTATGGTTTACATTCTTAGCAATAATAAGGAAAAGTATAACTATATCAATTAAAAAAGGGTGGATTCGTCTAAACATTTAAGCAATATGTGATTATATGCCACAGGATTTTTAGACACAGTCATTGTCATTTATGTGAGAAGCTGTCGTCTTGAATTATTGTAACATTGTTAGAATTTAAGCATTCTGATTGATAAATATGACATCATGTGATCAGATAGACCACATAACATAAACATACCACATATATTTCATTGTAAGGATTTTTGTAAATTCCCTGGTCATTCTTTTAACAGTATAATCTCTATATCTGAACACCACTTAATATGAACACTTTTAGTTTCATTTTTTAATTGCCATAAACTTCCATGCTACCATTCGTCAAAATGTGAACACACTTGAATTGATGTGTTCAGATAAGACGTGACAGGTTTTACTGTGCATCTGTTTCATCATTTGTTATGCTGTTTTGATTGTTTATAAACGAGGAAGTTTCAAGTGTGTAGGTTGATAAGACATCTCTTGAAACTGAGTCATCATTTTAATGATCATTTCGAACCATATTATCTAAAAAAATCTTTTTTAATTATTTCAAAGAAAGATTAAGATCTTGGCTAATTAAAATATGAGATCATTTCTCACTTTTCAATGAAGTCAATAATCTTAAAGAATTATCCTACTGAACGAAGTTCGTAGGGATGTAGAAGAGCTGTCCGTCAGTTTGTTCGTTTGTTCATTCCTCTGTCTGGTCGTTTGTTTGTTTCTATGTTTATGTGTCTGGACGAGAACTCAAATACCAGTTATTGGATTTTGTTCAAATTGTATAGGCTTATGAGTGTTGCACCTCCGCGTAAGAAGGAATTTTCAATATGGCCACTCAATTCAAAATGGCCAGCATTTTTCTTAAAAAATGTCACCTTTTGTAACTCAAATACCAGTCGTCAGATTAGTTCAAATTTTATATGCTGACTAGGGATATTTGGGTTCTGTTCCTGAAAAACTTTTTTTAGATGGCCACTAAATTTCAAAATGGCCATCATATTTCATAAAAAAAGCAATCCTTGATAACTCAAGTACCAGTTCACAGATTTGGTTAAGATTTTATATACTGATGAAATTTTCAAGATGACAGCTGAATTTCAATATGGCCACCATTTATCGTAAAAGAACGTAATCTTTGATAAATACCAGTGGACAGATTTGGTTCAAATTTTATATGCTGATACCTAAGGACAACTGTATATTCTAGCATCTTATGTACCTAGAATATTATTACTAGGTATGAGATACACTTTCTTACTTCAATAGAGTTATCGGATAGCTTTGAATATTTCAGAATGGGACAGGGGATGCTAATGATATATGGAAGATACAACTGATAGATGGGAGGCCAGGAGATGAGATCCGACCCGTGAAGTCTCAACTTCGATTAGTCCATGTCCAGACAGGCTGCTACTTGTATTCTCATAGTAAACAGCTACCAAAATGGTTTGTAAATTCTATTAGTCTGATTTTCATTTGTAACAAGTTTAAATTATAAGTTGGAAGATAAAAGTTGGCAGCCCAGCAGTGAAAGTATAGGTAGTTTAAGCTACATATTTTTTAAGAGAACTTGTACATGAAATCTGATATTATGACCCCAGATATTTACTGTCCCCACAATTGTTTTTTAAGAGACATAATGACAACTATTTTCATTATACTTTAATGTTCACTAATGGTAAGTGAATGCTACAATGGCAAGAACTAAATCATAGAGGACCATTATTCTACATGTTCAGAACAAGTTGTCTCCAAGCTTGTTGCTTAGCCTCCCTAATAGCATAGCATCTCAAATGAGTTGATATCTAAGAGGCTAAACCATGACTATGCTCTTTTTGTGACACCTATGCTTATGTTTAGGGGCTGGGAGCAGCTTGAGGTTGCATGTGAACCCAAACCTAGAGACAATAACAATCTTTGGAACATAGAAGAAGTGCAAGACCAAAGACTTCCATTAAAAAGTATTCAGGTTTGTTGAAAAGTTTTCAAACATTTTCATCCCCAAGAATGTAGCTGTACATTTGAAGATTATTTAAAACACATTCATTATTAAAAAAACAGTATATACTATTATCACATGCTCTGTAAAATTCCAGTAATCTGATTGGTTGATTACCGTGTGAGTTTTCCCGTCTCACACGGCCGTCTCACACGTTACTAGAGGCAACCAGTGATGATCAATAGCAACGATGTGACGTCACTGATTATATCACTTCTAGCTAAGGAAAACAATATGACGTCATAATATTTCACAAACAAGCACGAATACAACGGTATGACGTCATATTGTTTCAAAGCGAAATCAAAAATTATAATAGTTACCAGAAGTACACCAGGTACTGAACACAATCATAACTGACCAAATCAAAATGCTTCAAGATTCCTAGACATGTGATAAAATCGTCATCACACGTTTCAGCTTATGTGATACAGGAAATATTCCACTCGGGTAACAATGTATCACCACTCAAGCTTCGCTTTCGTGGATGATACAGTATTACCTTTCGTGGAATATTTCCTGTATCACATGCTGAAACGTGTGATAACTGATAATGTCATGTAGTTTTACTCCTGTCTCGACCAATTTTGTGGATATGTATAGACCTTTTCAATTAGGGATGGAAAGCATTTATTGTAGAACTTGAAGAGTCTATTTTACCATACATTGCAAACTTATAAATTTGACCCAGGCCTCTGCCAAAAGTGCCATTTTATTGTAGATGAAATTCAACAAGAATAAATTTAAGGAAAGCATGATTCATTATCATCTACTTATAATTTCACAAAATAAAATCATGATTCATTGTAGTTCTGATAAATAAGGTCTCCTTAATTAAGATCCAGGAAGTGGATACAAGCACAAGAGAAACAAAACACACAGTGATGAATATCGCACTTGACACATTGTGTTATTGTGTGGTGTTTGATTGTGCTCTAGTATTAAATGTTTTCTGCTGCTTTATGTCATGACACGCCACATGTCTTATTCATGTCTTATTCATGTATTATTCAGTCCTAAAATATATTCTAGATGCTAGATTAATTTCTGTTTTGATGTGTTAAATCCGACGACATCTTCTATTAAAGACTCACAATATACTATAGTACTTTTAGGCAATATCCAACATTCATGAAATAATCATCTAGAAATGTTACAATATTGTTTTAAATATCCCTAGAGTTTTAGGCGATATTTGTTGTCATGGTAACAAATTAAAGGCCTTAAAGACATGTTTTCACTGTCTAATAATTTTTGAATCTTGGCAGTGAAAATGTCTCATTTTTATCAATGGATATTTTCAAAATATGTTGAATTTCAAACAGATTTACAACAGGGTCACTTGAAATTGTCAAATTTTCAGTGTTGTCGCAACCAGTTCTTCAGGAGAACACTAAGGATTTCAATCATTTTAAGAAATATGCATATGATTGAATTTATTTGCTTTTTAGGTGTATGCTCCAGGGTTCTTTGAGAAGGTATATGAATCTCACGCTGTTATGCTACAGGTATGTATACTCGTCTTCCACTCATTTAGTTACTTTCAACCATGTAAAAATGAAGGTATCCAAACCATTGTTTTTAAATCTTGGTAGATTTGAGCAAGCATTACGAATTCATGTTTTTGAAGTTATGCAATGAAAAAGTAGATCATTTGTAAATTAAAATCAACTAAGTAAGCTAGTCTTAAAGAATAAATTTCTTAGACCAATATGGATGTCCAGGGATCACACTTTCAAAAATATCATCCGGTAACAAGGATATGTCCCCTTTAATAGCCCATGGTCTTAAATTTGAATTAATGTTGACCTCCTAGAATGCCTGAATGGAATGTCAAATTCATGTACTTTTGTTTTAATCTTCAGGGCAATGCTGGTCTTAAACCTAAGGAAGGCGAGTTCACGTCCAAACCTTGGCAATGGCCAACTGACTATAAGGTAAAGCTCAAATGAGTAAATTATTTAAACAGCGACATGATTTTGATTCAATGCAAAGCATAATATAATGTAACTGTGTAATAAATAACATAATTACATCAAATGATATTTCTAAGTCTTGTTTACAATAACATTTTCTTAAATAACACAAGTTTACCCCAAAGCTTATTTACATACTTGATCGCTTTACTTCTTAAAAAGAACTTGAATTTTTCTAATTCGTTACACATATATTTATTTTTTCAGGGACAACCTTTCTCTGGGGGTGATTACCGTATCTATCTCCTTGGTAACCCAATTATATTTTGGGGAAACTTGGTTGTCTTGGCAACATTCCTTATCATCTATTTGATATATTCCTTTGCTCTTAATAGAGGGTGTAAGATCTCGAAAGATATAGGTATGTCTTTAGTATTCTGATAGGTAACATAACTTAATCTCTTGCATTTCATGGAACTGGCATTCCACATACTTATGATGATAAAATTGATCATTTTTAAAAAGATTTGTAAATATATTCCATGATTTAAAATACAATTGTTAATAAAAGCACATCAATATTCCTGAGAGTAATTAAGAGTCATTAAAATAGCTGCTTGGTATTATATTATGTTTTTGACTTCAATGCAAAAAATTGATTTGATTGCTATGTGAAAAGATTTATGTGCAAAGCAGAGACACTTAAACATTGACTATATCTTGACTAAACATTGACTATATATCTGTGTGATAATTGTAGGGCACCCTTGACTAGGTTGGCCACCATTATAAAATGAACTAAATAATAATTGACTTCAAAATCCTTTTTTTCAGAAGGTGATATTAGAACATTCAACGGTTGTTGGTGGTTCTTACTTGCCTGGGCACTCCATTATCTGCCATTCTGGACAATGGGTCGTGTGTTATACTTCCATCATTATTTCCCAGCATTCCTTTATAACTGCATGCTCTCGGGTAAGTTGCAATAGACCTTTTTGATAAATTCAAAAATTTTGGGTTAAACCAGAGAAATGGTAGATTGTCCACATTTATGATGTCATACTTAAAAGGCAAGAAATCCTTGTAAAGAAAAGTTAAAGAATTTTAATTTAAAAACTTAAAAACCTAGAATAATATTATGAAATCATATTCAAAACAGTTAAGTTGACTCAACTGTTAGTTGATTTAAAATTGCTGACCACTCCTCATGTTCTCATGTTTCTCCAGTAAGATTGACGTGATTATCAGCCATTTGAAAACTTTGAATTCGAAGTTCAATATACATTCTGTGTCAGAAAAATTATGTACTTCATAAGAAAACCAACTCTGTTTAGTAATCTGTTGAATTGTTATTGAAATACTTGTATGATTGAATTCTCCTTTTCGCGGTTCGCTCTTTGAATCAGAACGTTCGCAAATATGCACTCAAAAAGGACAAAATTTGATTGGTCAATATTTTCCCACTATGCATTTCGCGTAGCTATTTGCGTGACACGAAAGTTCTAAATCAAACTAATTACTCAATTTTGTTTTTACACCCGCACGCTAAATAAAACAATGACACCATCGTAAGTATTCTTCTTTGTCATTGCTTTAATAGTCAGTGTACCGAGTTTAATCAATAAAAGATTGTACAATGAACAACAAAATTCGGAAACGAGTACTATAGATTTGCTTTCTGACCACTGAACAGATTGACCTAGATAATAGCGACACATTTTCTTTGGTCTACTGCTCAGTTGTTTGTGGGTTTTTAACGTAACTCTATAATGTAATTTGAAGATGAATACTTTTATTCAGTTGTTGCATCGATGTCGCAGTTTGTAGTGCGGTAAGATTGGCATGCAAGTATTGAAAGTCGAATGGAATTGTTTTTTCCAATATGGCGACTAGTCAACTGATCACGTGACCTTCTCTTCCGGAATATTTTCTCACTTTTCAATCATCGTTTTCACCACGCTATGAATTAATACAATGAAAAAAATAGCTGTTATATTAAGATTAATGAGAGATCAATCGTTTCTAATAATTTTTTCTGTACTCTCGTACGGGAATATGAACTAATATATCGTTTGAAAAATAGGTGTGAAAATCCCCATGTTAAACCTATGAGGGAAAATAAGGAAGTATAAATTTGTTCCTCCGCGAACTGCATCATGGGAAATATTTTGCCCTTATAAGGAAAGATTTTCGCGTCTTCTCTTTTGAAGAGGGAACGACGATTTCGAGAATTGTAAAATACTTTATAATCCAAAATATCCCATACTGATTTCAAATGGGGATGAGGTGAAATTTCTTTGAAAGCTTCAATAAAATTGAGAATATGTCAAATGCCTTAAAATAAATAAAACATCTTATTTGGTTATTTCAGGTGTGATGTTAGATTACATAATAACAAGATTATACCAACATTTACCAGCATCTATGTCAACATCTGTCTTCCATGTACTCTGGGGTACTTTACTATCTGGAATAGTCTATAGGTAGGTCTATATTCCAGTCACCCTTTGAAAGACAATCGCATTCTTGATATTACCAACAACTTATACAAATTAATGACTTCCATATTACTTCAATTCGTCGATATTCATCAATTTCAAGATTTTAACTCAGGAAAGACTCCTATGTACATTTGAACCAGGTTTAGTCATCCTCTTGATTAGGCAGGGGGTAAGGACCTTGTTCTATACCTTCACTTTCTTCACCTTCTATAAGTATTGCTAATTTTGCTCTAACTTTTGTTATCTTGTATTTTTCCTCATGAAACTTTCACAACATAAGGAACATATAGATATAATTCAAGTAAATTCTGTAAATTCAAACACCTCTTATAGTATTTGCTTTTTCTGACCCATTTGTAAAAGAACCTTAACATTATATTATATCTAGTTGGTTTAATATTTTTCTATTTTAGTTTTTACCTGTTTCATCCCCTGGCTTATGGCATGCATGGACCCCAGGCCACAAACACAACAAGCTCATATCATAGGCAACATTGGCTGAACTCATGGGACTTCTAGACTTATCCAGAGGCCTATGGCATTCCTCGACTATAATTTGGTCGCTCTATAAGCTCAAAAGCATAATGACAATATATTTAAAAATAAAAAGTTAGAAAAGGATCTGATGATGTCAGTGTGAGAGATATACTGTCACAATTACACTGGTGATATTAAGCAGAAAAATAACACTCAAAGTGTATTTGTATATTTATTCAACCACCAATTTGGTGACTCAAAGTGTATGTATAAAATATGACTTTATTCAATGATGTGTTTCATGCAAATGCTGTATGTTTTGTGAATTGTATTTTTTAGCTTGTAAGACAAGTTATTCAATAAATATATATTAGTGTATGGTATATTATATAAATAAGAAAGAATGAAATAGAGAAACCAGCTGTTAATTAAAGAGTTCAATCTCTATCTCTGATCCTAAAATATTACAAAAATTAAAGTGTCTTTCCAAGACTCAGAGGTAAAAATTATTTAGATATTGGCCTATTTATTATTTAACATACAGAGTTTACAATCGAGAAACATATAAAATGCAATATAAAATCAAGAATCATATGATCCAAATTAAAATTGAAGCTTATATGAAGCTTAATCAATTGTGATAATTAAGACATATCATTTGTATTTGAAAGACATATCATTTGTATTTGAAAGACATATCATTTGTATTTGAGAACTGAATGATTGAGTGACTGAATACATAATGTATGTATAATGTACAATGATTTTATTCATATAAATATACACACTTTATTGTATTCACTGTCATTTATTTACATTATTGAATGATATTTAGGTAATGGTGCTTTTAAATTATAAATTATGATAAAAATGGGACCAAAATTTATCAAAATTGAATCATAGTGTATTGTGTATAATACAGAAGCATATTTATAGTGTGGGTAAAATATGTTATGTTCATAACAGTAAAACCTCTCTAATCCAAACACCTCTGGGACCAGCCAAAAATTAGCAGATGTTCTCATTTCAAGATCTCTTAATATGTGAGTCAATGGGAGAGGCGTCTGAGTATACAGATTTTACTGTATGTACAGGGTGGGCCAAAAAAACAATACACAAGTTTAAAGATATTATATGATATTTGTTCTATATATATTTGTTTCTATATCATTTTAAAGATAAATCATTTCCTAACAATATGACACCATCCCATTGAAAACCCTTTCTTGTGGAGTTAGAGGGCATGGGCAACCAAAATTCAAAAAATGAAAATTACCCTCCATATTGCAGTCACAGCTGCGCTCAATATGCTTGACTGAATCTTTATAAATTTATTTAAGAGTACACAATTGATAGTTTAATTAAAAATATATAAGTACAAATATTATAGGTGAATTTTACGCTAAACTTGTATAAATGTACCTCTTTAGAAGGTTATACATCATTAAAATGATATATAATACATGGAATGGTTTAACATATATCGTATGATATTCACCTTTAAACTGAGGGTATTGTTTTGTTTTTTGGCCAACACTGTAATGTAATATTTAAGGTTGGACCTGTCTGGCTGTCTACATGATGATACACAAGGTCCTATTTTAAAGGTAAATCATGACACAGCAAGTTTTACTCACATAAATGAAATTGAACTGAGAGAAATACTTTTTTAATTCACATTTCACATTTGAATTTTAGTGCAGACTATAATCTGATACTTGTTTATATTTTTACATAATATGTACTTTTTGGCATTTTGCTATAAACATTTTACAATATTCTGGGATGGATTAACTATAAAGTAGTACAGTTTAACAAATATGTTAGTACTTTATAGTAACTTTATATATTTACTTTTCGGTCATACATAGTTTTAATAAACATCTAAAATGACATTATAATCAGTCTTTGTTTGAATGAATTGTCTTTGTCAATTTTCTAATTGGAATCTGACTGGTTTTTAATCATTCAATCAGAAAATGTCCGTTTGATTCTGCCTTTAAACTGGCATCGCTATAGTATATACCAGTATTCTCTAATGGATCTAGTTTGTGAACAAAACCATAATGACGCACGTAGTAGCCTAGGTATTCGACAGACTCGAATGTATAATATCCAGTATACATTTGGTCAATATGGAGAATGAATGTCGCATGTTGGTCGAACACTGCCTGGTCGGTTGCAGTGGTTCTATCATCAAAATAGAGTGTCGCGCCTCTTGCACTTGCATGCCAATAACGATTCGGATACGTTACTGACTGAATAGAAATTGTCCCGTCAGCGCCTGAAAGCCCGGGGGAGAGGATCTTGAAGTAATCTTTGCAGCCATCGATAATTTTTGAGAGATATGAATTGGTCACTTCTACAGGACATAAACCATATGTTGGAAAGTTCTGTGACAAAAAATAATAGATGGGCGTGATACCTGAAAAGGATAGAAATAAGAAGAATTAGGATTCATTGAATAATTACTATGTTTATTGAATTGTTTTTATTTATTCAAGTGTATTTCTTCTCCTCGAAATTAAAGTTAGCCAGGGAACGTATTTTGGTTAATAAAACGTCCTAAGAATCTTTAACGTCCTGAAACAAATCAGAAAATTCCGACCTAGATCATATCAGTACTTTAAAATACGGATGTGCAATTAACATGTACAAAATGAATACTTTACTAGAATAGTATAAACTTTGTAATTAAAAGGAGTGGTATCGATATGGTGAACTTTTTGAACACGCGTAGAAGAAGAATTAGGATTTATTGAATACTGACTATGTTTATACTTTAAAATTAAAGTTAGCCAGGGAAAGTATTTTGGTTATTAAATCGTCCTAAGAGTCGTTAACGTCCTGAAACAAATCAGAAAATTCCGACCGAGATCATATCGCTACTTTAAAAAACAGATGTTCAATTAACATGTACAAAATGAATACTATACTAGAATAGGCCTAGTATGAACTATGTAATCAAAATTTACGTTTTTACTATACCACGATTCCATTCGGAGTATGTCAATATAAAAAAAACGGTTTCAATCAGTTAAAGCATGAAACAGACTTACAGCTCAATAATTTTGTTAAACGACTTGTTTTATATGTCTAAAAATATGTTAAGATAAGTAATTAAAATTAATGAAAATCAAATATGTATTACCTTTGTTTATAGGGAAATATATATTATCATATCCAGTCTCCGATTCTATTGCGTGGTTCCCCAGCAGGCGACATCTTGTTTCACACATTTTATTTGGATCAAAATCAAATACTGCGCATTCTTCGTATTCCGCGCACTTTGCTGCGCATTTTATTAGTGAATTGGTTTTGATTTCCCGGATGACATCAGCCGTTCCCTTGAAGCTCACATGTTTTTTGAACGTCTGATGACCCGTGACATGGTTGATAGTTGTAAATAGAATAATCGTTAATCGCTTCATAGATGTCTCCATGATTCTTGAAAACTCCAAAAGGAACGTGAAGGAGTAAATCTTTATGGCTCTATGCCATACTTGCGAAGATTATATAAAGCAGATATTGTTAATATCTATTAATTTATCTACAGTTTTCCCATCATCAATTGACGGTGTAACTTGATTGGTTCATACGCCAATAAAGACACCAATGATATTGTAGACATCTATAATAAGGTATTTCCAAAGCATGACTGAGGAGCCGGGCCTAGGAACTTAATGAGAACACGTAAATCAATTTGATATTCAGTTTGCATGAATCAATCATAGGTCGAAATTAGATTTAGGGAACCATTATTTAAAAAATCAATTTCGTTGACAGGGTATGGTGCGTTGTTGGTCTAGAAATTGCATTTCATTTCAATTAAGTAATCGTTTGATTTAGTGCAATTAGGCTAATATCAATGTCCATGGCCTTTAACACAGGTAGTAATCAAACAGCACTCTCTTGCAAATTCCGCAAGATCCGGGTGAAAATCGCACTTTCGGAGTAAAACATATACAGGTAGGCCATAAAACTGGACCTTGATCTCAATTTACTATGATTAACATATCTCTTTATGGTATATTAAGTCGAATCACATATTTGCCTACCCTATTCACCCATGGCTGACGTCAGCTTATCTCAAGTTTCTTCGTAAACTGGCACAGTTGAGATGGCAAATTGTGTGCAGATGGCAAATTGTGTGCAGATGTCCAATTGTGTGCAGTCTCACAAACAATCTCGACAAATGTAAGTATTCTAAAACACACAGATGATGTAAAGCGCATTCCGGTATAGCTGAATATACTAACAAGAATAATTTAGGTCGATAAACTTACAATATAAATCCTTTGTTTTGAACAATATTTCCAAAATCTTTTTACCAGAATCTGCAGATTTTGCATGAGAGTGCTGTTTGATTACTACCTGTGATTAAGAGCCTTATATTATCTCCTTAGACAATGCCGATATTATAAAATGTGCGGTGCACCCTCATCACAACAACCTTTTTATATCACCACCAGAAGTGGTGACATATTGTTGTAATCTCCAACTTTTGTGGATGGTGTTCGGAGGTTGGTGTTCGGTGTATGTAACAGCGTCTGTAATAGCGGTCGGCGTCTGTAACCAGTGGCATGTGGTGACATTATCTTTGAGCTGTCCCTCTTTTACAAAATTCCTGGTGCAAAATCTATTGTATAATCAATTAAACTCACAACTCATACCTGTAAAATGTACACTTTGGGCTATAATTTAAACTTTAGTATACTGGTATTGCATTCTTCCCAGATGCATTCTTGAATCCATAAATCCGATCCAACATGCAATTACCAAAGTGTTGGAGACGATTGCAATGCTTAAGACAAGTACATGCAAGGCAGGTACACTTTGGTCTCTTGGAGTGAAACATTGATGGTTCACTAACAATCCATGTTCTTTCAAATAGTTCATCTATCACAGACATTTTTAATTACTGCAAATTGAAACATTCCGTCCTACATTCATTGAACTTTGACGGTTATTATGGCGGGAAATTTGAATTGGGACGAGTATTAGTTTTGATCCTTCATCTGGATGACTACTAAATTTTGTAAGAGCTCTTGGTAATAATACTTCGAATGAATAGCCTAACCTAATAATAATAACCTAACCTAGGACCAAAAGTCATTCGCCTCAGAGGTATGTCAAAAGGTAATTATCCCATCGACAACGAACATTGCTCGAGTAGTATTGACTGTAGAAGCGAACCTTCCTTCAGTACGTTATCTGCAATAAAGCTGCTGATTTCAAAATGGCTGCCATTTTTGAAATTCTTTACTATAATTTGAATCCCCTTTACCAACACCTATGCTTGTATTCGGGAATGCAACTAACAGCTAGCGGCTACCGGATTAACCCACTTATTGATTTAAATATGAATGAAATAGTGACAGGTACTATTCATATTAAAATGAGTTGCCCATAAAATAGTAGGTTAATCCAGTAGCCGACAGGCGTTAGTTGCATTCGCGAATACAAGCTAAGTTATTTCAAATTCAAATAACCCCGCTTCTTTTACATTATTTTTTGGTTTTACGTTATCTTGTTTGAACGATTTGTGAATATATATCTATTAAAGATAACATATATATATAACTTTAAATTGTAAAGACCACCGTCCCATTCTGATAATTTAGCATTCATTTAGATTGGCTGCTCAAATTGAAATGTCATAAATGCTTCATTTTAATGATTTGACATCTTTGGCGGCTGTAACTTGAATACGATCACGTGACAGTTATGAGTAATATGCCTCGGAATGGTTTTGCCAAAAATGAGGCACTTCTACTCCCTTGTTTTTTCTATCATAAAATGTTCAAAACAAGGCATTAACATGACAAAATGTCACCACCTAGTTGCTAACAATATTATAACTAAGTTCAATCTTAAGTCAGATTTGAATTTCTGAGAACTGTAGATGGTTTTGAAAAAAGGTCAATTTGAAACAGGTTTGAACTTCTGACAACTCGAAGATGACAACTTCTTAAAACCACCAACCATAAAAAAAACGGAGACCACCACAATATGTCACCACTACTTGGTGGTGACATAATGAGAACTGATTTGATAAAATATTTTTGTTCAGTGTAATTTGTTACTCCTTGGAGTGGCTATTTTTCGTAGACCATAAAAATGTAATTTCCTCCCTGCATAGCATGTTTAAAACATGAAATAAACGATTAAAGATAATGATTTCCTTTACATAATATAAGAAGAAATGAAATAATGATATACAGTATAATGCAATCATTATTGGTCGTTCCATTGTTTCCATTGTGGAATCGTATCAAAAAATTATAATTGTAATAACGCTTCGTGATAATTTGTTGGCTGTAGTGTATTTACATGCATTATATCATATTTTAAATATATTTTGAAATATTGTATTGTCTTCTGATTCCGTGCCTCGGAAAATGTAGCTGATGGATTGTGTCAGGATATCTTGAAATATCTACAATGTATGAAATCAAATTAGGTAATTAAATTTCGATTGCAAAATCTTACACCGTGACATCTGTCACATTGATTCTTGAAAACATAATTTAGGGAATCTTATATATACCCCATATCTTTTCTAGATGTGCATTGGCTTATTCATGGTCACATGATATGAAATAGATGAACTAATAGATGAACTAATTCCCTGGTAGTTCTGCTATCAGGGAAGAAGAAATATACTAATCACCAGTTAGGTCATGTGACCAGTCATTAGTATGCTTTATCTTCCCTGATAGCTGAGATTATAGGAGTTGAAAGCCAAAATACCTTTAAATGCCGATAAGAACCTGTCAACATTAAATGTTGAAATGTCTTCTCATTTTGTTTTTGTTTACAGAAAACATATGGGGTATATAATTAGTGACTGCCACATTTTCGGGAAAAAGTGTAAAAATGTTCCCCTCTGGAATATCCTGTCCACTGTCATGTTCCTCGGCCTACAGCCTCGGGAACATGTCAGTGGACAGGATATTCCCTGGGAAAAAATATTTTGCACTCAATGGCAGTCACTATTTGTATAATATCTTGTCCATTGGTATTTAATTTTCCATTTTCTAGTTTCACCTTATAGATCGGATCATTTCAATATGCAAAAATGGATACGGTAACGGACGAGAAACAGTGTCTTACATTAATGCATCAAGTAACAACTTAATAGGAAAAATCATGTTCATTCGAGTCTCATGGGTCTTCCCAATATTAGAAATGTATCGAACTGTTTACAGTTTCATGCTGTATTTTTATTTGTGACCGATTTAAATGTGATAAAACCGATATCTATTGTTCAAATAGCAATCATGTATTCCAAGATGAGTTTACATTTCTGCAATTCCGTGAACGCGTGTGACTAAACGAAATTTTATTTTAAGGGGACTAACATTTTTAAATGTTATTTAGGATATGAACTTTTGTTTAGAACAATAAAATTTGTGTCAATTCTTAGTTTCTCCTTAAAGGGTTCCGATTGGCATCCCGTATAAAAACAATATGGCGGCTCCAGGCGAATCAACTGGATCAGTCCATTTTTAAGAAATAAGGGGAGTTCTGTAAAATCCAGTTTATTGAAATTGTCTTTGAGATAAAGTAATCCGTTTATAATGATTTTGAAAACGTTATCCAAAGAGTGATTGCGTTCAAAGAATACATGTACAACAGCCAATATAGATCCTTGTATTAGAAACCGGTTTGTCTTGCTTTGTTTCATTTGTAGGATATTTCATATGCCAAGCTGTGTGCTATTACGTTATGGGGAAATTTAGATGCCAATTTTTCCTTATTATACACAAATAGAAGATCCTGAAACTTCACCAATAAATGTGGAATTGATTTGTCAAAATAAAAATCACCCTTTTATAAATGTGTGACGATCTGTAATATACTTATGCTATATAACAGTTAGAGGTGTTGACACAACGACCTCGAACCTGTGAACCCTTGAGTATTATTCCGGGATCGGGCCTTTTATACTAAACGGTGAGCAACACCAGAAACGAGCGTTCGATTTGCTAAACGATATGCGTCACCCTTTAAAAATTTAAATGTTTGTGAAAATAGTAAGTCAATTAAAAGTTGATAACTGATTTGATATGGCACTGCCGAACTTGGGTAAGGGATCACAAATCCCTTCCCTCATACCTATGATTATGTTCTAACAGATGCTTTATCAATAACTGAGCCTACTCATGAAAAAATTGACATTAAAAAAGAGGTCTTTGTAAAACGCCATGGCCATCTTTAAGACGTCGTTAAGTGAAATATTTTTACGGGGAATATTTAATTTATTTTAAATTGAAATATAAGCACATGAAACCTTCCCTAATTTTAAACAAATGGAAAAAAGTACATTCACATTACGGGCCAAATTCGGCAAGAGATGGGTCCCCTTAAATAAAGCTACAATTTCAATTTCAAAAAAGGTCAAAACAAGTCTTTGAAACATTTTTTTCGGAAATTGAAACAAAATTTCACTTATCCTATATTCACGGTGCTCGAGTCTTAACAATTGAATTGATCCGGACGTGCTTTTTCAAACGATTTAGAACATGGAATACGACATTCGTTGGAATGGAGCAAAACGGTAAGATTCTATACTATAAACTAACATTACTTGACTTCTACCTAAGATGTTCTTCTTCATACTGGCCCACGTATCTATTTTGGCGATCATTCCATCATACTCCATAGAACTCGCAATTATATACCATAAATGCCAGAAATATGTACTAAATTTGCATTTAGTGTTATTTAATTAAGTTTAAAGAGACTATCCATTCAACAACGTGGAATAATATTCACTACTCTAAAGATCGTGTTTATATTTTAACTATCATTATCTTAAAATTGCCAGAAATGACTGTAAATGTAGAAAGTGGAGTTAACGATGCAGAAGGGATATTTTTGGACACGTCCAAATAGTTTAATCCAACAAAAAATATTCGGTCAATTGCTACTTATTAAGCTCTTTTAATTTGTGTTCGCACATATTGTGAGTACTTTTCTTATGAATCGATGTGTTCAATGAATACAAGGCAGGCTAGGGATTTTCAGGCAAAAATATGTTTAACACTGTCAGAATCGCTCATTTTCCGATTTAACAAGGCTATAGCATGAGATTCGTGCAAATAACGCGAATTGGGGATACCTGAAGTAAGGATCATAGTATACCATTTACATAAAGTCAAGTGACAGCAATTGCATAACCAAATTTATCAACTTCCCTCTCAAGTTCGGGACAATCTCCACTGTAACACTTGGTCACAAGTAAGTTGTACCGTAGGGTCCATAGGTTCTGGGCTGATATAAAGATGGCAGCACAAACAGAATCCAGTATTATATTTTTCTCAATATTTAAATAAACACAGACAGATTACCATGCCATCTTTTATATCATAGGTTCTGGGCCGATATAAAGATGGCAGCACCAACAGAATCCAGCTTTTTCTCTAAAGAGAAACATATTTCTACCTTGAGAATGCGTTTTAAAATATTGAACATACTTATGAATATATCATAAAGTTTTAAATTTGATTTCAAATAGCACTTTATATAAGTGATTTGAGAAAACTTGCCCAGTGAAGCCTTAACACTTGAAAAATATTTGTGGCGTGTCACGAAAATAGTTAAAAGCTCTTCAAAAAGTTGACTCAGATTTTGGAAAGTTCGGACTTTCATGACTATTCGGTAAGTTATCGTTGTTATACTATAAATCGTCTTTAGTTATCGCGTCACTGGAAGTATTTTGCAGTGATATAGCCATTTATTTATACTTTCTAATTCCCCTTCCACACGGTCATTCGATAAAAGGCCGATAAACTTTTTAAAAAATTGTCCAATTTTCGAATAGCAAGCGTGGGTTCATTTGGAGGTCATTTGCGATGGGAAATGGCAAGAATAGTCTTTAAGTAGGCTGGATGAGAGTTGGTCATAGGGAACAGAAGCTCCCCTCCCCTTATGCTATCTATAGTTAACACTACAAATGTGGAAGTTTGAAAAAGAAAAAAATAGGGTAAATTATTTTTGACTTGATTATGTCCCTACTTACTCGAGTCTCTGGCCATTTCTTGGCTAGATGTAATTCCACCTGGAACACCGTGAACTATTGTAAAATTTTTACTCAGTGTTGTGGTAGAGCCCATGATGAGATATTGAACGTTTTCATTTAAAATAGAAGTTGTCCCGTTTTTGTCTGTTCATGATAAGCTTACATATAGATGGCAGCCTAGTCGACAGGAAAATGGTGGAAATCAGAGAAATTTTATTTCACTATAAAAAAAGAATAAATATCATGCAAGGTAGACGATTTTATGGACTTGGATTGCGTGTAAAGATCAATGAAGGTGAGTTTACGATGTTTACATCAATAAAAATAACCTGGCTGGGCAATTTAAAGGCAAATTCAAAACAACAAAGAGTGTCTTGTTTCTATAGAATAGAATAGAATATGGTAAGTCCCCACCATATAGTGTATGGCCATTAGTGGTGCAACTCGAATGCCAGTACTCGCCACTCACTCGTTGAACCTGTCCAAGATAGTTACTCGAGTACGTTTTTTCAAACTCGAGTAGGCATGTTTTATTATGAAGTGTTTTAAACCCCGGGAATGATCATTTTTGGATGCACTGAACGAAACAAAGTATCGATTCTAGAAACAAAATGAAAATATTGAAAACTACAAACAAACAAAATTATGGCATGAATAACTACATTTATTCTCACTAAATTGATACAAACTATATATAACATCAATAACATATAGAAGAAACGAAGAAATTGTATCTATTTGGTCTTCAAACAGTCGACTAGGTGAGTTTTTTATATTTTTTTATTTTTCCCTCATTTTTGCGAGTGGTACTCGATTACAGTGGCATTTACACTTTCTACTCGAGTAGCATTTTACTTGCGAGTTGCACCACTAATGGCCATATTGTCGGCCTAGCGCGTCCGCCTGTCTGTACATACGTACCAAAATGATGCTGAAAACAATGGAAAGCACGAGTTTTTCCTATGGGAAAATAACATGGGATATGTGGTTTTTAACTTTAACGCATTTCAATACGCATCCTCTTTCAGAAATTGTTAATATAGTGTGGAAGAAACTTTTGATACGTTTAAATTGAGAAAAACAAGATCCTCTTTTTAGAAAATTTAGCCTTATATTTTTTTTAAAATGCCAAGGTGGGGCCGTAATCCATGATTTTTCAGAGAGTTGGGTTTATATTTTACTATCATGGGGACTTCACTTGAAAGAAAACAAATTGTTTTAATAAAAACCACTGTATTTATGCCCAGAAAGTACTCATGGTAAAAGATATGACTGCCTAAAATCACCTGCCATACTGCACAATGGACCTTTTCAGGGATAACTAATGAGTGCATACAGATGTTGTCCATGTCTATCTATGGCATTAATCTGCAAAAGGCTAATAAGCGCATATAAAGCAGATATGTAATTTAACAGTGACAGAATTTGAATAGAATAGAATTTAAAACCTTAACATTTAAAAATAGAACTATTGTTTACAACTCGTTTTAAAAATTGAAAGGAACCCTCCTGGTTGGCTGCTGTACCCCCCCCCCCCCCCAGGAAGTCCCTTTATGTTGAAATACACTGGGGGCGACTATTTTATCCCTTAGTAACGTTTTTAATTGTAAATTACATCATTGAAGTTTTCTATGGTAACGGTTGTTATTTGTCTCAATAATTTTTTAATTGTAACATCATTGAAGTTTTCTAGAGTAACAGTTGCTATTTGTCTCATTGTTATGTAATAATTAATTATTTCAGTTTGATTCAAATCTAATTTTATTTCTGAAGAAGTAGGATGGACATCCTACGAAACGTCAAAAGAAAAATAAATATCTCTGAGAAAGAAAATCAACAACTTTGTTAATAGTGATCTCAGAATGTTTATGATTAGATCTATTCTCTACAAGTTGGGTAGGCCCTAGGCCTATACACAGATACATGCCTATAGGCTAGTTTAGAAATGATGAGTTTGAACTGAAATAAACTTGTTGTTGTTGAACATTTGGCGACTTTACTTAATTTGATGGGCTTGCAATATTCAAGTGACCTAAATACACTGGACGTAATACCCTAGATTATACCCGGGGATTCATTCTAAATTTTGGCGAATTTTTCAATTTCACCAAATTAAAGCGGCAAATTAACCCAATCTACAGTAGTTGCCATTGTCACCACCAGGTGGTTGAATTTGCACAAAGAGTGCACCAACGTACCTAGAAAAGAGTCTAGGTAGGTTAGTGCAGTCTTTGTGCAAAACTGAACGATGTAGACAATGTTGGGAAAGAGTGCTTGATATTTGAAAAATAATGTGACTCAATTGAGGATTACATCAAAATTCTGAACATAAAGGCTGACCTTAAATTTTGTGTTTCATTTATATCATGTTGTACCTTTTTTGTCCCTGTATTTTGCTTCTTATCATATCTTTTTATGTATTTTCAGGTACAAAGAAAACTCCAGGTGAAAGTCATTTGCTGATATCCTGTAACAATTCAAATAGATGACTGGATAGGACATTTGTCAAAATGTTAACATAAATTCACCAAGAACAACATTATAGATATGGCTGAAGGGAGACAAATTAACTCAGATGATTTAGATGAAACAATACAAAACTCTGATGTTACCCAGAGTTCTGAAATTCATACAACAACACCAAATGACTCTGATCTGAGTTACCATAGCAATCAGGGTCAGCATAGCAACCGTGATTCCAACAGAAATCAAGAATCGAATATTGGAATTTATAGCAACCATAATGGAAGTAGACAACATGGTGAATCAGAGAACAGTAACCATAGAAATCATGATATTAATCGATCACGTTTTAGTCCCCATAGTCACCATGGTAATCAAAACACGGACATAGATATACATAGCAACCATATTAGGACCCGATTAATTGATGACCAAATAAATGGTAATCTTAGAAACATCATAACTGCAAACCCAACTCCAAGTGGCAGTAGTTCTGACACTAATGAGCCAAATATTCAACAAGATAATAATCTAGTGGCACAACAGAGACACAGGCTTACACATCAAACCTTTAACAACCAGCCACTTCATAATGAGCTGCTTCAATCTGATCACAGTAACCAACAAGTTGATATAAGGCACCATGACAACCAGCAACCAATTATGAGTCGACATGACAACAAACAATCAAATTTGGGTAACCATGGTAACCAACAGCCAAGTTTTAGCCATATGCAACAACCACTTATGTCCCATCTTAGTGGCAGACATCCAGTACTGAGTCACCAAGACAACCAACCTTCAAATATGAGTCACCTTGACAATGGTCAATCAAGGATGAGTCAAGAAACTAACCAACATTCAATGAGTCAAAATGAAATACAACAGCAAATAATTTCTCGCCATGACAGCCAAGATCTTAATATCAACAGTCTTAATAGTCATCAACCATTAATGAATCATACTGATAACCAACAATCAAATCTGAGTCAGCATGACACTGAACAATCAAATATGAGTCACCATGGAAACCAACAAACAGCAATAGGGCATCTTGATAACCAGCAAACTATGAGTCACCATGACAACCAACCAATAATGTCCCACCATTCTAACAAGGAAAGTGGTCTAAGTATCCATGACAACCAACAAGAAAATAATGCTCACCATAGCAACCATAAACCCCAAACTCAAAATGAGCAGGACATATCAAACCAAAACAACCAGGATTTAATCTCAGGGATCAAATATCAAAATCAACAAGGCAACCATAATGTCCTCCAAGATATGGAAACAAATCACCATAGTGACCAGAACCAGGCTGTTGATATTCTCTCTCAAGCTGTCTACAGCACAATTGATGGAATGTACGTTAAGGCAACAGAAGAGACTGAACCTAATATGCAATATGTTCAACCACCAGAGAAAGATCACCAGACAGGGCAGTATGCTACATATATTAAATGGGACGACAGTACTGCTTATGGAAATGAAATCCTAAAGGAAAATCCTGAACAGAATGAAATAGCTGAAGAAGTACAAGATGGATATACGGTGCAACCGGTTTCAGTGAATATGCCCGTAAATGAAACCCTAGAGGAGCCAATCATTAAGCAGATATTAGCACCACGCCCCCCTCCCGATACATTTCCCTGCTCAAAATGTACTATGGTATTAGGCAGCCCAGAAAACCTTGAAGAACACCTTCGAATACATAGCTGTAAGAGTTTTATCGCTTGTACCATTTGTTCGACAACATTCAAAACTGTTGAAGATCGAGATATCCATGTTAAAGCAAAGCATACATTTCGTAAAGTCCAATTCATGTGTAGGCCATGTTATAAAAACTTCGCATCAGAGACTGAACTCGCTGAGCATATGTTAACACATACTAGAAAGGACGAGGCATATATTTGTACAAAATGTGACAAAACGTATTTCGAGGAGGAAGAATTGTTTCTGCACATGAGGATGCACATTGGCGAGGCCTTGTTCCATTGTACGGTTTGTTCTCGAATGTTCAACAGCTTAGCCGATTGCGAGGCTCATCTAGCTAATGCCCACACACCAGTATTATCCTATAAATGTACAGCGTGCGATGAGACATTTCTTGAAAAGACTTCACTTGATCGACATATCAAAAAACATACAGGATTGAACCCTTATCTGTGTACTACATGTAATAAACGTTTTACGACAAAACCACATCTTAAACGGCATGAAAAACTTCACTGCAAGAAAAACATTGGACATGATTTCATGTGTACCATATGTCAAAGAATATTCAAGGAAAAGGTCAACTTGGATAAGCACATGAGAGCCCATGAGGTCTCGAGACCATATAAAACAAAACGCAAAGTGAAAAAGCCTGTAAAACATTTGACTACAACAGCATCTACCAATAACACTGTAGCAAAGAAATCGACCTCCCAGCAGTGTAAGGTCTGTGGGAAGTGGCTAGCACAAGCTGGAGGCCTGATAAAACACATGCGAATTCATACAGGTGAAAAGCCTTACAAATGCTCATTTTGTACTAAATGTTTCCGCACAGGGAGTCATCTATCTAAGCATATGAGACGTCACACAGGTGAAACCCCTCACCAGTGTATACTATGTGATGAATCCTTTAGAGAAAAAGCAGCCCTTGATGTCCACATGATTAACAAACATGCAGGTAAAAAGCCATACCAGTGTGGCGTATGTAATAAAGAATTCTCAACAAAATCCAGCTATTTACTTCACGAGAGGACACATACTGGAGAGAAGCCTTATAAATGTGACGTCTGTGAGAAAAAGTTCAGTCAGAGTGGGAGTCTATCTGATCACATGATGACACATTCTAAAGTAAAGCCCCACCAATGTACATTCTGTTGGAAAACATTTGCTAGACGTGGAAATCTCTTAGTACATATAAAAGTCCATACTGGCGATAGGCCTCATTGCTGTACAATGTGTGATAAAACTTTTACACAACCCGGAAATCTTAGACGCCATATTAAAAATCATAATGCAGATCGGCCATATGTGTGTAATGAATGTGGAAAAGCATTTAAAGAAAATTCATCATTAACTGAACATATCAGAATCCATACAGGTGAGAGACCTTTCCAGTGCCAAACATGTGGAGAGAGTTTTGCACGGAGCTATTCCCTAACCATGCATTCTCGCATACATAAACCACTTCCTAACCAAATAAGCAATGCCCCTGTGCAGCAAAACATCCAAACCCTGCCCCAAATATCACAACTCCAAAGTGGTACATTACCAGTACCCAATAATAGCCATATTCAGATGGGGTCACACCAGATAACTCCTTTACAGATTCCAGGGCATTTACAGGCACCTGGTCAATTGGGGCCTCACATGCAGCAAGGAGTGTTAATTCCACAAACGCAAGTGTCTCAGCAAGTCTCTCGAATGCCATCCTATACGATGACACAGTTAGCTCCCATTAGCATGGCTCAGATGAATTTGTAGTAGCAACCTGTTCCAGCACGTAAACTCATAGTTCCAGCTGTGGAAAGAACTTATAGGTACAGCTGTGGAAAGAACTTATAGGTGCAGCTGTAGAAAGAATTTAAAATGACAGCTGGAGAAAGAAGTTATATCTGCAGCTGTGAAATGAACTTGTAGTAACAGCTATATAATTAAATTGTTACTGCAGCTGTGGAATGAACATGCAAATTATATATGTGCTGCATTATTGCATAAGGCTAATTGACTTAGATTCTTGTTGACTATCAGGCTAAAAATTTACTGACAGTAATTTACTATTTTACTTGCTGTAACTTGCTGATGGTCAACATAGAATCACTGACAAATGACCTTAGAACTGAAGAAAGGGTTCATTTTGAGATATGTATTTCATTCATGTCATTAGGACTAGTATAGATATAGAAGTCATTGCTTGTATTTTCTTAAGATTGCTTGCAATTTTGTTCCTCATGGCTAATAGCTGTAGTTCTTATCCAAAATTGCCTGAAAATTTTATTAATCCTAATGATATGTAACTTAAACATTCAATAGAGTTGGACGTTATGGCCTTCTTTTCTGCAACTTATGGAACATGAAAAAGTCTTTTGCTTACAGAAAGTGAAGTAATTGCCTCCAAAAAGTGAAAATGGCACAAGTAGTTTGTAACTAATTGTCAAACTTTTAATTAGTTCTAAACATGTTCTTTGGGTTGGTATTTTGAATTGAAGAAAACTGTTTTTATACAAATTAGCCTATTTGATATCAATTCATAAATAATAGTATTAAAAAAATATTAATTAAAAATATTCTAGAATTATTTAGATTGAGAATTACAACTATTGTTACTTAAAACAGGTCATTTTTGACTCATTTTGTAAATCTAAATATACTGAAATGGATAAAAATTGAATCATTAGCAGGACCCAGGCCTGTAGCCAGGGAGGGGGGTCGATGGGTTCAAGCGAATCCCCCTGGCTAAAAATTCTTTCAAAATGATGCAGTTTTTCACCATTCTGAGCACTTTTTAAATTGTCAAAAGGGACCCCCCTGGAATTTTCCAAAAAGTGAACCCCCCTTGGCAAATCCTGGCTATGGACCTGGGGGACCTGTCTATGAACATTGTGTGGTTTATGATATACTGTTAGAGAGTCGAGGCATTTTACACACCTAGACCGCTATGTATGTTTTAAGATTATTTAAATTTTTAAGAAAAGGTATGGTTTAATCAATCTGTTGTATGATATTGGGTAAACATTTCTTTATACTTTGGAGGACAGTTTGGTGTCCTGTTCAGAACGCATTTTCAATATATTATACTGTACGCCCGGTATTATTCGCGTGCGATTAACTTTCGCGCTTTTCGCGAGGGTGTTAAAATCGCGAAAAATTATCGTCGCGAAATTGCCAATTAAATCCCCGGGAATTTGTTTTTACCTGGGGCTCTGATGCATTTCGTTTTGTCTACTAGTTTGGATCGAGTTATAGTACTTCAATAGCACTATGCAACTCCATGACTTTACGATGCGCATGCGCGGCAATGAAAGAGCACGTGTGCACGATTGTTCACGTGATCGTAGCCTGCAATTTGATTGGACATCATATACTGGCGAATCCCCGAATACGATAAAATACAGTATTCGCGAAATTTAATAGCCGCGAAACCGTGTTTTCGCAAAATTCGCGAAATTAAAGCTCGCGAATAATACCGGGCGTACAGTATATATTTTGATGGTTGTTTTAAAAAGGTGCCTTTTGGTTCAGTGTATTTTAGTGAATTGAGATGTATTAGATTTATTGTGTTAGTAGAAAAATGTTTAATATTTTAGCATATAGTTTATTTCTTCTATACATAAGCAGAAACCTTGAAAGGAAAATCTGCCAATCATGCTTTCTTTATGTAAAACAATGTTGTATAGGGTGACCCAAAAATACAACTAATTTTGAAATAACCTTCTGAATTGCAGGGTGGACAAATAATTGAGACTCACCCTGTAACTCATGACTTTGTAAATATATGACCAATATGCATTAAAATTCATGTGATCAGCCTTTGTATAATGGGTTTTATTTTTGAGATCACATTGTATTTTAATGGTGTAAATCATGGGAAATCTAATCTCTTCCTAATAAAATTTCTCTAGCATTGGATCAAGTCGGTGCTTCTCTCTTTTGAGATGAAGAAAAAATGGTTGAACTTGCCTTTAAAACCTATTTGCAACCAGTGGCCTTTAGGAATGACAATTATAATGGTGAAGAATTAAGTGAGTTCAATTATGAACAAAATTATCAAAATTATTCAAAAATCCCCTAATATAAATCTCAATGAAGATATCTAAAACCTTATTATGATTGATAGTTAAAACATGCAAGAAAATAAATATGAAGAAAAATTAGATATTTGTTTGCTTAATGTTGTATATTTGAAGCTTAATACAGCAATATTACTCACACACTCCAATGGGGCATGTGTGACTGTGAAATACAGCGGCACATAGGTATTAATAGAGGCCATTCCATTGGAGTAAGACCCCTTGGACAACATGTCACAGAACAAAAAAAATCGGAACGGTTCGGTTCGGAACAATTTGCTTCAAAACGGAACAATTTCGGAGCGGTTCGGAACAGAGTGACTGCGTGTATAAGATTAAAATAAGCTGATCATCTAGGTCTATTTGGTAGCGAAAAGCTCTTCAATGAGAAGGAGTGAAAAGAATGAACCTCTGAAAGGGTATTTTCTTGTTCCGGAACCGAACCGAAATTCTCAATTTGTGTTCCGTTCCGGGGCATAATTCCGCGGATCGGAACAAGATCAGGTATCCGTGACGGGGTCAACCCAGTTGTCCGAAACCCAGTTTTCCGAAACCCAGCTCTCCGAAACCCAGTTCTCCGAAAATTAGGGGATCTTATCTAAAAAATACAATTTCTGAAAACGAATCTTGTCGCAACCTCTGCAAATCACGACAACATAACATTGGAATCACGTTGACATCATTGCAAAATTAGGCTAATATGCTAAGTCAAGACGTTAATTATTTAATGTTTATCCTACGAAAGTTCATGGGTAACTTGAGAACTACAAAATACAACCAAATACTTTCCGAACGTACAATAGCAATATTTCTCACCTAACGTCTCCATACATGTAGTTTAAGGAACGTATTTTAAACGCATGATAGCCAAATATATCAAGATACTATATCTGCCTAAATGTTGTTATCTATTGTTGACAACGTTTTGAAACATATTATATTCAGATCCATCAGAAATTAACTTATCCAATACATTACTTTACTAGTTCTAGTATCTTGCATGACTTGTTCATAAGAATTCTTTAATTCTACCTCGTTCCTAATACGTCCTCAGACAGACAAGAAATTGAAGTCACACCCGTTTGTTTGCGTGACAGAATATGCAACGCAAATGTATACATATACGCACTTTCTCTGATTATTGTCAAACAAATACATTACGGGAGAAGAACATAAAAACAAATGCCGGAAACGAATGCCGAAAAATAAATCCCAAGTGATTAAGTTTAGAATGTTTTGTTCTTTTACGATTTGATAAAAGACAGAGACTAAGAAATTAAATGCGACGAAATATTTTGACAACGTAATATGTATACTGTTTTATTCTTAAAGTTCTATGCGTTAACTTATTTTATCTGTTTCAAAATGTTTCATTTTATTTTGCCGTGATTTGAGAAGATACGATAAACTGTTCCGTAATATATATTGTGTTTTAATAACCTTTTTTAGAATCACAATGTAAAATAAATCCCCCGTTCCTGCCATTCTGGTAACGCCGTAATGGATGCAATTCAAAGTGAGGGGGAGAGATTTATGAACATCAAAATGCGTCCATCCCATTAATTTGGCCAAATACATGGCATGAAACTGTCCCGAGGCTAAGCTTAAGTACGTCCCCTCTTTCTCTGGTAAAGTATGACTATATTTTTGGAGAAATGGGTTTCGGACAACTGGGTTTCGGACAACTGGGTTTCGGACTACTGGGTTTCGGACTACTGGGTTTCGGACAACTGGGTTTCGGACAACTGGGGTGTACCCATCCGTGACACCTCTAGACAACACCTTTCATAATATTACTGAACTGCCATCTATATGAGTCCATCTATATGAGTCCTGGCCCATATTGAAAATGAGAATTTATACATGAGTTATCGGCAAGAATCCATAAATTGTAACTGTAAACCTACTTTTGGCCACCAACTTTATCAAAATATGGCCAATTTCAGGCATTGCTATAAAATACCCACTCAAGAAAAATGTGAAATAATATATATGAATCACAGGTTCAAAATCTACCATTCTGGCCCCATTGATTTGTTAATAGCCAAATCAGTTGAAGCATTTGTAACAATGTCCCTATTGGTTCTAGTTCACTGTTCATGAAACCTAAAGGAAAAAGTGGCAACAAGGCCTGTAGGGAAAATTTGAAAAAAAAAATTCTGAGCTATCAGAGCAATATTTGGCTAATCATCTTCTTTGATATACCTATTTTCTTAAAATTTATGGAGGCTATCAATTTCATCATTGAGAAATGTAAATTGAGTTCAAAGCTTCTATGAAGGGAGTCCTTCTTATAGATGTTTAAGATCACCACAATTCTAGAGGAATATCAGTGCAAATAGTGTTCATCCAGGGGGTTTCTCAGGAGATAATAAACACATATGTTAGTCACTTGATGAAATATCCAAACTTAAATATATATGGTCCATGATCGTTGAATGGCGCCTCAAATTTAAAGGCAGAATCAGATCTATAGGGGGTGACAAAATTACAAGCAACTTGTCTAATTGACTGACCAATCTATTCCTTACAATATCAAATGCAATATCTCCAAAAAGATTCACAATATGTAATAAATTGGTGAAGTTATTAATGATTCAAAGTGCAAAAATTGGTGAAAAATGTTTAAATTCTCCCAAATAATAAGAATGGTAACCATTCTTATAGAAAAATAATATATTATTGTAAAAATCTTTAGTTTTCTTGGAATAAAGTATGTACTTTTGTGATTTTTAGAAAATAGACTTGACAAGGAATGAGATGAGCCAAAAATATTCTAAAATTGGAACAATTTTTTGTTTAGCCTGCTCGCCATCTCTGATTCTCTCTTTAATTGTTGCTCCTATTAGGTTATATAGAATTACATTGTACAACTACTGATACATTGGGATATCTAAAGGCAGAGTCAGGAAAATAAATTATTCCTCTTTATTCGGATACAATTTTTGGACACCCAGTATTATTAAAAAAAATTGAACGCAATGTGAGCAATATAGTACAAGGTAATAAAATTGAATGCAATGTGTAATCAATAGTTCCGGCCACATCATAGATATGAATTAATACTGCAATTTGATTGGATACTGATTTATTATCAATTAATTCAATAAATCTTATAAGATCAAAATAATGAACAGTTGATATTCATTATTTGACATAAATAACAAATTTAAGTCATTTATTAAAAATATTAATTTTTGTATTCATTTTTAACCACCCGGAAGTGTTGATCTCCGGAAAAGTGCTTGTTTTTAAAATGGAATTCGTGGGACTTTTCCTGTTTCTGACGTTTCATTCCTGTTTCTCACTACCAGAGCAAGGGAAATGGGTAACTCAGATGAACAATGTAAGTCTTTATTCATAGATATTTCATTAATATTAATTAGTTTATTTGTTTAAACGTTTGTATTGGCGTAATCGCATTCTGAAATGAGTGGCAAATATTTTTTTGCTTTTCAATTTCAATAAAATTTTCACTCAGATTCAGGATTCTGGATGTATTGATTAAATATAAGCATTCTTAAAGCTGTTCATTATTTTTTAAACCTTTTGCATAGAATATAGTACATGTATATTAATTCATGTCTTTGGTACTTGTAGCATTTGTTGTCTGATGATGTCAAACATTTGTATTTGTATTTGCATCATTGAATGATTCATCACTGCATTTTCATCATCATATGAGCTGGTCCACATATTTACTTTATCGCTGGGGATCTATTTCAATATGATATGAGGTTTATTTCACCACACAACACATTAGTATGTATCCAACAGACCGAATATAATATTCGGTCTGTTATGATTGATATATTTCCTGTGGAAATCGCGGTGATATTTTTTGCACATTAATTTCTCGTTTATTATAAGAATGTTCACCTTGAAAATTGGTGAATATGTTGAAGAGATGTTCATCTTAAACTAGAAGCAAAAATATTTGTATAAGGCGGGTACAAGTTGATATAAAATAATGAAATGTTCAGACTCACCGAAACTTCAGGATGTGTTCATAAGTAGATCGCGAAATCAATGTCAAGGACGTTTGAGTTCACGAGATCCAAACGAGATATGCAAATTTTGAACTTTGACAACACATGACCACTTGATTACCTCGGCCTCCTTCATGAATATTTCCGCTCTATTTACTATAAATGAAGAAAATTAATCGGGATAATGATAATAAATGACTAGATCTAATAAATTCCCGCACAAATGGAATTTAGCAATACGCTTCCGTAATGTTGCTCCGTCCGCTCCACGTGTTATTTGTTTACAAATAGACTGACGTCACTGGCTAAATCTCGTTAATCGTGAGAATTGGCATTGCCAAAATGGCTTGACCTAATCAATGGCTTCGCTACAAGAAGCGTCTGTACATTTTATGAATATCTTCAGTAAGAGGACAATATACGAAAAAATAATATTGTAAGTTCTTTATAAGGTAATCATTTTATCATTAAACAAACTTATTTGTAACATTTATACAACACCACATTTTACAATAGGTGACTTACAGTCTGAATATTTATTCAGACGAAGGATACAGTCTACACAACACATGTTGAGGTATCAGGGGTCTATATTAGGACCCCTGGTACACCTTATCCTCCGTCAAGCAAATTACAGAAATTGTTTTCTCATATGACTATCAAAGATACACCCATCTTTACCCCATGCAAGATATTGCCATCTTTCATCCTAAAAAGTCACACATGTCCATTATTGACTCGCTTTGATAATGTTTCTTTATCTCGACTTTGACTCAACATTCCTTGAAAGCCCATGGTACAATATTTATTTTTAAATCCCCCAAGTTGACTGTTGCTTTCTGTGCGATATTGTAGCTCCACACATTTAATAGGTAGCTAGATAAAATTTTCCACTTTTCTCGTGTGTTTTACAAGTTTTTACCACTCTTTTAACACGTTTTTGTAATATTCCAGGTCCAACCAGGTAACCACTATGTTGCTTTCACAAAGAGCATGTATAACCAGTCAACTGTGTCCTTACAGGGTAAGTATATGTGAAACATCATATAATCTTATAAATATTTTATAGATTAGGGACTGAGTCATCAACATAACTGCATGTACCATTTTTCACAAAATTATAGGGGGAGGCCGAGGGGGTTTAATCTATAGTTTAATCAAGCTTGGAATTGATAAGGTAATATACACTTCAATGTTATTGTACCTAAAGTGTCAGAGCCTAGAAGCTTGACCTTATTTCGGTCAGCAACTGAGTTTGAAGCGATAGCTGGAAAAAATAAAAATTCAATACACATTTCATAGCTTTTCTAATGAGCCATGCATAAAGAAATATTAACTACATTTCAATTTAATAAACTAAAATAGGATTATTTAGACTTCGGGGAAACGGTGACATCACTTAACAATGTTTATTGAAAAGTGAAAAGTGTTGATTGTGTTTTACTGATTGTGATTATATTGTGTCTTACATTGATACTTTCAGTTGAATGCTCCTCAGAAAACGCAGATTGTAAAGTTGGTTTATCTTGGATTTTAAGATATAGTCCGTGTGCAGAGGAGTACATCAATCTTGATGTTGACGGGGTAAGCCAAAGAAATTAATTTCCTTGTTAATAGGGATTCAAAGATAATAACCAGCGGGTCATAAACAGAACTTTTGTAAAGTTACGAATTCGCAAGTAAATTGTTAATTTTACGAATTTGGAAAATGTACATTAACAGAACTTTCGTAAAGTTACGAACGATTTGCAAAGTTATGGAAAAATTATGTCACATATATGCTTTCGTTCGTAACTTTAATAGCACCTCAGATGCTTTCTTTGCGAATGGCATATTTCTTATTCATTTCTTATGTAAGGTTAACACTTTGGCAAAAATAATTTTTTTTTATATGCATGCAAAGTTTCAAGCTAAAATATCCACTAATTCTTACATGATTAGCAAATATGTTCCTGAGCTGGGAATCTTTGAGATTGCGGAGACAGGTTTAATCACTGCGCGAAATGATACTTAATGACGTCATATTTTTATTTGTGCTAAATAATGATGTAAGATGACGTAACAATTCGAACGATAAAAGTTACGAATCACTTACGAAAGTGTTCTGTTAATGGCGGATTCGTAACTTTACGAATTTGTAAGTCATTGGTAGCTTTTTAAATATGTAATTACGAATACCATAAAATTATGAATTACTAAATTACAAATTATACAAATAATAGAAGGATAATTATCCTATGTCATGTCATAATATTATGTCATAATTATCATATGTCATACATTTTCAGTATAATAGGAAAGAGGTCTACTTTAATATTCCATACTTCAAACAGATCGACTATGAGTACCAGTACGCCTATTATCTTAGAAGCCAAAGTGAAACCTTAGCATGTCAAGAAAATATTCATCTCAAGGTAAGAAATTTCAGGATTTCATTTTCTTTTGGAGGTCAGTGATCGGGAGTTCATAGGTTTCCATTTCTTAATATTTAAAGCACTTATACTTTTAATGTTTGGATAAGGTTGTAAACCTTGTCTCTATACACTTTAGTGCATCTAGTTATGAAGACATTTGATAATTAATTTTATTTCTTGAAATACCTTATTTCAGGCCCCTGTTTTTTTATAGTTACCTCCTGATTTTTACTATAAACTAATAGTATATATTCTATGCATATATTTAGGATATTTATTCACTGGAGACATTTATCCACCCTTTTAGACTTTTAAATGTTATCCTATGAGTTATTTTACATCCAGTAAACTTTTATTTCCTTCATGAGAGACTGAATTCATTCTTTCCTCATACCTTTCATTTGTGTCTAGCATTTTGTTCTGTAGACTTTAACCAGAAAGGAGTATCAATAATAGGCAACTACAAGTTGTATTCTGTACTCGATAGAGAGCAATTATGGATATTATTGTGAAATTGCACAAACATGGAACAAAATATTTGTTTTATTGTACCTTTGCTTGGCATTCTTTATAATCAGAATCTGCAGGGGACAATATGTAGAGTACTCTTTTTAAAATAAAAAATTGAGGGGTGGGGTGTGATATATGTTATCATATTTTTGATTTCCCCTGAACAATAGACTCCAGCCAGACATAATCCAATCTGGCTCTTGCCTTCATCTTTGCCCTTTTTCATTGACTTACCATTTTCCTTCTTTTCCTTCTCTTTCTCAAGTATTCTTGGAGAATGCTTAGCAATGATGCAATTTAAAACAAGAGATGGTTAGGAGCCCTGCATCTGGAGGATGTAATGTTTCCATTCTCATATATCTAGAAATCATGCCCCAAGCCTCTCATAACAGAGATCCAGGACATCAGCTTATGCTTCATGTGTCATATCTTTTGTTTGTTTTATTTGCACGTTATTTACATTTACTGGCCATATTTGTTTATTTCTTTTCCACCAATTAGTTCAAATTGATTTGGATTAAATGAAATATTATGTCTACTATAATTAAATACATCTAGATGGGTTGCTCTCGTAATATTCCGAGAGGTCCAGTTACATGTATAAGGGTTATGCACTGGGAGGTTTTGGATACAGGGAATATCCCGAGGGATATACAATATATCTTCCCGAGGGACCGAAGGGACCGAGGGAAGATGTATTGTATATCCCAAGGGATATTCCATGTATCCAAACCGACCGTGCATAACTGGTGTATCTCATACTTGAGTGGGTTTAGGGTAGATATAACCATTTCCACCTTTTTCAAATGACAAGATATTTATATTTAACATTTTCGTAATATTCTTTTTGTTCAATACAATGAAATTGTAACATTTAAACTTAAAAAAATTAAATTTTGAAATTAAAAAATTAAAACTTTTGATATTTAAACTTTTTTAAACTTTTGAAAAATTCCCGGGAGCGGGATGGATATATTATATCTGCCCGCATTTGGCCTGGAGCGGGACATATACAATATATCCTGCCCGCTCCTGCCCGCTCCTCGATATATATTCCCGGGTGATATCTACCCCAAACCCACTCAAGTATGAGATACACAATTATATATACATACAATATATTATAAAATCTAGAGCCAACGGTAAAAAACTTTTTGATCGGCCCTTGTATGTACATGTATTTCATAGATATAAACCTTGAAATGTGAACACCTGCTAATCTGAACACTTTTGGCTGGTTCCAGTGGTATTCAGATTTGACAAGGTTTTACTGTATATCTTCTATCGTTTGAATGATCCCCATTATATATAAAGTATGGAAATGGGCAAGAAATATATGATAAACATCAGAAGTTGTCTTGCCCTTTTGGAACAAGCAATATGCTCTGAGTTATTAATACATCTATTCAATAAATATTGATAACTCGGAGCATATTGCTAGTTGCAAAATGTTGTGAGTTTCACAGTGTTTGATGGCTAATCTATCAAATCCCTATGTGTTCTGACATCATATATCAACGGATAATTTGTTAACTTCATTTGTGCATTGTAATTCAATGATAGGGTAGTGTAACATTTGGTGAAACAGTTTCTATTCATGAACTTTCTCTTACAAGTTCACATTTTTCTCTAATATTTGATCTGTCTAATATTTTGTTTTTTTACATAAATTAGAGTATCCACAACATGCCAGGATATACCAAGGGGGTTCACTTTTTGAAAAATTCCAGGGGGTTCAATTATGACAATTTTGTTCCAAAAATGGCCAAAATCACTTAAAAAGTGCTCAGAATGGTGAAAGACTCTACATGCAGAAGTTCATTTCACATAAGGTTGATAGCTTATTGCTTATAGATGATTTTTATAGAGGTGTTCTAACTTTACAGGCTTTACTGTGCACTACTATTTAATGGTTGTATGTGCTGAAATATATTGCTATCTTTTGTTATTTTATTGATCACTGTATCTAAAAATCTCTATAAAAGTTACTGAAGGTCAAGGTTTTAATATTTCCATACACTTTGTTTGATTTATTAGTCAAAATTGTGTTTAAACCAGAATAAATGCTGATATAATTTACTTTAATTGAGATTGATCACACCTACAATTTGCAAGCATGCAGCATCTACAAACCAATTACTGATTTCAAAATCAATTCGTTTAAATGATTAATATTACAAAAGTCCTGAATGTTGAATTTATTAGTGGTAAAGTTCTACAGTATAACCTGTCTTAATGAACACCTCTCTTTAGTGAGCATCTGTTCTAAGTTGACACCCTTCTGCCGCATATACTCTTCTGACTTCTGTATAAATTGCCCTCTCTGTAGTGAACACAACACTGAACTTTTTTGGCAAAGAAATGTTCAATATACACAGGTTTTACTGTATATGTTAATTCAGGAGGCTTAAAAGTCAGTTTTCCTCTTGAGTTTCTATCAATAGATAAATAGGTGGCAGTACTAGTTTTGGTTAGGCTTGTAAACCATTCCTTTAAATGTAGAAAGTAAAAAAAGTTAAACTGTATTTCTTAATTTCTCAAATATTTCTAGGATTATGTGGAACTCATTTGCCATGCAACAGGATCAGATCTTGTTGATAGGCATATTATTATTCAACTTTATACAATTATACAATTGAGTTCTTTAGGAGTGTGAATCAAATTTTTAAGATTTATTTATGTTCTGTCTGAAAATATTAATGGTTAAATATGCAAATCTCCTAAAATCCTATTAAAAACAAGACATTAACAAGATTTCAAAACTATATAAGGAAGCCTCAATTGAGTAAAATACTGTCTCCTGAATTCTCCTTATTTAGGAGGTTTTTAAATTTGTTGTTGTTTAACCATTGCTATGATGCCATTGCAAGAGAGCATGACATCAAATCAAGAGACAAACAACGAAATGGCTTTAGTATTTTACTCAAATCAAGAGACCTGTAGACGTACTTAGAAATGTTTACATTCATGTGTACCAATCATGCACCCAGCAGTATCGAAGGCATCGAAGCTTCTGTGGAAACATGTGGAAACCCTCTAATATTGCATTCTCAAGTGAGCATACCAATTCCAAATATAGCCCTATGCCTATGAAATATAGCCCTATGCCTATGAAATATAGCCCTATGCCTATGAAATATAGCCCTATCCCTATGAAATATAGCCCTATGCCTACGAAATGTAGCCCTATCCCCTTTTGTAACTGCAGGCACATGTTTACTTGACACATGTTTATATCATGCCATAATTGTTCATTTTCAGGATTATAGAAATGCTAATTTTACGGTGCATAAAGTGGAAACAAAGGAAAGCATGAATAATATCACAGTAGGGGCTGCTGAAGGATCTTCACAGAAGCAACAGGTAACAATGATGTGGTGTGGAGTGGAGTGGTGTGGTGTGGTATAGTGTGGCCTGGTAAGTTAAGTGTGATATGATATGGTTTGGTGGAGTTGTATAGTGGGGTCAAATAAGCTCTCTATGTAGTGTGTGAAGTTGTGTGGTATTGTGTAGTGTGGTTTAATATGGCCTGGTAGGTTAAGTATGGTATGATATGGTGTGGTGAGGTGTGGTTTGGTGTTGTGTGTTATGATGTGGTGAGATGTGGTGAGGTGATGGGGTATCAGTGAAGGGGTTGTTGTCCAAAATCAAGAGAATGGTATTGAATCGAGAGAGATAATGTTTTTGGCTTGAGACATGGGAAGGATATAAAGAAGGTTCACAGAATCCGCTAGTAACACTGGTGTAGGGGGATTGTGTAAGGGGGGATTGTGCATCTGGGAATGAATATATCAAGGGGAATAATGTTGAAGTGACAATAAGAATGGCGGTGAGGTGAATGGGGTTTCAGATATAGAGTGCGATTGATTTGGTTCCATTTTCTAGAAGAACGGGGTTAACATATAAATTATCACTGAGAAGCACTGGTATTAAGATGAATTTGGGTCACTTGTTTAGGGAAATCATTTATCAATTTGATAAATTTTGTTCAGTTATCAAAGATGAGTGAGGTTTTACCCAACCATTCGGTATCAAGGGACTAACAAAACTGTTTATAGGTTCTTTCAAAGTGTTTATAAACTGTCCAGAATGTGGAGAATACAGCAGATCCCACGGAGCATCTCAATAAGTAGAACATCTTTGTAAGATGAATATTTTTCACAGACTTGTATATTCCATATACTGTATGTAAATTGATAATTTATGTAAATTTACAATACATGTTTTACATGTAAATTGACAATTCTTGTAAATTAACATGTAATTTGACAACATGTTAATTGATGATTGAAATATGAATCCAGGATATAAATCCAGCTGTAAATCCACCAGCTGCAAATCCACCAGCTACAAATCCACCAGCTACAAATCCTCCAGCTGTGAATCCTCCAGCTGTGAATCCTCCAGCTGTGAATCCTCCAGCTGTGAATCCTCCAGCTGCGAATGTTCCTGCCAGTACTGGAAAAGCTGCAGAAACGCCTTCTAAAACAGCCAATGAAGCATCCAAAGAACAACCCAACAAAGAAACACCTGCCAGTAAATCTAAAAGAAGCCCTGAGGAACAACCTGCAAACACCAAAGATGCTGCAGTGCCACCAACTGTGAAAGCAACAACTGCAGCAGCAAATAAAGGGAAGCAACCTAAGCCAGGGGTATGTCAAACTTTTATTCATAATAATCTTTAGGTAATGTTTTCCTTTATGATATTTCTTTGATGTTCAGTGTTGTCATCAATATAAACTTTTATTCCATAATACTCCTGTTTTCCCAGGGAAATATGAAGGAATAAAAATCTTATTGAATCATATTACATGAAAAAATCGTATTGTCCCCTGGACAAAAATCGTATTGGAGCGTATTACATGAAAAAATCGTATTGTCCTCGGGAAAAAATCGTATTGGAGCATATTAACCTATTTTCGATTTCCCGGTTATTTTTTCCTGGTTATTTACATTATCCAAATGTTGCATTTTAGAGGGGTGTATTATGGAATAAATAGGTTATTTCTGGTCGGGATTGAATATGGGTTTTATCAATATCATATTGTCCCTCGGAATAAAACCCATATTCAATCCCTCCCAGTAAATAACCTATATTTATTGGTTGCCTCAATACATTGAACAACTTCTCTAATCTGAACGTATTCCAATGTGAACATTTTAGTCCTTAACTTCATTAATTGTACTATTTTAGACTAGTCCTTAATTTTATTAACTGTACTATTTTAGTCCTTAATTTCATTAATTGTACTGTTTTAGATTAGTCCTTAATTTCATTGATTGTACTATTTTAGACTAGTCCTTAATTCCATTAATTGTACTATTTTAGTCCTTGATTACATTAATTGTACGACCAATGTGGCAAAACCTGTCTAAAAATCATGCTTTAAGTGTGATTTTTTCTGTTTTCTAGGGAGGGAACCCAAACTATGTGATAGCAAAGACTTGGGAAGATGGAATCTACCTTTTGGTTGTTAATATATGGACACCCGGTGAATCTGAAAATCAAGGAAAGGAAGATAAAGATAAAACATTCAATATTACAAGTAATTCACCCCGTTCTTAATATTTTCTGTATACATTCAGAATAGTTCAGCATTATTTAAAGGCCCCATATGAAGGTTGAACCACTTTGGCTTATATGGAGCCTTTAACCATTGCTGCTTTTCTTTTCATGTTGCTTGTAAATTCTAGAGAAAAAAAGTATATTTTCAGCTTATATTGTAGATCCAATTATTTTTTATTACAAGCAATTTAGTAAAAAAAGAATTCAATGTGAAACTTTTTGAAATATTTTGTTTATTTTTCAGTGACTGTTCAGATGAAAGCAGAACACGGATTTCTGTCTGCAATTGAGTGGCCATTACTTGTGGTAAGTTCAATAGTAATTGTAGGTTTAATTGATAATTCTTTCATTATTATTTCTCCTACAAATATGGTCAATTTTGATTTCAGTTTGATGGCACTTGAGTAAATCCATCAGCTTATTCCACCTGATATTCCAACAATTTTAGTTTCAATTATATCAATTATGATATATTTTGTGGATGGTGTTTGGTGTCTTAAACAAATTTATACAATTTCCAATAATACTGGTGGTGACATTTTATCATGTTAATGCCTTGTATTACAGTGCTTGATTTCCCCCCCCCCTTCCTGAGTACCTTACATCTACATGTAACATGAATTTTAATCAGTTTTATGGTTTTCAGTTTTATGGTGTGATGTGTATAGTGTATGTGATCTATGGCCTAGTGTGGCTGGTTCTACTAGCCTGTAACTGGAGGGATATTCTACGCATTCAGTTCTGGATAGGTGGCGTCATTGTGCTAGGTACGACCATTTTCATATTTTAGTCAGTACCTTTTGAGGGAATGGAATATTTTGGTTTTTGCCAGAATTCTTGCAGAATTGACTATCTAGTCAATGTATAAAACAAATTAAGTGAGTACTAGTCTGAAGGCATATTTCGATTCAATGGGTTGTTCTGTTCTTAACTCACAATATTTTTAGATTACCCTGTAAATTAATATTTCAGGTATGTTAGAAAAGGCCATTTTCTATGCGGAATACCAGACGATAAATAGTACTGGAAGTTCAGTAAAGGGGGCAGTAGTGTTTGCCGAGCTAGTATCGTGTCTAAAGAGGACAGTTGCCAGGATGTTGGTTGTCATTGTCAGCATGGGTTTTGGCATCGTCAAGTAAGATTTATGAATACTATCATGGAAAGTACATCCAGAAATTTTAGTATTAGTACATGATGTTTTATAATTTTTTGTCAGTCATGTCAGTTATTGAAATTCTGTTCATAAAAAATTATAGCATTGGATTCTTTTGGGAAAATTGTGATTTGCCAAAATTATCAAATTGTTAAGTTCATGATATTTTGGATATTTGAAATTGGTAAACATTTCTAAGCTTTGACAACTTTACTTTTAATCAAATGTTAAATTGTAGGCCTAGATTGGGACCCATGCTTCACAAGGTCCTCGGAATGGGGGGTCTCTACTTCATCTTAGGATCAGTGGAGGGATGTCTCCGTGTGCTCAAGGTGTGTGGCGGCCAAGCAATTGTTGGACCCCTAGCTTAAAAATCTTTAGTACAGTAAAACCTGAACACCATATAATAGAGTGTCTAAAAGTTTTCAGATTAGGTGTTCACATTTTGAGGTTTTTACATTTACGAGATACTGAATTTTGAAGAAATGTGAACACATTCTCAATTAAACGTTTTGTCGAACACATAGCTTAATGGCATTCCAATTATTTGAAAGTCTGATTCAAATGAGTTTATAAGTCATGTAAGAAAGACACATTATGATTGAGACCATTCCCTGCGATTAATAAATTACAAACTGTATTCAAATTCTAAAAAGGATTGAAGTGATGTCCATTTTTTCAGTTTTTGTTTAATTTTCAAAACAACATTAACGTAATTTTATGATTTGTCAAAAATCAATGGTTTTATTCACATATTTTTTGATTTGTAAAATGTGATTGACATTTGTGTTTCAGCCTAAGGGAGATACAACTAACCAAGCACTGTTAGCAAGCATTCCATTGGCTGTGTTAGATGCATCCATCTGCTGGTGGGGTATCCTTTAAAATAATCACAATTTGAGCTATTCTACATTATTCATTGTGTGTGAATTCGTATTGAAGTTATTTATATGCAGATATTGTATGACTCATTATTCTGATTGCATATGGACAAATTTTTAATGCCTTAGTCATATTTGCAATGGTGACTGTAATGTCTAATATTTCTCTGGTTAATAGCAATCCAAAGCCACTGAAGTATGTCTTTGGTTGCATAATTTAGCAGTCACATTTGTTAAAGCAACCATACAATCTTAGATTTCTTAAAGCTATGGTCACATAATTTAGCACTCAAATTTCCAATGGTGCAGTATATGGTCTAATATTTCAATGGACAATTGCAATCCTGAAGAAGACTTACAATGTCTATGTTTGCATATTTTAAAGATCATGAAGTGTGACTGTTCAACAATTCAACACTGAATAACAAAACAAATCAAAAACTAAAACTAAATCCCCAAATATATATGAATTGCAAAATATTTCCTTTACTCTTCTCAGTATTCACCAGTTTGATGCAAACAGTTAGAACTTTGAGACTTAGGAGGAATATTGTTAAACTTTCCTTGTATAGACATTTTACAAATACTTTAATATTCACTGTAATAGGTAAGTTAGGTACCAGGTTAATAATAGATATGTGTTAACCAACTATTATGCAAAGTTAAATTTATCAGGGAGAAGGGGACATAGAATTTAGGCACACTTGCATTAACATAGAATTGAACGACCTGTTATTTACTTCAAAACATTATATTTATCTTACTCTGTCAAGGATTTATAGAAATCAGATGATTCATTACATTGTTCAGCTAGTCATTTAGTTAAACCATAGATGTGATGTTAATAACTTCATTTATTTTGAAGAAAAAAATTGATATATAATGTCAATTTTATATGTTGATATTTTTACCACAGCATGGCAATATACTTCTCTCAATATCAACATATGTTTTTACAGTCTCCAACTTTTTTGTGGCATCTTTGACAAATGACAGGTGGTGATATTTTGCATGTTAATGCCTTGTTGTTTGTTTGTTTGTTTTATTTGTGTGTGTACTTTAAATGTTTGTTTGTTTTTGTTTCAGCATCTGTGGGATATATGATATGGTCCATAAAAATGCACAAATTTACTGCCTGTCTATCTGTAAGTTTCATTTTAGAATATATTGTTTATTGTTTCTTTTATTCCCGAAAATTAATCGGAGCAACAAACATAATAATTACAATACAGTTTTTTTATACAATAGAGAATAATCATGATAATGTAAGAGTAATATTTACACGAAATAGTGTTGCACAAATTGCAGCTTATTTGCAATAGCTAGTAAAAAATTGCAAAATGTGTCATCATCCAATTGTTGGAGAACATCTGCCTGACTTCCTAGTATGGCATCAATAAAAACATGTGTGTCAGCAGAAAACAGCTTGACACCAGTATCTATGTCTAAAATTGAGGCTAAATCCTCTAATCAATAAATGTTCAACTGCTTTTAAAGTATATTCTCAAAATGCAAAAATGTGTAATTAACAGTGAAGTAGTTTAACAGTATATTCTCAAAATGTTCCTATTTTTGGTTGATTTTAAAGTATACCTTTAATTGTTTTGAAATGCATAAACTTAACATCAATTTTAATATATATTCTCCTTCAAACTTCATGATGATTGCAATACTTTAAAGTCAACCCTCAAAATGCATAGCTATTTCATTGTTTTTAAATCACCCAAAAATGCATGTCCACCTAGTATTCAATATTTCGTAATGATCTCAAGTGAGATTCTTGAAAACAAATTCATCTTTTACGAAGAAATACACATTCTGCTTTTTCATTTCAAAATATAATCACAATAACAGTTTCATATACATGTACATGTAAAAATGCAAATTTCAGGACTGGAAGGAAATTTGGGTTGATGATGCTTTTTGGCATTTGCTCTTCTCCGTCATGCTAGCAGTGATTATGATACTCTGGAGACCAACTAATAATAATCAAAGGTATGTAGGAATTGAGCTGAACTCAAACACCATTAAATTGGGTTGGTGAAGAAATCCAATGTATTCTGTTTTCTATCATACGGGGACGAATTATGATAGTCCAAAGATTGAATTAGCAATTTACAATCTAAAATATGCAGATTATCTTTAGTCATTATTGTCTGGTATGTTTAAAACAATCATGGCCTTTCTTTTTCCACACTTTCAAGATGGACACTGAATTTCAAAGTGGCCGCCATTTTTCATATAAAAACTAAATATTTGGTAACTCAAATTCCAGTGGACAGATATGGTTAAATTTTATATGTTGATGCCTATAGGAGCAAACAAGCTCTGTTCAATGAGGAATTTTCAAGATGGCAGTTAAATTTCTAAATGGCTGCCATTTTTCGTTAAAATACTTTATCTTTGATAACTCACTTTGTTCAAGAAGAAATTTGATGGCCACTAAATATCAAAATATTTTTTGTTAGTTGGGATTCTCTACTCCGAGGAGTTGCTGTTTTTCTAGATTTCATGATGTATCTTCTTATGACTATCCAAACATTTTTTTTAGGCATGCTGGGGTAATTGTTAGACATCCATCTTTGATTTTAAGTGTGATATTGTTCACCATGTGTCTTCTTATTTGTTTCAGATATGCCTTCTCCCCACTATTAGATGCTGCAGATGAAGAAGATGTTGAACCTTTAGTCAGTGACGCATTTGGTGAGTTGCATTCTTTAGAGGCGTATGTTTTATAAATAATTCTGATTTTAATACCACATTTTTATGCAAATGTGCCTTCAAAAGAATTGACCTTTGTGTTTTTATTTTGTTATACTAATGAATAAAATTGATGATCTCAGATTCATTAAAAATAAATTTTAAAACTACAATTTAAACTGTTGGAGCCTAAGTTGTTTACATTATTCCTTGTTGATTTCACTCTATTTTGCATGTTAAAACACCATATGATCTCTGTTATATCAAACTACAATGGTTTCAGATACTGTAAAGATGAGGGGACTGAAAGGCCAGAATGGTTCTCCCAGGCAGAAAACTCCAAATGATAAAACTGTGAGTGCATCATTCAATTTGGGAATTTTTAAAAGTTTGTTTTGTTAAAATCCTACTAGATCTCCCCAGCTTTGAAGTAAATGGACTCTGCATTAACAACATTTCAGAACTAGAATACTTGGTAAATTTTGGCCAATTTGATTAGTATTATGAAATATAGTGATTTGCCTTGTAGTATTACTTAAGGAAAGAGCACTGAGATGTTTTTTTTCAATTTTATAAATCTACAACAACTACAAAGCAGAATGCTCATTTTTAACCCTAGAAAATTGTAGTATTTTATGTAAACATTTTTAGTGCTTATAAATCATATATGTAGATTACAAATACTGACGCACCTAACAGAGATCACGGTAGACGTTCGCCATTCGCCAATCGCGAATTTTCGAAAGAGGTGGCGAAAAATATGTAAAGGTATTTCGCAGTTATGGCGAATTAGAGTTGTCACGGTTTCCCGATATTGGACCGAATTTCGGTCCAGATGCTTCGGATTGGGACATGGGACAGAAAGGGTTAATATCGGTACATAGATTCCTTCCCTAGAATGCATAAAAACGTGTATAAATAGCGAGGAACACCTCCGACTTCGTTCTGAAAAATTAAATATTTTCACTTACCTCGTACCTAGTTTACACTTCTTTGCATTGAAAAGTGTTATTAACGGACCCGCGATTTCAGGTAGATGGTAATGCTTGTTCGTAAATTTCTTCATCGTCGTTCGCAAATCGAGTGCATTATCAGTATGCCGGATGTAGGAAAGAAATTGAAAAATCGAGCCGGCATCTAAGTCGAAAAAGTCGGCAGTTTGGAAGTATTTTGGGACTCCGATATCACAAGGTAAACGAATTGGTGATATTACACCGTGCAGACTATGTGAAATGCCGATCACATTCGCGGCAGATGCTTTACATTCAATTTTAATTGACGTTTTTTTATTTCTGAATATGATTTTGAAAAGTGAAACTGAAAGTGAAACTGTCATCATCAGACATTGCATCATTTTTAATGTTCCCTTTTTTACGGTTTTTCAAAATGGCTAATTCATATTTTGGTTGGCGAAAATTTTTTTGGAAGATTTAGCCACAATGGCTAACAAGTTTTTTCAACTATCGTGATCTCTGCACCTAATAATAATTTTGTCTCCAAAATATTTTCATGTGATCTTACAGGAGGAGGATCTCAAATGGATAGAAGAGAATATTCCCGCATCTGTAGCTGATACGTAAGTAGCATATCAGAATTAGATTCTTATCAAGTTTAAATCCTTCACTGCATTATGTATTGTAGCTGATTTATCTGGTGTTAAAGAAAATATGGTCCCCCAGGGATTGTGGTCCCCTTTCTTAACGGCCCTTACTGGCCCTGTTTGCGTATAAGATATTGAGGGAAAGGGTTGTATTGGGGTCACCATATAAATCAATGGAGGGTAGAACCATAATTTGATATGGACCTCCTACCCTTTTACACCACTTCTATATTCTATTACCTCTCATTAGTCAATAAACCCCCTGAACCTTAATATAGAGTTAAGTCTAAAATGTATTTATGTGGAATTAATTTGTTATTTGTATGTTACAGAGCACTGCCAGGAATATTGGACTCGGATGAAGAAATAATGACAACTAAATATGAGATGTCCAAAATGCAATAATGGGAATAGGACCATTGGGCTACAGTCTGCAGTTCAACTGCAATGGCCATGGATTTCTTGTGGTGGTGATTAGATTTTCTTCGAGTGTCACAGGAAGATATTCTCCCATGTGTCATAGGATGAAAATCAGGGTTATCTGACTTCCATTGAAGACATTGTTAAAGGGTCATCTTTTGCTCCTACAATTTTCCCAGATTGATAAATTCTAGAAGCCAAATTACTTTCCACAACTGACCTAAAAAGCAGAAAATTTAGTTATTTTTCTGTTTCAAAACTTCTGGTTGTTTACATGATTTTCTTGGATACTGACGAATAGAACAGTTTGTTTTTGGAGGAGTTTTAGAAATGTAATGAAAAGTAGACCTGGTGTTTTACAATTTGGAAATAACTACAGAACACCTGTGTAAATGGAACACCTTTGTTGAAAAGTGTTCTACTTGAGAGGTGTTTCTTTTAGTGGGGATCATTTGAAGTTCGGTATCATTGGACTCATGGTCATTGGGCTCATGGGGTCTTCACTATACTATGGTGGTGACATAATTGACCTATTTGTGCTATTAAATGAATATGAGCTACGTGTATCAGGACTTGCTTGGACTAGTTCAAGGGTTTGACAAGGAGTCCAGGAAATAGCTTTACTTTATGGGTTGCGCAGGGGAAATCAATATTTGTATAATGTAATGTAATATTTGTTTGATCTGCTTTCTTGAAATGAAAAAATGTCATGAAGGTAATGTCTTTTTCATTCTTTCTTTCTGTAAGATTTGAATGAACTGTCTGATTTGGCATTTGGCATTTCTATATAACATAGAATATTACACAGCCAATATAATTCGGCGCCGTTTCGGCATCAAAAAAATTCGGCACTGTTCCGGCACCGTTTCGACACCGCTCCAGCACCGAAACCTTTTGACACCAAAATTTGCTACCGGACTAGTCAGTCCATTTGGTGCCGAAATGGCACCGAAATTTGGCACCGAAACGGCGTCGAAAATCAGATTGCATTTTGGGGGTGTAGCTATACATTTTTTACTTGAATTATTGCTAATTAGTAATTTCACGCTTTTTGACTCTTTTTTTATTCAAAAACATGTCCACTCAGACATTTTTTGTGGATGAACCACTATTTATTTAGATACTGTAAATACTTTTCATTGAATTTATTCACCAAAGAGAATTAAATTATTTTTGAGGTATTCAGGATCTTATTTTTATGCATTAAATTCATACAAGATTTAAATTAGTGGTCTATATATTACAGAGTTGATGAGTCACTAAATTAAATCTGGTGCATTTATGGTATACTTGCTTGAAATGACGTTGAACCCATAGTTTGCGTGTTGGGGATTAAAATGTGATTGTCCAATGGGGAAAGGTTTCCTGTGTGTAGAGTTTTTAGGAATAAAGGTGCTATCTTATTCCATGATTTGAAAAAATGTATATTCTGTATTAATGTGTATGAAGATTCTAGTATTATTGTAAAGGTCCTTTTGTGTCCAGTAGATCTTGTATTCTAAATCATACAATGGTTTTGATCGAAGACAAGCTGTAATTAGAGCTTAAAGAGAATTCAATCCAGGATTTTCCTGCACAGAATTTAATATTTAGGTTTGAAATGAACATAGATTTTATAAATGTTACGTCTTTGATATGTTATGATCATATGTTTAAAATCGAGGACAAGACTGATTTTTTTTTATTCTCTCTATATTGTAACCATAAAATAGTTTATTTAACGAATAAAAAGAGAGGTTATATGATTTATGGCACAATATATGATCAAGAATTTTATTCTATTCAAAACCGAAGTCACGTAGTGATTGGGATCTTTGGCAATGGCCAGAATAAAATCCAAGGTCATATATTTGCCATAAATCATAGATTTCATAGATATTTGTTACAATTCTAATATGATAAACAAACCAGAAAAAACTATTTTCACTTTCACTGAAATTAAGTGGTTATACATACTCAATGAGACCAGTGAGTCAATCGTTCTAGTTATTGTGACTTTACGTATCATTTTAGAATTCGGGATTTGGTCAGTGTATACAAATACAAATGTAATTGAATATATTTTGAAAAAGAGATAAAAGCCTGTTCATTGTCTTGTTTGCAAACATCGAACTAATAAGAAAGTGATTTTAATTTGATTCATCAATTATCAATTACATTTTTCTAGGGAGGGAGAGGTTCAATCTAATTAGTTACGGATTTGAAATATTGATATTTTTTCTTAATGTTAAGATGTTTTGTTAATCATGTATAAACTAATATGTAAAATAAAACTGTTATTCATTCCAATGTGAATATACAGTATGACTTGCATTGAAATAGCTGAGCCATAGTTTTGTTTTAGATCATTCTTTTTAACTTGTGTCTTATTCATTCAGTCTTACTTTACAATTTATTTAGATTGTAAATGTCATATTCTTTTTGTATATATAGTATTAGTCTGTTGTTTCTTGATCATGAAAGAGAGCCCTTGTAAGTTGTTGATTGCAATCGTTTTAATTGCTATCATATTGATTGCAATACTATCAAATTGATTGCAAACCAGTCATTTGTAGCAATTTGGCAAATACATTCTTCATTATCCTTGATCAGGAATCAACCTGAAATTGAATCATTAGTCAACAAGTGTTAATACTAACTTTTCTTGTAAAATTATTTATTTAAATAATTTTCAAAATATTGCCCACAGGCTCTTATTTTGAGGGAAGTCATTTTTATTATTTGGTGTATGAAAACATCTTCACCTTTTTGCATACCATATTTTGCAATATAAAGTGTATTAAAATAGTACCCAAAATAATTATAGGAAATTTTCCAATTCAATTTTCAAACAAGATAGGCCTTTTATTGAAAATACTTACAAGTAAGCCTTACTTTAAATTTACCCATGCAGAACTGCATAGTTTGCCTGAAATTATTTATATTTTATTTAATATCAAATTCCATGTTTAATTGATAAGTATAAAGTTCTGTATCTAGGTCAAGTATTATGCATCAAATGAATGTGAAAGTGTTGAAAACTGACATCACTTTCTGAAAGTAGTTTAACAATTGTCAGTTGTCCTACTAGGGTTAGGAACCTAGGATATTATTACAACAAAATCAGACCTTTGATGTTTCTTGTGCTTAAATAGTGGACATCTTTTTTTTAGTTTAACATCCCAATAAATTATTTTTGTGTAAAAATGTCAATTTGATTAAATTTCTCATTCATATGAAAAATGTTTTCTGGCATTTTGTTTTCACTAAAGGGCTTTCATGATTTAACATGTTGGAAAATACAGAAATATCCAATTTGATTTTCAGTTGAAACCCTTAGTGAATTCAACAAGCTTATATTGACAGTATGTATCATACATATTTCAAAAAGTAGACATCTCCACATTTAGAATGGAGTGAATTTTTGTAATAATTTCACATTTCATGACGATTATTAAAATTATTCTTTACAATAATGTATAAAGGTGTGGCACATTGTATATATTAGAACTTTAGCTATTGTACATATATGGGGATGATCAAAGGGTGTCAAAAAATATTCTTGTCCTAACATGTTTTAACTGTGAACATGTCTCTGAGGAAAATACAGGATGACCCAAAAGTAGGTTGATAGTTATTCAACAAAACCTACTTTTTGGCCACCCAGTATAATACACAGCTTGGGAAGTACTTCAAGTGTTGATGGATTGTTAAAAATGCTCATCTCATTTGTAAAAATTGTCTTTGTCAAAATTCCATGTAAAGTGAATGAATGATGTATTTTCCATCTGTAATCGCACCAGTTGATATGGCACGATTAACTAACTCCATAAGATGTTAAATTTTTGGTAAGACTGCCTTACATATATATTTGGCTTTGTCAGTGTATACATAGCCTTGCCCAAGTCGGTCTCTTTTACTTATATTGATTTCTATTGGTAATAATTCAAGATCAGATAAGTAAAAAAATACCGACTTGGGCAAGGCTTGTGCATACATGGTAGGCAGATAGTAGTAATTGATTAATATGGCCATATTTCCCGGGGATTTTAATTTAATTACTGTTCCCATAGACAATTACCTTGTGTTATAGAAATGTATGGGTTGTACATTCATTGATACACATGTATAAAGTAATAAATATTTATATATCCATCAGCAACATTTTGTCTTTGTCAGGTTAAACTGTACCCATATGAATGTACAGGGTGTACTTAAAGTCTATTTACAATTGAAATACAAAGTATATTTAAAGTGTTAAGAGACTTTATGGACAAACTGTATATCCTGAATACTACCTACCACTGTATAACACAGAAGCACAAAGAGCAACATTATTAAAGATACATATACTGTTGTCCAAAGTATAAAGCGTTTTGTTTAATGTCATATCCAAAAAGTGGCGACTTATTTTTGAAGCCTTGTCACAGCACTGAATTATTGTATGACCCCAGGACAGGAGTCCAGAACTATGTAACAGTCATTTCTTTTCCCTGGGCCTGGTTATACTGTTGGATGATGAGAGGATGGGGGAAATAATGATTGTATAAAAGCGAAGCTTGAAACATGAATGAGGTTAGTGTGGTTCCCAAGCAGCATATGAGATATTTTTTTTTTTTTTTTTTTTTAAAAACATTTATTTTCCTTTAAAATTAACTTACAATTATACATTAACATCAATCATACAAAATAAACATACATTTCTACACATTTAATATCTTTTGTTTATGAAACTCACTTTTTATATTGCCTAAATAGTTGTGGTAGTTGAAAATTTGGATTGTTTTTCTGGCAATGAGAACATCTTTATAATTTGAACATGTTTGAAGACCTAAAATTTGTTCATCTGTCAAATTGAAATTATTCCAAATATCTTTGACTTTATTACATTTAATAAAATGATGTACAATAGTGTCATTTACTCCACAATGGTCACATAAAGGAGACTTTTTAATTTTTAACTTGAACAGGACCGAATTACAAGGATAAATATTGTGAAGTGATTTCCAATGTAAAATACGGAGCACATTTTCATTGGTACAATTATGAGCTCGTAACCAAGAGCTTTTATCAATTTTTACATTATTCATTAAAACATCCACATTTCTGCGTTTAACAAATTCATTTCTAAAATCTGAACTGGTACATTGTATAATGTCTTTACCCATAAAATTCATTTTAACTTCATTAATATTGATATTTTCAACAATAATCTTTTTGCTAATATTGGCTTTTAAGCCTATGTACTGAATTAGGGTTGTTGCATTTTTTCCAATGATATGAGACAATTGTTCATATGGCATTATTTCATTATTAATACAGATGTCTTTTAAAAAGTTAATGCCCTTTTTAATCCAATTTTTAAAACAAACTGTTTTTCCACTTATTTTGATAAGATTATTGTTCCAAAGAATTGAATTATCAATGTTAGCTTGAGCTTTGTACTTCTGCCAGCATCCTAGCATTTTGTCGTAGAATTCTGGCAGTTCAGAATTGTTAATGTCACCGTTACAATTAAAAATAGTTAAATTACATGCATAGATGTTACAATAATATGTAGGCAGACACCTCCAGTGTCCCTTTCCCGGTACAAACAACAATTTTATCCACTTAAAAATGAAAGCAATCTGCATGTCAAACATATTTAACATTTTTAAGCCACCTTTGTCATAATTTTGAACCAGTACGTTGCGCTTTACTTTTTCAGGTATATACTTCAACTCTTCTTCCTTGTATTTGCCTTTAGCCCAGATGAATTTAAAAAACAATGTGTTTATTCTTTTTAACATAGTGTCAGAGAGAATAAAACTCTGCATTAAATATAAAAACTGTGATGCTAGCAGGGCTTTTACCAATGTGACCCTACCATACATTGTTAAGTTTCTCATGGACCACATTTTCATTATGAGTTCACATCTAGCAAATCGTGGTTCTAAATTCTCTCTTATTTCTGTAACTTTTTGAGTAGTGCTATACAAAATACCTAAAATTTTAACATTGTTACTTGGAAATAATTTCCATTTTACATTTCCTATTGTATAATTGTTGAACTTCCATTTACCTAGCCATAGTGCCTCAGTTTTATCTTTGTTCATCTTTAAACCTGATATAAGCGAAAATTCATCAACAAGATTCAAGACGCTCTTGAAGGAGTTGACATCTCTTACAAAAATGGTGGTGTCATCTGCATATTGCAGAATTTTGACCTCATCATGTGGCAAGCGTACCCCATTAATGTTTTTATCATGCCTTACTTTGCAAGAAAAAAGCTCTGCCGCTATAATATACAGGAGCGGAGATAGGGGGCACCCCTGCTTTATACCTCGCTCTAATAAAATTTCACCACTTAACCAACCATTGTAATTAATGTAACTAATACAATTATTGTTTAAAGTTTTGGTCCATTGTATAAAGGATTGCCCAAATCCAAAAATTGATAGGGAATCATACATGAATTCTTTAGAAATACTATCGTACGCTTTAATGCAATCTATTGCCAAAAGAATACCATGCTCTTGCTCATCATCAAGATAATTTATTACATCATCAATAGTTCTCAATATTAGGCTACTCGATCTTTGGGGAATGTATCCACATTGATCTTCATGTACAATTTTCGCCACAACAACTTTTAACCTATTGGCTAACACCTTGGCTGCTATCTTGTAATCAACATTTGTTAAAGTGAGGGGTCTCCAGTTTTTTAGAACATTTCGAGGCAAGTTTTTCTTAGGGAGTAAAGTTATAAGACCTTCGCGCTGGGTACAAGATAAAAAACCCTTATTGTATCCATCATTCAGTGACAGAGTTACAAAAACACATATTTTAGACCAAAACACTTTATAAAATGCTGCAGTTAAACCATCCAGACCTGGGCTAGAATTGTTTTTCATTGTTTTTAAGGCAAATATACAATCTTCATTAGTAATCAAGCCATCACAAAAATCAGAGTCAGATTTATCTAACTTAGGAACTGGATATGAGATATGTCTATTACATGTATTAATCCGTCTGGCATATTATTTATTTATTGACTATGAAGCACTGATAAGCTATTTGTGGTGGGTCATTAAAATATTAATCAATCAAAATGCTTAATTTTATTAACCCCGCTCCTGTTATTTACATTGGAGGTATTTCCGGTCGATGAATTTTGTCCACGTTTATCCCCGATTATCGTGTTTTTATCGACACGGAGAAAGTTATAAGAAGTAAAATGAAACATGAAGAAAGACGAATTATCAGGGAAAACAATGAATCGGTTTCTATGGATAGGTAAAAACCTAAAATATGTTTAATAATAATTAGATTTATTGATTTTTTTCATTCAGTTCACTCATCAACGTCAACTCAACTGGAGCCCCAAGTAGCTTACAAACTTAGTTTGTTAGATATTGTTTTGAAATGTAGATCAGATAGTCTATTGCTAATACCAGAGGCTTCGCTGTCTGAACAACCTTCAGTATTTCAAGGGCTCTACTGCCGGGTCCACCTAGTCATATAAATCCGACCGTTGTATGCTGTTCTTCGATATTCCTTGTTCCTATTTGGCTATTTATTTTTTATCATTTTCTTAGCATATACGGTCGTAGATATTATAGCTGACAAATTGCGGTAAACGCTTTTCTGGCCTGTCTTGGTAACCATAGTTACCATACTAACCAAAGTCACACAAATTATCGAGTAATTATTTAGCTCCAACATCAAAGTGTTAAATCTTACCTTAGACATGTAAAACGCTTGATAATTGACGAAATATAATCAATTGAATTATATTTTCATTATCGCCCGCCATGTTGCTGAATGTTGTTTCCGGTAGTCTAAATGTGAAACATGAAACGAAACGGAATCGTAATTATTTATTACACAGAGATCGATTCCAAAGCCGTTCTCTCATACTTATTACTTTTATCATTTTGAAACAATAACTTTTCCAAATAGCTTCCCTTCTTAACGACACTGCTTCCCTTTCAACTGAATCTTCGTGTAACAAGTACTTATGATTTCGTTTGATATAGTTTTACATCTAGACTCAGTTTAACCCGGAAGTGACCTTGGCATGGCAAAATGAAAAAATTTTAAAATTCAAGCGGCATGCTTATATTTCTTCAATTACCAAGCGTTTTACGTGTCTAAGGTAAGATTAAATACTTTTGTATCAGATGCTGGCACAGTTATGCCGGAAGTTTGCAAGAAGTAACTTTTGGCAATGCAGTATGTTAGACTAACCTAGTAGGTGTAAGAAAATATAAGGTGATGGCCTTTAAAGTGGTAAAAACAATTTTCACGGCCGAATTGGACTTCAATTCCTGCGATTTCAGGGGGTACTATAAGACTATTTCATAACATAAAGGATATAGTTGCTATTGTTCTGCTTTCTACAGCACACATTACTAGTCCAAAGATGAATAATATCCTAAAGTTATAGGCCGATATCTGTATTAGTCTCAGAAATATTGCAATTAATAGGAAAAAATACGCAATTTTAGTCATTTTTAAGTCTCACGTATCTTATATTTGTAGCTTCCAGCAAAAGATGGCAGCTTAAATAGCTCAAAATTGTTTTCTAAAAACTAATTCAAGCTTTGTTTGATATTGTAATACAATTATGATAATGATAATGTACTGTTTATGATTTTTAATATGACTTTATAGTACCCTACCCCTGGAAAGTGGGCGTGGTCAATGTTATCATTTTGCAGCATACAATTAAAAACTTGTATTGATAGAAAGCAAATCAATGCATATAAAACATCTTCACTTGTTACTTGACAATGTAATTGATTTATTATTAAAATATAGGACTCTACATATTTTATATATACAATTTCAATTTTGTACAATGTATCATAATGAAATCTAATAGGCTGTTTCAATTTGCAAACTTTTTCTCGGATCACCCTTACCTTTTGACAAAATGATCTACTATATGACCAATAGCCACAAAAAATAGCAGAACTGATCAACGTTTAACCCCCCCCCCCCCCTACCCCTATGTTTGTTTTGTATGGGGTCCGCCACAATGCAACAAGTCCATTTTCAGTGCTTACTATCACATGGAATATAAGTCACAATGTTTCCACAATATCTGGGCAATGAGATAGTGCCATTAAGAATATGAATGCCCAGATTCAAGATCATGGTGTAAATGCTTGCCGATCTATCAGCTTTCAAAAATGAGGAAAGCTGTCGTGAGTGCCGTTTCAACTAATTTTGAAAAAAAACTGCTACTTATGAATTTTTTTCTCAACAACTGTGATTTGATTTGAGTCCAAACACAGGATATCAAGACATAGTGCTACCAAATTCTGGTATTGAAAATTTCAGAGCTCTAGATCAAGTATTCATATCTGCATGGACTCTTAAAAAGACCCAAAAGACACAAAATGCAGTCAGATATCGCGAAAAAATGTGACAAAATGCACTATTCAGAACAATTTATCTCTTAAATTTTACTTTTATTTACCCTAATTTCTGATTCTGCCTCTAATTAGTAATACCAATAATACATATGAGTAGACTTAAGGTCATAGTAAGTGTAGAGATTTATTAGCATCTAAAAATGGGAGAAGCAGTGTAGCAAGTGCAATTAAGAATTCCGTGAGACCCCAAAAGACAGGATTCCATATCACTGTACCACCAAATATATATGAGAGTAGTTTCAGGAGGTTATATCAAATAATCATTGAACCATTGACACCTAAAAATATGCAAAATACAGTCAGAAATGGTGAAATTGTGATTGTGAAAAAATGTATGTATTCTTAACAATTTTTTAACTAAACTGTATTTTATTTAGAACTGAAACTTGAAGTGCTTACTAGGAGTTACATCTAGTTATTATTTATTAAGTGACTTCAGCATCCGGATTGATATAATATAGGAATATCCTATGGTTTTGAAAAAATATCATTTTGATCCATGAGTGGATATTGATATTTTCATGAGTGAGCGCAGCGAGTGAGTATATTTGTATCCCCGAGTGGATATAATTGATATTTTTGAAAGAAAATTTATTTATCCCATGGGAAATCATCATCAGCGAAAAAATGTGAAAAATATAATTCGAGAAAAAATTTGAAAAAATAATTGTGAAAAAATGTTGAAATTTTTCTAAATATTTTTGAAAATAACTAAAAAATGTAAAAAGAAATTTTTTTTGAAAAAATTCGAAACCATGGAATATCACTTTTCAAACCACCGAATATCACTTTTTAAGACGTGATATTCGATAGTTTAAAAGTGATATTCGATGGTTTGTGAATTTTTCGCTAAAATATTATAACTTGATCCACATATCAAATATATCTTCATGTGATATTCGATCTATATCCTTGCAACCATGGGATACTTATAGGATATCCTATGATTTTGAGGAATATCATTTTTATCTACGAGGTGATATTGATATTTGCACGAGAGAGCGAAGCGAACGAGTGCATATATCAATATCACCAAGTAGATTAAAATGATATTCTGAAAAAAATCATAGGATGTTCTTATTATCCTACACTTCCAAGGAGTGTACTGAATGTATAATATCATTGTAAAATGAATTTCATGCCAAATAGAGTCAATTTGGCGGGAAATCAACAAGCGGAGTATATCGTCACAATATCCTCCGCATATTGGGTTTTCCGGAGTATATCATCACGATATCCTCCGCCCGGAGTATATCGTTACGATATCCTCTGGATATTCATTTTGCCAATAAATATCAAATTTATTTTTTCATGTTATTATACATTTAGTACACTAAGTGTAGGATAATCACTGATATGCTTAAGACCAAAAAACCTATAAAGAATGTTATTATTGAATAATGAGAATACATTGTTTTTACATTACGGAGCATATCTCTTGCTTAAATATTTCATGCAATGTTACTTTCAAAAACTTTCTTAGAACAATTAGTCCATCCTATACTTTCACATGTTATTCTCCAATTCGTTTTTAAAAATTGTGGGAGCTTTAAACTCTAGAAGAGCTTAATTACCAATTATACCATGCACCCTCTTTGCCCTCCGTCGCATTTTTCTTAGAATGGCCAGGCATATTTCAAATTGAAGAGTAAAGTCAGTTAAAGTGATATATAGCTGTATATAACAACGTATCTTTCACTTGATACTGTGATGTCAAGCTTAAGCATTCAAACAGTGTATTTTGTCCCAAGATACAATAAAGTACTGATTTCATTTATTTATCAATTCAGATGCCTTGGAATTAAAGTAAACACTTGGTATATATTACCAATATTATTTTTACCTATTATTGGTGGTACAATGACCAGGTTTCCTTTAATGTCTTTGGTCTTACTGTGCAGTTTGTAAAAAGAAAATTCAGAAAGTTGCAGTCTTAGATGAAAAACTGGTGAAAATCATACTTGCTACAGCTTTTCCTATTTTCAGAAGCCAATAGATCTGTACTTCCACTTACTATGACGTTAAGTCTTCTCATATGTACAATGTATTATTGGTGGTACTAACTGGAGGCAGAATCAGAAATTATGTCAAATAAAAGTAACATTTAAGAGATAAATTGTTCTGAATAGTGCATCTTTCATAATTTTCACGATATCTGACAGGTTTTTTGTCCTTTGCCTCTTTTTAAAAGTACATGCAGAAGTGAATATTTGATCTAGAGCTCTGAAACTTCCAATATCAGAACTTGGTAGCATTATGTCTTGGTATCTTATGTTTGGGGTCTAAAAAAGTCACAGATGTTGAGAAAAATATTCATCAAGCAGCAGTTTTAGTTCAAAGTTAGTTAAAACTGCACTCACGACAGCTTTCTCTATTTTTGAACGCCGATAGATCGGTAAGTATTAGTATTAGGACCTTGAAACTGCTCATATTATGTAGTCTTTGTGGTACTTTCTCATTGCAAAGGTAATTTGGAAACACTGTGACTTACATTTCATGCGTTGGTGAACACTGAAAATGAACCAGCCTATTAGATTTCATCATGATACATGGTACAAAATTCAAAAACGTATATATAAAATATGTAGAGTCCTATATTTTAGTAATGAATGAATTACAATGTCAAGTAACAAGTGAAAATGTTAAAAATGCATTGATTTGCTTTCTATCAATATAAGTTTTTAATTGTATGCTGCAAAATGATAACATAGACCACGCCCACTTTCCAGGGGTAGGGTACTATAAAGTCATATTAAAAATCATAAACAGTACATTATCATTATCATAATTGTATTACAATATCAAACAAAGCTTGAATTAGTTTTTAGAAAACAATTTTGAGCTATTTAAGCTGCCATCTTTTGCTGGAAGCTACAAATATAAGATACGTGAGACTTAAAAATGACTAAAATTGCGTATTTTTTCCTATTAATTGCAATATTTCTGAGACTAATACAGATATCGGCCTATAACTTTAGGATATTATTCATCTTTGGACTAGTAATGTGTGCTGTAGAAAGCAGAACAATAGCAACTATATCCTTTATGTTATGAAATAGTCTTATAGTACCCCCTGAAATCGCAGGAATTGAAGTCCAATTCGGCCGTGAAAATTGTTTTTACCACTTTAAAGGCCATCACCTTATATTTTCTTACTCCTACTAGGTTACTCTAACATACTGCGTTGCCAAAAGTTACTTCTTGCAAACTTCCGGCAAAACTGTGCCAGCATCTGATACATTTATAGTTGAAGCAAAGAAATTTATTTATCATTTGTGTGAATTTGGTTGGGTAGACAGGCGAGGAAAGCATTTCCCGCAATTTAGATGCGCGGAGTGTGTATGACCCTAGTATGCAAGAAAATAAGAAAAAATAAATATCCAAATCAGAAAAAATAACAACAAATAACATCATACGAGGGTCAGATTTATATGACTAGGTCCACCACCAACCTATTCAGATCAACCATGGTGTTTTTATATTATCAAGTAAATGTCGTACATTATCGAGGTAAATTTGTTTCACTAGATCCAAAAAATGCAACTCATTGCTGATTAGCTTGGATGTAGAACTCAATGTACTGTCTAAGAAAGATCAGAATAATAAAGAAGGCCGTACATGGAGTTCTACTTGTAGAAAGAGCCCATGAACTGACTTATTGAACCACAAGAGTGGTCAACTGCACATACATAGTGGAGTAGGCATATACTATTGTTAGGAATTCAACTCGAATTCAAAATCAGAAGAAATCACAGATTTGATTTTGTTTTTAGAACCACATTGCAATATTTACAATTTTTATTTCAGATAGAATTTGCTGAACAAACGAAAAGATCAATATAAGGAATTATAACCAGATTTATGTAATATAAACAATGTACATACAGACTGCAAAATGGATGGGGAAAATTCATATGCTGGAATTGCAAAATGTGATACAATGACTATTAATGAGAATGAGAGCCCAAGTGAAGCAAATGACAATACAGCACCAGTAACAGAAGTTACAAATGACAACAGACCATCTCAAATTGAAGCAGATCCAAATGGAGGTGCAATTAACACTGGAGAAGAAACACCTCTTGAAGTGCAATCCAGTGCAACATGCTCAACTGCCATATCCAGTTCAGGAGCAGTATCAAGTATGACGGTAACCACAAGTGCGTCACACCCAGTGAATACGACAGTCATATCAAGAGCCATAGTGCGACATTCAAGTGAAGCTCAAGGGCCACAACCCACATCCCCAAATGATGAATCTAGTCAAGGTTTCTCTAACATGGAATCCAGCCAAGCTAATGTCAATATGAGTTCTAGTCAAGCTCGAGGTTCCCAACTCCCATCCCCAAACATTGGATCTAGCCAACCTTTTGCTAACATGAATTCTGGTCATGCTCAAGGGTTACCAACTCGGTTTACCCATCATCCAGGATCTAGTCATTCCCATAGCACCCCACCTCAGATGGTAAACCCGACACCTAGTCAGTTTAGGCCTTTGCCTCCTATATTACCAGCAAACTCCGAGTCATCGCGCTATCTACCTAATTTACCCCCAAGGCGATCTGGACTTCAGCCCCAACTTCAGATTCCCACCCAGACGTTACCCCCTGGTACTGATGCAAGCACTAGTGGGCAAGGTCCGCAGAGATTTCAACTGAGTTTTGTGTATATACGCAGTCTGTACAGGGGACCAGGACGACGATTCTTCATCAGAGCTTTGCTTGCTTTTGCTGTTGCTGTTGCTTTGGTGATTATTGGGGCCATTCTCTCAGCTCTTGGTAGGTATATTATGATAGGCACTAGGTCAAAAGAAAGATGGCAGGACTGTATGTTTATCATCAGTGTTTGTCCCAGTATTTTTTCTGATGATGCAGCAGGTACAAAATTTTCACAAATCTGGTCAAAATTGGTCAAACTATTCCAATTTTTCTCATTTTAAAGTGAGCATTCAAATAGGTGCAAGACTCATCCAAGTATGAAATGGGTGTAAATATATATAGATATTCAGCTTGGGACTCTTATATATTAATGCCTTCGTTAGATTCGTTAGGTGAAACTTTTTTATTTATTTTTGTTTTCAGTATTTATATCAATTTGATAATATCAGTTGAATTTCCCCAAAAAACTTAATTTTTACAATTTTTTTTTATTTATTTTTTATTTATTAGGCTTATTCATTTATCACCCAAAATTGTATGTTTTCCGAACTAATTTTTTAATACCAACATTTTTTTCACCCAATTTTTTCACTCAGAATTGTTTTCCCTTAAAATGTTTTTACATAAAATATTTTCTCTCCAACAATTTCACTAATTGAGTGATGAAAAATCCTTGAAATCTGCATCATACATGGAGTCCATTTCAGGTTGTATGTCAATCAAACCTAGAAAAAATCAGCAATTAAAGGACCAAAGTGCAATATTACATTGTGGGCTAAGCCCATGATTACATGGAAATGGACATACATATTTTATTTTCAGAAAAATTAGTTTAATGTGCAATAAACTTGTGGCCTCTATAAACAGAAAAAGAAGTTCCAATAAAGTAAATTTTTTGAAAATTATATATCAGAGAAGCATCAAAATACAAGAAGCCAAGCATTTAATTAGGCAAATCACAAGCAATCTAAGATACACATAAACATTATGGCCGATGTAAAATGTGAATGTATTTGTCCATATGATACTCCACTGGTCTCTTGATTGCTTATTCAACTGAAATGGAAAAAACTGACATGTAATCCTAGAACTTGGAAAAATTGAGTGACTTCAAATGAGAGCTTGATATGTAGTCTGTTACCCTGCTCCTTGTTACCTTGACGTTGAGTGCCTCCACCTGACATCTCGATACATCATAAATGTCAGAATTTGTATCACATTCATTCAAATATAGCAATGGTATCGTTAAATGGCAAAAGTCTTTCTGCCTTTGTCATGTTTCATGATGTTGTGACACACTTGCATCAGGACATCTTTATCAGCATTTGTGGGTGTTGGACATATCTAGCTTTTTTGAATACTGATGTAGCCATGAGGCAAATGGCAAATGTCTGAGGCAGGCGAGGCAATGACCTAAGAATAAGAATTTTGATAAAAACATTGGCATGATTTAAGAAAGTATTTCTTATAATACTGTATTCACCACAGGATTTTTTTCTTAAGTGGGTACAAAATTCTCATTTTCACAATCCAGATCGAAATTGGTCTAAATATGCCCATTTTTCATGATCTTTTTGATTTTCAAGTGGGTGCACTTGCTTAATGCTGGGGAGATCACCGCAATATATAAATATTTCCAGTCCTCTTCCATTTACTTCTTTTTAAAAGCAATATATACTTCTCTGTTTTACAGATATGATCGCCCAGTTCATCACGCCACTCGTGATTGCAGCAGTCATCCTGCTTTTAGTGGGTATGTGGTACTTGTTCAGGGCACATAGGGCACAACTTGGTCGCAACAACCTCACTCAAATGGACATTGAGGTGAGTTACTACTCATTGTTATGTCACAACAACAAGTTGTGACATATTGTCCAGGTCCGTAGCCAGGATTTGCCAAGGGGGGTTCAGTTTTCAAAGATTTCCAGGGGGGTTCACATTTGACAATTTTGGGCCAAATATGGCTAAAATCACTTGAGAAGTGCTCAAGATGGTGAAAACTGTATGATTTTGGAAGAATTTTTGGCCATGGGGGGTTTGCCAGAACCCTGCGAACCCCCCCCCCCCCCTGGCTACGGACCTGTTGTCTGAAGCTTTGTGGATGTTTGGCAATCAGTGTTTGGTGGTCTACATTCAGCGTTCAGTGTCTGTAAAAAATATTAGGTGGGGACATTTTGCATGTTAACGCCATGCCATTTTTATATCATTTATATACACTTAGAATTCTGTTATATTTGACGTCACAATAACCAGAACAATTGATTACTGGTCTGTATTGTGGTCTGTCTTATATTCAATGCTTTATTGTACTAAAAATCCCTTTCGGGTGAGTGTACAGCAAATAAACATGATAAAATAAAACTAAAACTATACATACAATTACAATAACATACAATGCAAATTTTACATGGCATATAATGACAATATAATGTGATTGACTGATCATTAGATATATACCAACAACTACTATTAGCCTACACCTACATGTATATATTTATATTGATAATATAGTTGTTGATCTCTTTTCAATTATTTCATAAAGGTATTTTGCAAAGGTGATACACATGTTACCCTCAGCATTAAACATATAATTAGCCTTTTCTTCGGTAGTCAATACAGTTAGATTTGGGCAAATCGAGTTAAACGTATCAAAGTATTCATATCTCATTTTTTCCAATTTTTGGCACTCAAAAATAAAATGAATTCCCGTACCAGTGGTGATTTTACATAATTTGCATTTTCTTTGATCTCTCGGAACTATTGGTCTTGTATACCTTCCTCGCTCTATTTCTAAATTGTGTGCACTTATTCTTAATCGCGTCATAGATTTCCTATGTTCGGCGTTCTTTATTAAATTCAAATATGGTTCTTTTCCCCATCGTTGTTTGATATTATTCAAAAATTCTAATTTCCCTTTATTATCATTGACAGTTTTTTCCCAATATTTTATATATCTTTTTTCAAGGATTTTCTTAATATCAAGCGGTTTACTTTTAATGTAATTTTTATCTTGTGGTTGAACATATGCCATTGTTTTATCAATGTCATAGTACCATGATGGTTGATTATGAACTTTTGATAGTTCAATACTATCTGCATATGCATTAATTAGTAATGAACTCGTTCCTTCATTTTCTATATGATCTAAGTATTTAACTTGTTGGTAAAATATATTGATAAACAGAGGGAATCTACCTAACTCACCCATCGTAGCTAAATTACTCGTTTTTCTATGCACCCCTAATAGAAACTTCAAAAAAGATAGATGTAGTAATTCCGGTGGAAGTGACTTGTCATATTTCATTTCAAGGCCAAAATCTTTGTTTTTCAGAAGATCTTTATTAGTTATTAGACCAGCACCCCAGATTTCACATCCATATAATAAAATTGGTTTTACTAATATGTCAAATAATTTCAGGCACAAAGTTAGGTTAATATCACCATGTGTAAGCATACTTATCAATTTGAATTTCGCCTTTTCTGCTTTTTCTTTAATAAAGATTGCAGCTTGTTTCATCGATCCGTTGGCATGGAATTCCATACCCAAATAAGTATACTTTGATACGTTTTCAATTACCTGGTCCCCAATGTAGAATATATCATTACATCGTTTACCACTTTTATTAAACATTACAATTTTAGTTTTATCAGTATTGATATCTAAGTTCCATTGTTTACAATAATTGTTTAATTTTTTCAATTTTATGTCCATATCAGTTTTATTTGCAGTAATTATGGCTAAATCATCTGCAAATAGCAGGCAACTTATTTTTTGTTTTTGTAATTTTAAGTCTGATTCAAGTGTTAATTCTTCAACAACATCATTGATGTAAATATTAAACATTAGTGGACTGAGTGGGTCCCCCTGTTTAACCCCCCTCTCACATTTAAAGATATCAGTATGGTCACCGTTACTGTTAATTCTAACTGATGCCATTGAATTAGTATACATGTGTTTTACCATGTGATAAAAATGACCTCGAATTCCTGCTTGGAGAAGTTTGAGATACAGTCCCTTATGCCATATCGTGTCGAATGCTTTTCTTAGATCTACAAAGCAAATATACATTTTCTTTTTCTCAAAGTGTATAAATCTGTCAATTAGCGTACAAATAATAAACATATGGTCTGTGGTTCGTGACTTTTTCTTGAAGCCAATTTGGTTTTCCTGTAACATTTGATTTTCTTGAACATAGTTATATAAACGATTATTCATTATTATGGAGAACAATTTTGACAAGCAGTCTGATATAAATAGTCCACGATAATTTCCAGGATCACTTGAATTACCCTTCTTGAAAACAGTTATTATTGATGATACATTCCACTCTTTTGGGAAGAGTGTATTTGAAAACATAGTATTAAACATCTTTAAAATAATATTCCCTATCACAGGGTATGATGTTTTTATCATTTCATAACTGACACCATTATGGCCAGTCGCCTTTTTATTTTTCAGGCCTTTCACTGCTTGCCAAAGCTCTTCATCCGTTATTTTATAATCTAAATTATCAAATGTTTTATCATTTTCCAAAGCCTTTATTTTCTCATCCATAGTCTTGTCATTTGATTTATCTGTAAAAAGCTTGGAATAGTGATCATACCAGCCCCTTGGTGATATATCATTTCCGTCACTACCCTTTTCATTATTTCTCATTTTGTCCAATAGTTCCCAATATTCTTTAGGGTCTGTTTCATACAGATTTTCTAACCTATTTAGCAGTTCTTTTTTATATTCTTTCTGTTTACCTTTACAACACTTTCTATAATGCTTTAAATATTTGAAATAATTGTGTCTAACACAGCTATCATTGGGATTTTTCGTCAGTATCTGACCAAGGGATTTAACTTTCTTTCTTAATTTAACACAGTCATTGTCATACCATTTATTTGATTTTATTTGTTTCCTCTTACCTGACATCTTTTTCTTTTTCAGTGTAAGTTTGGCTGCATTTATAAATATACTTTCAACTTGAGTATTTATAGAATCTATGTTTAAATTATGTAAATTTTCAAGATCTTTCGTAATTTGGTTAATTAACCCAATATTAGTTTGACTTGTTAATGCATCTGCGAAATTTTTAGTTTGTGTTGGGTCCCATTTAAATTTACTAGCAGAAATCCGTTTGATAACTCTGTCATCACTACCACTAATTTCCTGCTTCAACTTTGTTACCTTATTTACCCTCAAAAGCAGTGATATCATGCAATGATCAGTCAAATCTGTCAGATATTCACTTATTCTAAAGTACATTATATTTTTGAGCATTTTCTGCTCAACTATACAGTAATCAACTACACTACTTCCGTTCCATTTATGACAAGTGTAGTTGCCTTGCGAATCGCCTATAACTCTGCCATTAACAATTCTTAAGTTAGAGGCTTTACATTGTTCAATCAATTTTTTCCCATCAGCATCTATCTTATTATCACTGCTGGAACGCTCATGGATTGGTGTATCTATTTGGTACGGAATGTCATGAGGGATATAATCATGTATTTCATCATTCTCAATGTAATCTTTCATATTACCAGTGCGGGAGTTCAAATCCCCAAGTATTATTACCTCACCTTTCGTTATATATTTACTTACTTCGCTTGTTAAGGTGTCATACATATCCGAACCGTCATCAGATTTGCCTTTGTAATTACTCGGCGACATGTACACAACACATATAAATATATCTCGCTTGTTATCAAAATATTCTCGTGATAGTTTTGCCCATAATATATTGGGGTTTTTAGTTTTAATGAACGCTACACCTTTAAATATATGTTTTTTAACCAATATCGCGATTCCTCCGTGTCGTTTATTACCTGTTTTGGACCGAGTTACTTCACATGATGTGAAATTCTTTAGACTACTGAAATCGTTTGGCTCGTCCTTTGACCCATGTGTCTCTGTTAAGCATACAATATCATGATCTTGTATTTGTGAGATGAAATCTTTATCAATTATTTTATCGCGTGTGCGACTCTTTAACCCTTGAACATTCCAGCAGGAATATATATATGGATGCCTATTGAATTTTATAATACATCAGTAAATATGATATATGTTCCAATGGTTTACTTTAATAGGTATTATTACGATATTAGAATCTTCACAAAGACCTTGATTAAATGATATATGGCAACTTTATGACATTGGATATTGCTCTGGCATTTTAAAATACCTTATTCCATATAATATGCAATACAGATTACAAATCGTGTTAGTTTACTTTTATATGTTTCAGAGAAACACAGTTGTTTGTGTGATTGACATACAGAATCAACAGAGGTTAGTTAAAACAATACAAATTCCTCTTAGTACATGGAGTTAATTTTGCTTTATACTCAAGGGGCGAGGAGGAAAATTCTCAATAAATGGTGTATAGTTGGTTTGGCAGCATTTTCAGTTAGGGGAGAGTCTTGGATGAAACTTCCACTTAGGTGATAGCTTCACAGAGTGGTAGGAAGTTCTTTTTTTGAGGAGTTAGCCCCCCACCCCCCAAAAACACCCCACCCTGGGGAAAAAATTGTTCACACTAAATAACCTTAGATATTTTGATGTTTGTAAGTGACATACATAGATATTATATATATGAATCACTTGCAGTATAATTGATGCTGATAACTCCTAAAGAATTTGAAAATTTGTACAAAGCATGTACCCCAGGGGGCAAATTCGTGACTCATTTTCTTACTATTTTGATTCTAACTTTTCAATTAGACACTGTAAGAGGTTGGAAAAATTCATGTGAAGTGCCCAATAGCAGGGTTAGTAACCCTGAAAGATGCAAAGCCATGGAAGAGGTAGGAGCTGAGAAAAAAATTGTTGATTTTTCGAAAAATTTGACATTTTTGACAGCTGGATTTTGTGTATGACTATAGCTGACCATTATAATTTCTAGATCCATCCCTCTATGGTGATATTTATGGTTTTATAGAGTGAAACTAGGATGTAAAACATAATTTAGATGGGTTTTAAGGAAGTTTAAGGTTTTAAACAAGTCTAAAATTTGAAAAATTGTAAATATAAGGTTTCAAATTTACGAATTCCAGGGTATAGCCATGGCTGACCCCTATAGTTTCTAGATCCATCCCTCTATGATGATATTTATGGTTTTATAGTGTGGAACTAAGATGTAAAAAATAATTTAGATGGGTTTTAAGGAAGTTAAAGGTTTTAAACAAGTTCAAAATTTGAAAAATTGTAAATATAAGGTTTCAAATTTACGAATTCCAGGTATAGCCATGGCTGACCCCTATAGGTTCTAGATCCATCCCTCTATGATGATATTTATGGTTTCATAGTATGGAACTAAGATGTAAAACATAGTTTAGATGGGTTTTAAGGAAGTTAAAGGTTTTAAACAAGTCCAAAATTTGAAAAATTGTAAATATAAGGTTTCAAATTTACGAATTCCAGGTATAGCCATGGCCGACCCCTATAGTTTTTAAATCCACCCCTCTTTGGTGATATTTATGGTTTTGTAGTATGGAACTAAAGATGTAGAACATAATTTAGATGGGTTTTAAGGAAGTTAAAGATTTTAAACAAGTCCAAAATTTGAAAAATTGTAAATATAAGGTTTCAAATTTACGAATGTTAGGTATAGCCATGGATGACCCTTATGGCTTTTTCATCCATACCTCTATGATGAAACATATATTTTTAGAGTGTGAAACTAAGAAGTAAAAAATACCGAAGATGAATTTTAAGGAAGTTTAAGAATTTTAACAAGTGCTATGTTTGAAAAATTGAGAAATATCAGGTCTCAAAGGAGCATGGAAAGTATTGCAACATATTTCAGACAGTCATATGTTAGATTTTGTCTGTTTCCTGAGGATTTAAGCAGGTGTATATGATAGGCCATTGCATTACCTACAGGAAAAGAACTCTTAGAGATGATAAAATAGTTTGGACTTTGAGACAGCGAAGGTGCAAACAATCCACCCACATGTTTTTTCAGAAATGTTGTCCTGATTTTCAAGCCCTTTCACCCCTGCGTTTTCAATTTTTGTTGCATCAAAATGTTGCGTTTTGAGACATAGTTAACCCATAAAAAGGAATAATAAATTTCTTTTAGATAAAGCAGAAAACAATATTTTCCTGTTATTTTCCCATAGGGAAAACTCATGTGCTCCATTACTTTCAGCTTAATTTTGGTCACCCATATTTTAATATCTTTTAAACCCCTGATGGAATGCATTATTTCTTTAAAGGGGTTAACTGTGTGTCAAAACACAACATATTGATGCATGTGGGTGGTCTCAAATAGAAATTATTTTATCATCTCTATGAGTGCTTTTCCTGGAGGAAATGCATTGGCCTAACATATGCACCTCCTCAAATCCTCAGAAAATAGCAAAAATCCAACATGTGACTGTCCTAAATCTGTTGCGATACTTTCAGTCCTCCTTTACGATTTCAGGTATTGCCTTGGATGTCTCTCATTTTGAATGTATGACTTTTTAGCTTAGAAATTAGATGTTGAAAATATTGTGGTAAGGTTTGATCCATGTTACAAGTATTGTTAAAAGAAAAATCATTAGAGTTGAGGACCTTACCCTAGAGTTCCTAAGGGGTTGAGAGGTTAATAAATCCCCCCTCCTAAAGTGTAACTGCTCTTAGGGATTCGTATACAGTGTAGTAATTGATTGATTAAATGGATTATAACTAATTAATTATTACTTGATATTTATTATGTGATATAGCATTTTTACTTTTTCACATCAACATGTTCGATGTAATGTTCTACATTGTCAAAATACATAAAGACATGGTTAATTAAAAGAAAAAGAAACATGATTTCTCTATATTTTGTTATGCCCATACTGTAATTAAGCAATGATCATCTCCTAATACAAAATATTATTATAAATTATCAAATTATAATCACTACACTCCCAATAAAACAATTTGTCATCAGGCAACAGCAATTATTTGGTAAAATAAGGATTATAAGGATCATATCCCGCTGGGCCTAGAAACTCTCGTTAGTGCAATGAATTTAGGAACTCCAGGGTAAAAGGGTCTTGTCATACTAAAATCTTCATGTAGATCAAAAAAGTATATATGGTGATATATATGATCAATATGTTTCAAACAAACAGACATTGTAGAAAATTTTTACATACTGACTTTGCAGATGACATTTTCTAGCAGTTGAAGAATTTTTTACATTAATTGAAATGACAGTCATAAAATTAGAATATCAGTGTCATTTGATGCAAAATACTGCAGTCCCACATGTTCTCCTGCTGAATGTAAAACAGAGTGAATAAGTTTAAAATCAGCCTCTTCAAGAGTGGAATTTAACAAGGGATTTCAGTTATCGTTTTCACAGATATTTAAGTTCTCTCCAAAAGTTCCACTTAAAAACAATCTTGACATTTGGCACACTTTTAGAATGCTGCTTTATTAAATTTCTTTGTAATCTTTGAAAATTTGTATTATATGACTTGGCCAAAAGGTATTTTATATTTTTAGGTAACGGTGTAATTTCTTCTTTGGATTAAAGTTCAGTAGGGGAAGCATCCATTCTTTGCATTCTTTCAGAATCCTTAACTGATGGAGACTACTCGGAGTCTAATATGAAATCTATTCTTTGGGCTCCTTTACTAGATTTGATGAAGTAGTCAAATATAGCTTTCCAAAACTCTCCAAATTTCAACATATAAGTTAATCTTAATTTTCCTTTTGTCATAGCCATTGCATCGATCACTAAAGTTTTATCAATTTGTGGTATGGTTTCATCGATCTCCATTTCAAACCCCTTTTTAAGTTCTGATTTTACAGATAAGATAGATGATCATTGTCAAATGAATTGTTTGTATCCATATAAGATCATAGTTTACTCACCCATAGCTAGGCAACGTGTGTCCAATTCCAGCCAATTCAATACTTCATATAACTGCATTCCAAATTACTACTCTCATAAACCCAAGGTCAATTTTAGATTCTAGAGAAAGTAATGAAACCAATAAGCTGATCAATAACATTGACTAAAAATATATAAATAGCATCATGGGGAATAGCATGCCAAGTGCTTGAATTTATGTGGATTACTCATTTGGTAGACACCTTTATCAAATGTTAAAGTGTTGTTGATTTTTAAGTTGTACAAGCAAAGTGTCATTGGTGCTTTCTTTTCCTGACATAGTATTAACATTGTGGTAAAAACTATCAAATGCACCTAGTACAGTAGTTCTAGTTCATCATCTTGTATAAATGATATATCATCAGTGAAACCTGTATATCCCAACATCTGACTATTGTGAATACCTACCAATCATCCTAAAACCTGACTAATCTGAACACCAACCAATCTGAACACTTTTCCCAGTCCAATTTTTCCTCCAATTGACTCCTATGTTTAAAAAATTGAAATCTGGACACCTCTTACTTCGAACAGTGAACACTCATATTTGAAAAATTAACCTGTCTAACTTGAACTCCCTTTACCAAATATCACACATTTCTTACAAAATTGCTCAAATATTGTCAGTTTAACACTGAATTGTTATGATATCAAAACTTTTGAATTGGATTTTGGAATGCTATTTAACTTTTTATGTGGTCAGTATAAATATTATTAATAATTTTCATTGAGAATGCATTCATATTCTTCAAAATCCAGAATTTGTATTGTAGATGTAAAAACCTCAAAATTCAAACACTCCTAATTAGAATGCTTTTAACTGGTCCAAATACCAGTAGCATTCAGATTAGAGAGATTTTACTGTAGTTCACGACTTTTCACTCCATCTATATGCAGCAGACTAACTGCTGCAACAGGTATATATTCTACACTTGGTCCCTAAACTATGATATCATAGTTGATACTATTATGCTCATAACCTTCAATTATCAGGGCTCATTCAAGGCTGTACCTGAATAATGTGAATTTGAGACCAATTTTGAGATCAATTTTTCAAATTTTGCACTTGTTTAAAACCTTGAACTTCCTTCAAACTCATCTTAGGTGTCTTTTACATTTTAGTTAAATACTCTTAAACTATATATTTCATCCCTGAGGTATAGATGTAAACACCATAAGGGTCATCTTTGGCTATACCTGAAATTCATAAATTTGAAATCTAACATTTATAGTTCTTCAAATTTTGGACTTGTTTAAAACCTTAAACTTCCTTAAAATTCATTTTGGATATGTTAAATCTTAGTCCCACACTCTAAAACTGTATATTTAATCATAGAGGTATGGATGTAAAAACCATAAGGGTCAGCTGTGGCTATACCTGAAATTTGTAAATTTGAAACCTTATATTCACAATTTTTCAAATTTTGGACTTGTTTAAAACCTTAAACTTTCTTAAAACCCATCTAAATTGTGTTTTACATAATAGTTCCACATGGCAAAGCCATAAATATCATCATAGAGGAATGGATCTAGAAACTATAGGGGTCAGCCATGGCTATACCTGGAATTCGTAAATTTGAAACCTTATATTTACAATTTTTCAAATTCTGGACTTGTTTAAAACCTCTAACTTCCTTAAAACCCATCTAAATTATGTTTTACATCTTAGCTCCACACTATAAAACCATAAATATCATCATAGAGGGATGGATCTAGAAACTATAGGGGTCAGCCATGGCTATACCTGGAATTCGTAAATTTGAAACCTTATATTTACAATTTTTCAAATTTTGGACTTATTTAAAACCTTAAACTTCCTTAAAACCCATCTAAATTATGTTTAACATCTTAGTTTCACACTATAAAACCATAAATATCATCATAGAGGGATGGATCTAGAAATTATAAGGGTCAGCTATAGTCATACACAAAATCCAGCTGTCAAAAATGTCAAATCTTTCGAAAAATCAACAATTTTTTTCTCAGCTCCTACCTCTTCCATGGCTTTGCATCTTTCAGGGTTACTAACCCTGCTATTGGGCACTTCACGTGAATTTTGCCATCCTCTTACAGTGTCTAATTGAAAAGTTAGAATCAAAATAGGAAGAAAATGAGTCACGAATTTGCCCCCTGTGGTACATACTTTGTACAAATTTTCAAATTCTTTAGGAGTTATCAGCATCAATTATACTGCAAGTGATTCATATATATAATATCTATGTATGTCACCTACAAAGATCAAAATATCTAAGGTTATTTAGTGTGAACAATTTTTTCCCCAGGGTGGGGTGTTTTTGGGGGGTGGGGGGCTAACTCCTCAAAATAAAGAACTTCCTACCACTCTGTGAAGCTATCACCTAAGTGGAAGTTTCATCCAAGACTCTCCCCTAACTGAAAATGCTGCCAAACCAACTATACACCATTTATTGAGAATTTTCCTCCTCGCCCCTTGAGTATTAGTAATGTACCAATTTTATTATAATGTCCGGGAAAAGTAGCTGACATGTTTGATAGCTATAATATCAACCTTACTCTCTGATTATCCATGGATTGGGACCATAAGTACTTTTTCCAAAATGTTTCCCAAAATTAATACTTGAATAATGATTTTAAAAAATGATAATGTTGAAATTTTTTTATTTTTTTCAAGGTCGTCTAGCAATGCACCTCCAAATTACAATGACGTCATACAGCAAACGGGGCAAAGAGGAGGTTATGCAAATCCCAGTATGCTTGCTTCGCCACCACCTTATGGCTCATCCAGTAGTACAGCTGGGTACACACCTCCTGTGATAACAATATCACCTCCTTCATATTCCAGTATCTCATCTTTGGGGGTTACACATTCTAATACAGGGCACATTGGGCCGACACATTCTGATGCAAGATCTATGGGGGCTACCCATTCTGATGCAAGATCTATGGGGGTTACATGTTCTGGTGCAGGATCTATGGGGGTTACACATTCTGATGCAAGATCTATGGGGGTTACACATTCTAACACAGCAGCTGTGTCTATACCACCTAGTTACGAGGAAGCAACCATGCTGGCTGAATCACAAATAGATGGCGATATGATCACTAATCAAAATGAAAACATTCCAACAATCACAAACTTAAGTGACAACTCTGCAATTCATAACAATGAAGCAGATGGGATGGTTAATGATGGCTTTGTGGCAGATGAAAGCAATGGGCCTCAGAATGTGCAGTCCCCACCTGATGAAAGGGTTATAAATGAAACTGATATAAGATTTCAATTTGACTCTTCACAGGCAACTAGACTTTAGATCTTAACCCTGTGTATTCATTTACTAAATGCTTTACTAACGTTTACATTCCAAGGGCAGGCTAAGCACTGTATGATTATAAAAAATTGGCAGTGAAATAATAATAATTTTAGGTACAGCAGAAAGAATGATACAGTATGTGCAATCTAAAAGACAGAACATTTCCTTTTAGTTTAAGATGGCTACATTTGTGAGAGATCTCAAAATGAATGGAAATTTCCATTTTCACATTCCCCAAACCCCCTTAGGGGTCAGGCCAAAATCTACATAATATATTTTTAATAGATATTTATTATCAATTCACAGGCAAAAACTACATATGTTAATATATTTTTAATAGATATTTATTATCTATTTATTATCAATTCACATGCGTGTCATATTTTACGTTTTGTGTCACTGCACTGATACACTGACTTTGTGCCATAAATAACTATTTTTGTTACAAATTAATACATGTAATGTAAATATATTTCCAATTTGGGGTAGGGCACATTATTATGGTTATATACAGTAAATATATACTCATAATGAATTTTAAAATTTGAAAAAATACATAGAGGCTGTCAATATAATATATGGTTGTTGCAAGATCATTCATCCTTGATGAGCTTTGATAATTCAAAGATAAGATAAAGAAAAATTAACAAAGAGTATCAAGAATGAGCAATCTTAGATAAGTACAAATCTGAGAACATTTTTCTCATATAAATTTTACTCTGCTAGTTTCAATATTTGCCATTTTTATGTCACCACCACAAGTAGTGACATATTGCTATAGTATCCACCACAAGTAGTGACATATTGCTATAGTATCCACCACAAGTAGTGACATATTGCTATAGTATACACCTCAAGTAGTGACATATTGCTAGTCTCCAGCACAAGTAGTGACATAATGTTATAGTTTTCAACTTTTTGGACAGTGGTCGGCAGTTGGCATTTTGTGTTTTGAATTCGGTGGTCAGTGTCTACCACAAATGGCAGGTGGTGAAATTTTGCATGTTAGGCCTAATGCCTTGTTTGTTGTTTGCAATATCACAAGTAATTTCATGTTTTAATTGTATTTTAGTTTATGGGTTCAATATGGCTCAACCTGAGACAGTTATTGACAACTACAACATAGTTGTCCGAAGGGGGGGGGGGGAGAAAACTGGGTGTGCCCTTTTTGAGCTAATTTTTGAGTTATTTTTCCTGGTGCTGAGGAGAATTAGAGTGAGAGGAAAGAACCTTGTGCTCAGGTGAAAGAGATGAAGCTTGGTTTCATGTTTATATGGTGATGGTAACTGCTTTTGAGATGAGGTAGAACCACCCCCCCCCCCATTTGAAAATCCTAGAGAAGCCACTGTACAGCAATGTAACATGTAGCAATGTAACATGTAGCAATTGATTTTCTACTCACAATCAGCAAATGATGAACCATGCAACTCAGCATTTACTAATTTAAAAATGTGACAATGTTATATTCTACAGTGGTATAGAAATGCATGTCATCATATCCATGGTTAAAATTGATTTTGGAATTCTTGATTACTAGTACAGTATGTCACCACCAGATGTGGTGATGTCTTGTTATAATCTCCAACTCTTGTGGACAGAATTCAGCGTTTGGTGTTTGGCGTATGTAACAAATGGCAGGTGGTGACATTTTGTATGTTAATGCCTTGTTTTATAAAATTCTGTTGTAATATCCCCATAATGATATATATATATGTATAAACACTGAACACATACATGTATTTTAACTTGAATTTGGAATTCATCCGGATCAGTCTGTCTTTTGACATTTGATATGTGCAATATAAATTAATTGACGAAAAAATCGCTTTTGTTTTATATTTGAGGTAAAGTTTAGTGCTGGCTTATACTTTGTAAATGAATTAATGAAGAAAAACACATTATAGTAGTTATGTTATGTAAACACCCCTCCCCACTAGCACAACAAATCAGTTTTTCTTCATTGGGTTTAGAATTTAGTATACATTTTCAAGACTAAGAAAGAAGACTGAAAATATATACTACATACTATATGCAATAAAAGTAAACAATATGGTACAATTTTGCCAATTTTCCACAATATACAGGGTGTTCATAGTCTACACTTTATTGTAATTTTAAAGAGACTTTATGGACAACCTGTATATCTACTTAATGATATCGACCAAATTGTATCATATATTAAATCTGTATGCACGTCAGTCCCGATAAAAAAGACTATTCACACCCGTTATTTGTTATTTAAATATGGACTGTTAATCTATGAAAGTCTGGGCCATATTACATATTTATGTATACGTACACCCCCCTCCATAAGTCTGGCCCATATTACATCTACATGTACATATTTATGCATACGTACACCCCCTCCATAAATTTGGCAAGCGGAGGTTTTCATTGGATAATGGCATATCAAAGGATATCAGTGTCTGGATCTTAATTTTGTTCCTTAATTACAATTAGTTTGGAAATTTTAATTTGATGATTTTTCAAATCACAAAAATATATAAACTTGGGCTTTGATGATCGTTCCAAAGACATGAAAGACCAGAACGAGACTTGGCTGCCGGAAATGTTAAAGGTTGACTATTTTATTTGAAATATGGTGCTTCCAAGTGTAGTCAGGAATATTTAGGTGAAAATATTTCAAAAATATATAGAAGCAATTTTAAGGTGGATTTCAAAACTTCATACCATCCTTTTGAAAACCTGAAGTGGCACCAAGCAATCCATTGACTTTTTCACCGAAAATCCAAGATGGCCGCCGCGATGTGTCAAAAAACCATAAAAATGACTTAAGTTATGATTTAATAAGTAATAATAGTTGTATACTCAGTCGAAATGTTGAGGCATGCGCAGACCTTTATTTAGTGATATTTTCATTTCAAATATGGCGGCCAATCCGATGTCTGACGACCCTTACAAAGAATCTAGGCAGTTTGCATTTTTACCTCCTGTGAAATAACAAGTGGAATTTAGTAGACTAGTTGTTTTGTGTTTTATTATCATTCTTCATCGTAATTCTATGTGATGTGGTGTTGAAATGTCAGCAGAAATACATATCCATACGATAATCGAGTGAATCAGATAACAGATTTTTCGAAAACCCGTCTCGTGCTAAGAGTGTAAAAACTTGTATTAAGGTCTCATGGAAGTTAACAGGAAATGACAAAACAAAAGATGACAAAGCCATGCTGGATTTTGAAAAATTTTTGAACCAAGATAACAGAGTTCTGTTTGGACCTCCAGTCAGTTTAACTAGTTCCAAATATCATTTACATGACCAGGAACACAATTGAAATGGTCAGAATGACCATAAACATGATAAAAAACCTTTTTAGCCCTCTGAAAATGTGACTGAAAAATAGCTAAAAGTAGGTGCTCAGGAAAGGTCAATGAACAGAATCTTTTGATTTTTTCAGAATATGTGTCCAATATATTGCTCTAAATGACACAATCTTTGAAATTTTAAAAAATCGTCTGAAACAATAATGGCTGTAGTAAAAAGGAAAATAGATCGATTTTCAATTCAGTTTTTTTCAATTTTTTCTTTTTCTAAGAATGATATCAATTTTTTTGGGATTGTATCATTTAGAGCAATATATTGGGCACATTTTCTGAAAAAGTCAAAATATTCTGTTCAGTGACCTTTCCTGAGCACCTACTCTTAGCTACCCAATTGAAAAATAAAACTAATTACCAACTTATTACCAACTAATTTACAACTAATTATCAACAATTCTGCTGGCAATTGGAATTAAAGTTAAGCGTTAATTAAATCAATGATAATTATGGCCTAATTATCAGTAGCAAGTTCAACGTAAATTAACTTACAATAATGCTGATTTATGATTTTTAGTTGATAATTAAGAAATGAAATGTTTGAGGGTGATAGTAAGTGGTAAATTAAAACGTTTTGGTTCTGAAGTAGATTATTGGTTGATAGTTAACATATAGGATGATTATAATGATAATTAGTTGTAAATTAGGCCCATGATTTAGAAATACAAACCCCCTAAATTTAATTTCAAGATGGTGGAAAAAGAAAACATGTGAGAGATATTTCTCTCATAAAATTGAGAATTACAACGTGAATGGTGCGTATACTACCATGAAATTTGGTCAACATTATTATAAGGGTATGTAGAACATGAATACAATATATGTTAAATCTTATTCACACTTCTGTCTGAAATGTTTATGAATTTAAAAATCTTTTTGAATCAGATCATATAATATTAATCCTAGAATGCAATTTAGGTACTAACATGGGTTACCTATATTTCACAAGTAATCCAAATGTGCTCTTCTAAATAGTGATTGTTAGATCAAAGACATTTCAAAGCATATTTTTGATTATATCTGTTACGTCCTTATTATGTAACATTATAGTCTAATGTTTGTGTTCTGATTTTAGTTGTTGATGGCAATAATGATGTTTTCACATGCTTTTCATGAATCTTAAAAATTTGCAAAATAGAATAGCTTTAAAAAAGAGGGGGAGAAACCCCAGGGTTCAAAGATGACATACGCTTATAATGTAAATCTGTATTGAGATGACATCGTCGCTGATTGGTTTAGCGAGTCGATTGTTGATTGGTTTAAAACTAGGTCAATTTGAAAACTTTAAAAACCAAGATGGAGGGTACGTTTTCGACAAAAGGTGTGCGAAGGAGCAAATCGTATGTCATCAATTGAATCATGGGGTTTTCCCTCCTCTTGCTGTGAAATTTCAATAGTTCAAGTTCAATGTTGTCTGTTCTGAAAGATCCTAATTAAGATGAATATTCCGTCACAAAATAGTTCAAGATGAAGCAAAAATCTCCAAGTGAAAAAGAAGCGAGTCATTTTTGAGATGTCACAAATCTGACTTAAACCTAACTTTCAACTAATTATCAATAGTAAGTTAGGTGATAATTAGAGATTAACTTACATCAAACTTACAACTAACTTTCAACTAATTTACGTAAATAGCTCATTTGCATATTGATGGTAGTTAATCG